GTAGTAAAATGATGTGTAAAATTGCCATGATACCATCCCTTTTCTGTTGTATGATTGTGATTCCTGAAAAAGCTAGAAGTCATGATTTTAGTTAATTTTCTTGCTAGTAGTAGGTATGATGACATTCAATATAGTTTTTATTATATTCCCAAATTTCATTTGTTTAATCTGACAAAGTTCTGTCATCATTCTTTCAGTACGCTCTAAGGCTGCTGGGTGTTGCTATTGGGGTTGCTTTATCTTCTTTTATTGGTAAGTAATTCTGATATTTGCATTTTGCTGGGTCCAAATATATGAGAAAAATCCTGTTCCGAAAAAGCTATTATATTTCCTTTTTATTTTTTGGGTACATTGACAAATTGATATCATGACCTGACTCTATGGACTGACAATTGCCTAAATTCATGTCCCATCTTAAACCAATTGAGTTATGCTTCGTTGACAAAATAAATATTTTCTCATATAGTAAGAACTAACAGATTGGAAAAGAAGACAAAATCCGAGTTGTACAGCAAGTTTGAAGCAACTTTCTATTAAATTGTTGATCTTTTTATCGTACCTGAAGCAACGCTGCTTGAAAACCATGTAACAAATATACCTGGATATATTATTGTGCACCTAAATTGTCATAACTTATAAGCATCAATATTGATTCCAAGAGAATGCACGAAACCTTGCAGAAGGGGTATGTTGGACAAGAACTGCTGAAAGACAAACTTCACGCATGAGAACTGAATATCTTAAATCAGTTCTAAGGCAAGAAGTTGGTTTCTTTGACAAGCAAACTGACTCTTCCACAACCTTCCAAGTTATTGCCACCATAACTTCTGATGCTCAAACAATCCAAGACACAATGGCTGATAAGGTACATTTATAGAACCTTTCTTCTTCTTTTGAATCCTGTGAGGTAAAATAATTTCTTTTTGTTTGTTGCAGTTGCCCAATTGTTTGGTTCACCTCTCAGCATTTTTCTCTAGCTTTATAGTGGCACTCTTCCTCTCTTGGAGACTTGCAGTAGCTGCTTTTCCTTTTTCAATCATCATGATCATGCCAGCAATCATATTTGGGAAGGATATGAAAGAGCTGGGAAAGAAAATGAAGGATGCATATGGAGTTGCTGGCAGCATAGCAGAACAAGCAATCTCATCTATTCGCATTGTTTATTCATATGTAGGTGAGAAGCAAACACTAAGAGAGTTCAGCTCTGCTCTTGAAAAAACCATGCAGCTTGGCATAAAGCAAGGTCAAACAAAGGGAGTGCTTATTGGGAGCTTTGGGTTACTATATGCTACTTGGGCATTCCAATCATGGGTTGGGAGTGTTCTGGTCAGGACAAAAGGAGAAAGTGGTGGTCCTGTGTTTTGTGCTGAAATATGTATCATTTGGGGTGGACTGTGAGTATCTTCAGAATTTTTTCCCTCTTCTTTCCAATTATTTTTCTAAGTGTTAAATATTTGTATGTTTTTAAGGGTGCTGAAATATGTATCATTTGGAGAAAAAAATGTACTTCTCTTCCTTTAAGTGTTAACTTAGATATAAACTATATAGGTCTCTGATGAGTGCACTACCAAATTTCGGCTTCATCTTAGAGGCAACGATAGCTGCTACTCGGATTTTTGAGATGATTGACCGAGTGCCAACCATAAGTTCTCACAAAGAAAAAGGAAAGATCTTAACCCATGCCAGAGGAGAGATCACGTTTAAAGAAGTTGACTTTAGTTACCCATCAAGACCAGATGCACTGATTCTCCAAGGACTCAATTTGAAAGTGCAGGCGGGTAAAAAAGTAGGCCTAGTTGGAGGGAGTGGTTCTGGGAAATCTACTATGATCTCTTTGCTTGAAAGATTTTATGATCCTTTATATGGTGAGATATTGCTTGATGGATATGATATACAGACACTCCACCTTAAGTGGTTAAGGTCCCAGATGGGACTGGTAAATCAAGAGCCAATTCTCTTTGCAACATCCATAAGGGAGAACATTCAATTTGGAAAGGAAGGAGCTTCAATGGAAGCTGTTATAAATGCAGCAAAGGCAGCAAATGCACATGATTTCATTGTTAAACTTCCTAATGGATATGAAACTCAAGTAAGTCATGAGTCCTTCCCCATTTCATATTTCTCTCCCCCTTTTGATTTTGATTAGCAACAAGTTTATATTGCTTAATTTGATTACTTAGAAAATTGTAATTTGTTGTTTAGGTAGGACAGCTTGGAACTCAGTTGTCAGGAGGGCAAAAGCAAAGGATTGCCATTGCAAGGGCTTTAGTACGAGAACCTAAAATTCTACTACTTGATGAAGCCACAAGTGCTTTGGATTCACAATCTGAAAGAATGGTGCAAGATGCACTTGATAAGGCTTCTAGAGGTAGAACAACAATCATCGTAGCACATCGCCTATCCACAATTCGTAAGGCTGATTCAATAGTAGTTCTTCAATCAGGAAGAGTGGTTGAGTGTGGTTCCCATGATGAATTACTCCAACTGAACAATGGACAAGGAGGGATTTACAGCAAAATGCTACAACTGCAACAAGCAACAAGTCAAAATGAAAATGCGTTGCATCAGATAAATAGGAGCCCCTTATCTATGGTAAATCTAACAAGTCCAAATTCAAGCTGGCAAAGAAGCCCAACTCATCAAGCATTTAGCTTAGCACAGCCTTTTAGCCCCATATATTCAATCAGTGTTATAGGGTCTAGCTATGATGACTACAACAATGAAAACTTAGAGAAATCTTCCCATGAAAACTTCCCCCAATGGCGTTTACTAAGAATGAATGCCCCTGAGTGGAAGCATGCTTTGCTTGGGTGTTTAGGGGCCATTGGCTCAGGAATATGTCAGCCAATTTATTCCTATTGCTTGGGAATAGTTGCATCCGTTTACTTTATAAAAGATAACTCTCTTATCAAATCAAAAATCAGGTTATACTCAGCCATCTTTTGCTGCATAGCCATTGTCAACTTCATTTCAGGCCTCCTTCAACATTACAATTTTACCATCATGGGAGAGCGCTTGCTAAAAAGGGTGAGAGAAGTTTTGCTAAAGAAGGTGCTGACCTTTGAGATAGGATGGTTTGACCAAGAAGAGAACAGCAGTGCAGCAATTTGCGCACGTTTGGCAACTGAAGCTAACTTGGTTCGATCCCTTGTAGCAGAAAGAATGTCATTGGTAGTTCAGGTTTTTGTAATGGCTTTCTTGGCTTTTGTACTTAGTTTGATTGTCACATGGAGGGTGGCCAGTGTCATGATCGCAATGCAGCCTTTGATCATTGCATGTTTCTATTCAAAAAGCATTCTCATGAAAAGTATGGCAGCCAAAGCGCGGAAGGCTCAAAGAGAGGGTAGTCAATTAGCAATGGAAGCCACAGTCAACCACAGGACTATTGCTGCATTCTCATCTGAGAAAAAGATACTCAATTTGTTCAAAACTGCTATGGAAGGCCCCAAGAAGGAAAGCATCAGGCAATCATGGATTTCAGGTTCCACATTGTCAGCGTCATATTTTGTAACAACAGCATCTATAACTTTGACCTTTTGGTATGGAGGCCGATTGCTTAATCAAGGGTTACTAGAATCAAAACATCTTTTGCAAGTTTTCCTCATTTTGATGGGCACTGGTAGACAAATTGCTGAGACAGGAAGCACAACTTCTGACATAGCTAAAAGTGGAAGGGCCATTAGTTCAATATTTGCAATACTAGATAGGAAAAGTCAGATTGAACCTGAAGATCCTAGACTTAGAAAGTTCAAAAGCACCAGGAAGGGACATATAAAACTGAAAGATGTCTTTTTCTCATACCCAGCAAGGCCAGATCAAATGATTCTCAAGGGCCTCAATCTTGACATTGAAGCTGGCAAAACAGTTGCATTAGTGGGACAAAGTGGGTCAGGAAAATCCACCATCATTGGCTTAATTGAAAGATTTTATGACCCCATGAAGGGTTCCATATCCATAGACAACTGTGACATTAGAGAATTTAACTTAAGAAGTTTAAGATCATATATTGCCCTGGTGAGTCAAGAGCCCACCCTCTTTGCAGGAACTATACGTGACAACATTGTGTATGGGAAGAAGGATGCATCAGAAGATGAAATAAGAATGGCTGCAGGTCTTGCCAATGCGCATGAATTTGTAAGGTACAGTGTCTATTTTTTTCTTTCTTTATCTTGCTATAGGAACATAGAAAAGTTAGTTGATTTCAGTAACATAATTTGTTTGAAACAGTTCAATGAAAGATGGGTATGATACTTATTGTGGAGAAAGAGGAGTGCAGCTTTCAGGAGGGCAGAAGCAAAGGATAGCAATTGCTAGAGCAATACTTTTGAACCCATTAATCCTTCTCTTAGATGAAGCAACAAGTGCTCTGGATAGTGTGTCAGAAAATCTAGTGCAGAAGGCATTGGATAAAATGGTGGTTGGAAGAACATGTGTAATTATAGCTCATCGTTTGTCAACAATACAAAATGTTGACTCCATAGCTGTGATTGAAAATGGGAAGGTGGTGGAACAAGGATCACACTCAGAGTTATTGAGCTTTGGATCAAATGGGGCTTATTACTCCTTGATTAGGCTACAACGTGGCCACTCAAGTTGGGGTGATATGTACAAATAATGCTCGAGATTTGTAGGATTGCAATTTTCTGTACTATTATATAGCTAAAGTACGCAATTAATATCAAATCGTTGCTTAAGGATGAACCTGTGTTTCGTGTTTCCCCAATGAAAAAACAAAATCAAGCACAATAGTAATAGGAAAAATGTGAAATTGCAATTTTATCTGTCATTAGGAGAGGATGACATTCGTACGCCTCCAAAATTAGTGTACTCAATTAAATAGAGAAAAAATCGATTAAATTAAAAATAAAACTGAATTTGGTTTTGCTCCTGATTAGAAATTTCAATATTATGGCGGATCTAAATGCTTGACACTCTAAAAAATAGGAGACAAATTTGGTGGTAACAGACAAAGCTCAATTCAACTATTGTATCTGTTCCATTCATGGCTGGTACACTACAAACTTCTTCATGGGACGCTTGCACACTTGACAAATCACAGTTCCTTGACTTGGTCTTTCATTTTCTCTTGATGGAACCAAGTAAGAGTGAGTGCAACTCCCTGCTAGAAAAGTAGGATCTAGGAAGTTTCTTTGTGCACCCGACAATTCTCCCCACTCAGAACAGTTCCTTAAGAATTCCATCACTTGCACCCCTTGAAGCCTAAAAACATCATTTGAACTTCCACTTCCAATTACTGCCCAATTTTCTTCTCTATCAGTCATGTCAAGCAAAACTGACAACTCTTCTAGTATTTGATCAGAACTTGGTGTCCTTCCTAATCTCAGTTTAGATCTTCTCATACTCTCCAACCGAAGCCAAAATAATTGTACATTTGTGAAGGAAAGTGGATCACTGAGATTTATTTCACCGCTACCTGCCATTATATTTTTAACAATTTTAACATCTTCACCTAACTGACTGAGACTATTACCAACGTATATTGTTTCCAGCTGCAGACCTGCTAGTTTGAGCTCAGTTATCTTATCATTGAATTGTTGGATCCAAACCATGTTTACACTCCCATAAAGGCAAATATTTTTGCCTTGTTCAACCTGACACACAGTACAATGTAAATTCTAGGCATGTTACATATGATAAAACTGCTAAAATCTGTATCAAAATATGCTATGAATGAGGCTCCTACCCAGTATGCAAGGAGAGGATTGACACCATCCAGCAAAAGTTGCATTGTCAAATTCTGGTCTTGCCAGAGTTCTACCTCTTTTGAAGCCGAAAAGGGATAAGATAAACCTCCCCAAATCTTGATCATATCAAGAGCATTGTAATTTGTGACCTTCCCATTTGAATCCAGAGCTACCATGATGGGTTCATCCTTATAGTTCCATTGTTCCCTTATGTACCGCACCACTGCTGAGCTAAGTTCCCCTGGTCTTCTAACAGCATACCAAGGCAAGAAATCTGACAGAAAATTAAAACTATTCTCTTCAGCATCAGTCCATGTATCAGAAGATGGAAGGGGAACCCACACAATCTTATAACTTTCCCTCAACCTCTCATTTAGAGGATGATCACTTGTTTGCTGAACCATTAAGAATATTTCTTCCATGGTGTGTAGATGTGGCTTTGAAATAAAGAATAGCACTTCCTTATTTTTCAATTCAGACAGACCAAGCTGTAGATTACAGAGAATGAAAATTAGAAGATTCACAAGGCTTGCTTTTTAGAAAGTACGTTAAAATAACAAGTTACACCTTTGGGAACATTTTAACAAATCCAAAATTATATCTTGTTAACAAGTATATTAGAAACCCTTGTGAGTGTGTGTGATTTGTTAAAATACTCCAAAAGATTCCTTCTTAAAAAATTGTTTAATTTGCTAGCATATTCATTCTTAAAAATAAATGAAATAATAAAAAAGAAATATATATTATACACGCACCTATTGATCTAACTCTTCCGAATATAAAGGCAAAATCTTTCTTAGCACAACCACAACATAATACCTTTACTTGTCTTGAGCAATCCTTCAATGGCAAGTAATTCTTGGAGGGAAAAAATAAAGTGAGAACCTTCTGATTATCAATGTGATCCTCGCAATCAAGATTCAACAGCCTGTCATACAAGTTTCTTTCTGAAACATTATTATAAATCACTGATATTAGTGCTTAACTCACAATTGTTTAATAAACCTACCATTATAAGCACTACTATGAAGCCAAAAAGTAACCTATTTCCTCTTGACACAGATCCACCTGTCCTCTCAGAATGCTGCATATGTCACTTAACTTATACGCCAAACTTGAGAGCTCCCAGGCAGCAATTATTGATGAATCTGAATACCTGAAATATTTGAATGCATCAAAACAGCATCCCAAGTCAATTTTTTACATGCATTTTAAGCTGCAAATAATTTTTGAGTCACTATGTCAAATTAATAAAAAGAATTAGGTTTAAAATAAATTTTTTTGGTTCCCATAATTGACCTCTATTTTGATTTTGTTAAATATTTGGTCCATGTAGTTCTATTCTGTTTTGATTTAATTCCATCCAAATATCAGACATTGGTCCAAATGGTTGTACTTCATAGGCTAAATGTTTTAGCATATTGTTGGTAATAACTAACAAGGACCAAAACTATAATTTTTAAGACTAGAACTTTGTATTAGAACCAAAATCAAATTGAAGTAAAATATAGGAATAAAAAATGTATTTAAACCCAAGATTTATATATGTTTGACATTATTGATTTGAGCTTCAAGAGAAGAAACATGCACTTGATCATATTTCTTGGTTGTGAAATCCATGACTTGAGAAAAACATGCCAAACAGCTTCTAGTGATCCAGTATACAGCTTCGTATATTAGAGACTTTGTGACATGGAATATGTCATTCCCCTGCCCAACATGTTGAAAGGGGAGGGATTCAAACTTAATGATACACATTGCCACATCCATCATAGTCTTAACCAACAAGCTCAATGCCTTGATTTGTAGCTGCAGAGGCCTTAAGTTGCAGGGCATCAACTTAACTCTTGAAATTAAAACCGCCAAAGTATTACCAGGATATAGCTCCATAAGTTGCCAAAATTCACCATATTTTGCAGCAAAAGCAGCAAGTACTAAAACTACTTTTGCATCCCAGCTATACTTCCCTATCAAATCAAACAAACTCATGATCTTTGGGTTGGTATCACCTTCTCGACAGCATTTGCAGAGTATCTGCCAATAAAAAAGCCATTTTAATCATATCTGTAAGTGCATGTACATGCACTAACATAGTCAACAAAAGGAATGTGAAGTACCTTGCGTATTTTTGTAATGATGTATCCAATTGGTTCACAAGAACCAAGCGTTTCAATTTCACTTATATCATTCTTCTGAAAGCAAGCAGAATACAAATTAGAAGCCACCTGAAACAAGTCAATTGAAATCATAGATTCATAATCTGAAAACTCCAATGCAGGTAATGTATTAATGTATTTTTGTGCCACCTTCAGTTTAACGAATTCCTAGTATTAATGGCTGTATTTATTTGAGTCCTCCTAGTACTCTAATTAATATGTATTCACAAAAAATTAATGAATTCCTAGTTACTGAGATGAAAAAAAAATGATTAAAATATATATTTAATCTTTATAGTTAACACTTATTTATGAATTAATACTTATAACTCATAGAAGGACTAAAAAAACTCTAAATTCTAAAATAGACTCATTTTCAAAAATTAACTCAAAAAAATACAACTACTTAAGTCTTGTAAAAAATATTTTGACTATATTCTTATCAATGTAAGACATCTCAAAATTTACTATATAAGTATTTTGTTATATTTTAGTTGTTAACATTATTCATAAAAATTAATTTTAATATTTAATATTTCTATTAATGTTATTTTAAAATATAATAAAACACTTATAGAAGTTAAAGTGTATTTCTTTTAAAATATAAAAATTATTGTAGCTAAGGTTAATTATAGAAACTAAATGTATATTCTAATGAAAAAAAAATGGTGAAGAGTATGAAGGGCGTAAAATTTACCACTATTGTGGAAGCATGAAACATAATGTTGCCGACAGCATGGAGCATTGTCTCAGAATCCAGCCTGCGACCATCTGGATCGTGTGTTAGGAGGAGCTGCTTTATAAGAATATCATCTAGCATGTTTGAAATTCAGAACAAGGAAATGGAGTGTTTCTATGGAAATTCAAAGCTGAAAAAACGTGAAATAGCATGACATGCATGCTACAAAAATAAGTATTTACGAGGTTGTACTTCTGTTACTATACTTATAGTATTTTGATCCGCGTAAGCAGACACATAAAGTTACTTGTTTGGTTCTTAAATGGGGACCCTCAATCTGCCAATGAAGTATTCTTAATGCTTATGCTAAATATGGTCTGAAAAAAGGAAATATCTTGTCAACTTTTCTTTTTCTCTTTCTCTTTTTCTTTTCTTTTTATTATTTAATATCTTGGACTTGGGAAGTAATTAGTGTTATCTGGCAAATGAAAGAGTGTTTGAGTCAGATAGATGGCATTGCATGTCGAATTGGGGCCACAGTTTCTTCAATTTGAATGTGAGAATACAAAATTTGGATTATCTAATCAAAAGATACACCATTATCAAATGGCAATAACTACTTTTAAATATGGTTAAACTAGCAAGTATGAATATTTTTAAATTTAAGTAAAATTTATTAAAAAAACTAAATTAAAGATGATTATAACTATTTTTATTGTTAATAATATTTTTTTATCATACTAAATAACCATGAATTAAAGAGTTAAAATTCTTAAACTTAAGTAAGAAAATATGAAAAAAAAGCTATTAAAATCAAGAAACCTCATTTTTATTGATATGATATATCAAATTTTTTAATTTAAAAGTTAAATTCAAATTAAGATTTGTCTTATAATTCAATTTATTAAAAAAGGAAGATATTTTTAATTTAATATAGTGTATTAAGATTTAAAATATAAATATAAATTAATTTAAGAAATGGTATTTGAAAGAAATAAAAATTATAAATAAAAAATAAATTAAATGTTTAGTGTAAGAAAAACCACATGACTTAATAACTATTGAAGTAACTTCTAATTATTATTTTTCTTCCGATTCTCATTACACCTATCTCTCTCTTTGCGTGAAAAAAAAAAGAGAGATTATCCTAAAGTTTTAAAGTATATGTTTATTTGTTTTTCTTAGATTTGCTTATTATAAAATTCCCTAAATTATGTTCCACGCCAGGCAAGACACTGCTGGTTTCTGTCACACAAGTTATCTTATGCTTTTCTCTTATCATAAGGCAAGTAAAAGTGCTTTATCTTCTTTTTTGAAAGATTGATTCTGTAGTATTCATCAAAAGTCGTCGGTGCAGGTAAATGATCTTAGGCCATTAATTACAAAAAATCACTGTTCTTCAGTTGTCAATCACGAACCATTTCCTGATCATGATAATGAATAAAGATTTCTTTAGTACCCTACCCCTTCATGGGATATGAAATCAGTGTGAAGAAAAAAAGTTGAAAAAAAAATTGTAAAATGTGAAAAATGGTATAATAAAAAAAGTGAGCATAAATAAAAAAGTTTAGATATGTATAAATATCAGTATGATCTTTTTGTATACATATATTATAAGGAATAGATATGTTTTAATTCTAATAAAAACTTCTTGGCCAAAATATTCTGATTAAAAGTTTTTTTTACAACACAGTAAATCAGTCTAAAGTTCCATTTATTTTTACTAGGATATATATTTTATTTTTCATGAGAAAGGATTTCACAACAAGTTCATCACATGCTAATTAGGATTGTTATAGTGTCTTAAACTCAACACCTAGTGCTTAGATAATGTTAAGGTTGTTGACTTCCTTGTGGTGTCGACAAGTTTGAACCATTGGCTTGAAGGGTCACACTTGTTATCATTGCTGAGGCAATTGCAAGTATTGGTAACAATGGCATTGTTGGTGTCTACATCAAGGCACACATAAAAACTGTTGTTGACTTTAGTTGAGAGGTGCATCTTAGAATCAGATATCATTTCCCATTTTGCATTTTGAGACAAACATGTGTTTCCAAGTTTTGCTTCCTTTCCTTCTCCCTCTGCTTGTAAACACGAAGATGTACCCTTTATTGATAGAAATTGCTGGTTTGTGTAATCCCATGCCTCAGAATTAGAACAGTGTCCCAACCTCAATGGGTCACTCACTGAATTTCTCAAGATGCAGAGACCTGTCAAGGGATGAAAAATCACTTTGTAAACAGCTTCTGGTAAGCCTGGCCCTGCAATATATCAAGAGGAATTCAATCACATACCATGTAAAGTTCTTTACCATGTAATTTTTTATAATTTATCCTTATCCTAGTGTAATTCAATTTCATATATATATATATATATGAATTTAATTTTGATACATTGTTAAAAATTACCATAAACATAATTTTTAATTTTATAACAATTCATAATTATGTTACAATATAAAAATTCTTTATACTATTAGATTCTACATAGTTGTATGAGACATGAAATAATATATATTATAATTTAGTCCTTGTATAATAATAACTTAAATTGATGAAACTTAAATAAGAATGGGATAAATTAATCATTATTTAAAAATGCTTAAATATATATTTTGGTCAGTGTATTTTTGTAAAAATTTAGCTTTTTTTCTATTCTTGTACTCATAAAAAATGTTATTTGATATTTTTGTTGGTGTGACTCAAAAAAAAAAAAAGCACTCTTAAGTTAGTTGTGTTTCTATTTAACAGTCACTAAAACATATAAAAATATATAATTTGAAACAAAAAAGAAGCTAAAATTAAAAAGTCATAAAAATATAAATATCATAATATATTAAGCCCTTGAGGAATGTGAAATATGAACATTATTATTAGTTATTATTAGTTGTTATACCTTGAAAAGGAAGTTGAATAGAGGAGATCCTTTGCAAGAAACCTGTGTTCCTAACCTGATTCCAATTGGGATTGAGAATACCATAATACTCAATGGTTCCAGCAACCCTGATATAATAACTCCCAACCAAAGTCCACAAGGCCCAATCCAAGTCAAGTTGGGCTGCCAATGCCATGAAGCAGTTAAGGTACCTATTGTCATTAATGTTTTGGGCTCTCATATCGATCCCAAACTCACTCACAAATAGTGGCCATCCTAGGCCCAACAAAAAGCCCGCATTTCTCATGACTTTCCCTGTGACAAGCCCACACACTTGGTTTGAATTCCCTGACATCCATGCTTGACCATCGCTGAAGCCATACCAATGCAACTCAAACACTAGTTTTCCATTGAAGCTAAGAATCACTGATTTGTTTCCAATGAATGATAGGTCTGTGTCAAAATTTAGGCCCGATAGAATGACAAGAACATCTGGATTTGCACCATGCACTGCTTCTGCTCCTTTTGGCATGTACCTTTACTTCCATAACAATCTTTTTACTATTTTATCATTAATTTAATTCATACACTAATCATATAATTTGTTTTTTATATAATATAATTGTAGATTGTTATTAATTAAAATATTCTTATTTTTTAGTATTTTTAAAATTATTTTATTTTTTAGAGTACAAATATTTTTCATTGAAGACAATTATCTACTCTTGTAACTTGATCAACGCGCTCAGTATTTTTTAAAATTATATTTAAGATAATTTTAAATTAATTAATAATGTATTTAATGTAGTAAAATAAAAAAAAAATATGTCCACATAAATAACGTTTGAATTTTCTCTATAATGAAAAGAGATTAAATACAAGAGAACAAACTGTAATTATATTTATTTTTTTATTAACATTTGGATGGTTTAAGATAAGATAAAAAATTAAACTTGATAAGCTTTATTTATTTCAGTTTTCTATTTTTATTTCACTCAAATAATTAAGATATAAAATTGAAATAATTTATTATTAATTAGTTTACTTCTCAAAGGATAAAATAATTTTTTATTCTATTATAAGTAGTAAATAATAATATGATGATTTTATTGCACCTAAAATTCAACATAGCCTAAATGTGACTTTGCTGGAAGAGAAATCATTACTATATCATTAATAGCAAAAATATTAACATTATTTTTAATAAATAAAAATAAAAATAATGTTAACAAGATACTATCTAAAACATTATTTACAACACACTATCAACATTATTAATAGTTGACTAACCTTTATTGAAAATTATAAAAAATATATGAATTTCTTTCTCATTTTTAAATTAATATTTCTTTTTTTATATTTTACAAGTTTTTAACAAATTGCTGACCTTTATCTTAAAATAATATATTTTTATTGACATTTATTAAATAACTTTAAAAAATAATCTTTTTAGATATTTAATCTAAATCATAAGCCAAAGAAAGTACCTGTACCAATCATAGACATTTTGTTTAGGACCTCTTAGCTCATTTCTCAAGCTCATGGCAACCACATTAGTGACCCCCTTGAAAGTGGTGGCCATCTTGGTAAGCCCCTTAATCCAAAGGTCAGGATCGAAAAACTGGTCCCCGAAGAAACCATTGCCGTCCGATTCACCGCAGCACCACCCTGGCTTCGTCACGTGGTTGTCCAAAATGGCCATTACATCGTTGTCTCCTAAGCTTTTAACCACTGCCTGAGCTCAGTATTATTTATTGCCTCAGTTATAACTTATAGAAACCTGTGTTGGCTGCATGGCACTTGGGATTCTGCTTCTTCTAACTACTAAATACAGTATTCAATTTTATGCTTATTGATGCCAACTTGGCCACATAGTTATTAATTTCAGAGCTAATTAGGTGGTCAAATAATCAATCATCATTAATGCAAATGAGATTTTTATCTCTTAATCAAAGTACCACGTATGTATACTTTCATTGTAAAATTTTTTTCATCTACTTAACCAAAATAATTAGCAATTAGGCTTGCTCACATTATATTAATAATATTCTATCATATTAAAAATATAATAGAATTGTTTCCAATAAAAAACACTTGTAGTCTAAATAAAAAAATTAAGTTTTTATTAATAAAAATAAACCTAAATACTAATATATGTTTTTTTTTGTTGATATGTACATTTTTTTCTTAAGTGATGAATTAATAAGTATCCACTGAATTACTCTCAAACTTGGTTTGTATTATATCATATTAAAAAGGATTTTTGTTAATAGAAAATAAATGATTAATAATAATAAGAAATTAATAAAAAATAAATATTTATTATACTTTTATAATTTGTATACAATAAATGAGTATTTTTTTAATAAAAAAAATTAATTATGAATATTTAAACTTAATTTTAAGCACAGAAGTTAACAAAATCCTATTAAAAATAATATTTTATGTTAGTATTTTTCTGGTCTGAAATAATTATTGTTTTAAATTTAAGAAAGTAATTAATATCGTGATTCTTCCAAATTAATTAAAAATTACTAGCACAAAATCATTCAAAACTTTAATTAAAGGATGATATGTGATAATTTCAAATGTTTAGTCTGCATCACATTACATAATCTCATGATCATTAAAGCTAATCAAGTATACTAACAACAATCAATTAGGTGAGACTGAAAGTAAATGATTTTGGTAAAGAATAAATGCACCTGGTAAGCTTTGATAAGGGGAAGATCAATGATGGAGGGGTTATTGGTTTGGAAACCAGGGATGTATTGAAGCAAGCCAAGGTTTTTGAAAGAATTTCTCACAGTAAGAGAAGAAAGAGAGTCATTGGTGAGCAAAAAAATTGGCCATGTGAGTCTAACACAGTTGAATCCCATGGTTTTGATTCTCTTAGAAATCACATTCAAAGGTTGTTGGCTTAAGCCTTCAGCTACCATAGTATCCAAATGGGAAACCCAATTCACACATGCTAACTTCACCCTCTTCCCACCTTCATCCACAATCCACCGATTAGTCGTGTGTAGTGGAGAAGATGTTACAATTTGGAGTGTGACCCCAAATACAAGTGCTATTGTTGTTACCATCAAGAGAGGGATCAATGGTAACGAGATTGAACAACTACCCATGTTGTGTTTCTTAGACATGATCATGTTCATGAGAGAGTTATGAGTATGATCTTCCACACTCATCACACTACCCTTTTCCCTGTGCAAATGTGGACATACAGACTACAGAGGATATAAAGATGTCTCGTGACTCACTTACGTGTTGCGGGCAAATCCATTTATAAACTCTGCTTAATTGCTTATTTTATTGTTTTCCATTGTTATTTATTCCATATAATTTTAAATAGAAAATTTGAAAAAAAGAGTTATATATATTTTTTGGCTTAATTAAATGTTTTGTTTTTTGTAAAAATTATATAATTTAAATTTAATCTCTTTAATTTTTTTTTTATGATGTAGTTTCTATTTTTTCACGTGTTATTAATTTTAGTTTCTCACGTAGATAATTAACGCAATTAAATAATTAAAATAATAATTTGAAAAAAAGTAATAACTACGTGATAAAATGTTTTGTTGTAGGAATCGCGTATTTAATTAAGTTATTTTTACTTATTATTTATTTAAAAACATTACTAGATATATAATGTTATAAAAAATAAGTGAATCTTAATGCAAGAAAATAATTTATCCTTGTCTTAACGAATAACTTCTCTAAGTCAATGATGGAAAAAAATATTAACAATTAAGAAAAAAGTATTTCAATATTAATAACAGCACAAAGTAATATCTACTTGAATTAATTGATAATTTAATTAAATAAATTAAAATTTTCAAATACAAAAGTAATGTAAAAAAACAATTAGCTTAATTGTATTTTTTTGTTTTTCAGTTTTAATGCCCTTCCCTCTATTTTTAAAATTACCTATATTTAATTATTTATTTATTTTCTTTAACTTAAAAATTGTAAAAAGATTTACAAATTTAATTAATTAAACTATCATTTATTCAAAATTAACTAATCAAATTTCACCTAAAAAATCTTTAAATCCTAATTTTAAATCTTATAAAATTATTTAAATTTTATTAATTATTCATTAAATTTGTAACTTAATTTGTTAAATTTATTTAACTTTAGTTAATTAAATTAAGTGAGTCAACACTGTCAAACACAAAGATTAAGTGTTATTTCAGCTTAAATTTAACATTAAGATATAAGTATTATTAAATACCAATAAGTTATCTTTCGTGATATGTTAGATTTTTTTTTAAAAAAAAAAAGAAAAAATGTTTACTAAAAATTAACGTAAAAATAAAAAGTTATAAACATTGATAAAAATTTATAAAAAATATTAACTAATAAATAAATATTTTATTTTTAAAAATAGATTAACACTCAACTTATTATGAATTAAAATCGGAAGGACTATACGGCTGACGGTTACAAATCTTTTGGTCTAAATTAAGGGTTTAGGGTTTAGTACCGTCTTTCCTGACATCTTTATTAAAAGTTAATTTTGATGTATATTAACAATAATAAAAATAAAAATAATAATTTTTCTTAATTTATTTTAATACCTTTTTGTATGATTTTTTGTTATAATAAAATTTATAATTTAATTTATGACAAATTATTATATAAAAATCATTAATAAAACTTAATTAAGTTGACGTTTTCTTATTAATATTTAAATTGAGATTTATTTCGAAGTTGCGCCACGAGCACGCAAACGACGTCGTTAAGTTGCCCTACCCGACGAGACACGCGTCCGTTATTTCCGTCCCGTCGCCGGTGTCGCTCTGTTTACCGGTGACAATTGCGCCATCACTCTAACCGTGTCGTCTTTAAACGCGAAACCTCCAACTCTTGAAGCGTCGTCGTTTCAAGCATCGAACAATGTGAGTTCTTTTTTCTTTTTCCGATTTAGTTATTTCTGATGAACGCGCTTCAATTCAATGGTTTTGATTCGAATATAGAGAGATGGATTTCAATTTACTATGGTATTCGTAGGGGAGCTTTGAAATTGAACCTTCATTGTGGTTCGCAAAGAGTGGATGGCATTGCCGCTGATCCCGAACCTGATTGGAGCTTCGATGCTCTCGTTTCAGAGCTCAACGCTTTGGAGACGAAGCTCGCTTCTACCTCTTCTGTTGAACCTTCACATTTCGCTAAAACGATGTCTCGGTACTTCAACTTCTCTTTCTTTCATTTTTTCGCCGTTGCTGTTAACTTGAATTGTGTTAAAATTTGAGGCTTGTTTAATAGGAATGAAGTTGAGAGAAGTAGAGGTTTCATATTGCGTGCGCATGAGTATGAGATGGAGGACACTGAGAGCGATGATGATGATGACGACGACGATAAAGCTTTAGTGGTAGATAGCTATGGCAAACGGTTTACTTGTGATGAACTTTATCTGAGGTGCTTACTTGTTGAACCCTAGTTTTGTTCACATATTTTGAATAATGAAAATGTCAGTTTGAACCTCTTTAGTTTTTATAAAAACTAATCTTATCTTCATATTGAAGGAGTAATGTTTACACTTTCTTCGGTGTTTCAGTGACAGTGATGATTCTGACATTGTCTCTGGTTTTGAAGTGCAACCCTACTTGATGGATGAGGCAGGAGAATTAGAAGGTGCCTTGTTTGAGTTGACTCAAGAACATCATCTTAGGGTTAAGGTGAGCGATGGTGTTGTTATCATTTATCCGTTACAAATTGAATAACTTGTTAGTTATGCTTGATCTCTGTATAACTTGTAGTAAATTGCAAAACCAACTCATGGTTTGTTTTACTCTCTATAGCAGATTTGTTTCTAATATTCTGGATTGACAGGATGAAATTAGGAATAAGATCTCAGCTTTGGAAACAGCTCTGATGAATGAAAGCCAGAACTCTACTTCTTCCCTTCTTCTAGTTGAGAAATATAAAGAAACAAGGCAGGAATTGGATAAAAAGTTTGACACTCAATATCAGCGTCGAATGTAAGATTACATTGTGTCTCCTCCACTGACTTTTCTTATTAGGCACTGTGATTCTTTCCTTTTCCGACATAAGTGTCTTGTCTGACTTTAATGTAAGCAACAACCATGAATTGAGGCTACTGTACTATAGTATTGTGTTCACATTTTTATCGTGCTTTGTCAGAGCTTTAAACATAAATTATTTGCATGACACTGATTCTTATATTGGATCATTCCATTTTTACAGATCCATTGTATTAACATTATTTTTTTGAGTTTTGGACAAGAGCATAGTATATTTCACATTTCTCTTTAAAAAGTACTGGCAAAAGGATATATAAGATTAATTGGTTTGTCGGAGGAATGTAAACCCTCATGAAGCACATAAATTAAAACTTAAAAGCTTGGGAATCTTATTTTATTTTATGAATTTATTTTTATGGACATTGAATTTGATTGTGCTTTGATATTGGTGCTATTTATTCTTTTAATAACTAAAATTTGACATGGATAGCATGCTTTCTACTTGTTCTATCCCACCACCACTCCCAAATGTTTTTCTCTTGCTTTTTATTCTTCTTTTAGATAATTTCTTGGTTTGAACTATTTGGAATTGAAGAAACTGATGTTTTACATTTTTCTATTTTTTGTAGTGCAGAAGCACTTGATAATCACTTGACAGCTGTTCAACAGGACCGTGAACTCAGATCACAAATAGAAGAGAGGAAAATTAGAAGTGATGCAGCCTATGAAGAAGCCAAGAGAAAGGTTGCTTTTGAAAAACAGCAGCAAGAAAAGGCTAAAGCTGAAGCTGAGGTGCCATACCTTTATATTTTAGTTGATTATATTATTTGTCAAAGCATTCTATGATTTCAAATTTCATTTGAATTTAAAGATGCAAAAAACTTTAGCTTGAAATGCCTATCCATTCATTATTTTCAATTTTGTGGGTGCAGGCCAAACTTAGAGCTGAGGAAGCAAAGCGAGTGGCATTAGAAGCTGAGAGAAAAGCAGAAATGGAAGTCAAAAGAAAAGCAGCAATGGAAGCTGAAAAAAGAGCGGCAGCAGAAGCTGAAAGAAGAGCAGAAAAGGAAGCAGTAGAAAGGGATGTTCCTGAAACTTCCAAAAGGGTTACTGCTGGAGCAACCCAACAAGGAGCTGCTGGGCATCCAACAGATACAGCATCTAGCCTAGCAAATGCCAACACCAAGGAATCTGGTATTGTTTTTTCCCCACCTTTCATTCTTATAATATATCTTTCCAATATCACTGCCTGTCTTGAGTTTACACTTTTCAAATTATTAATTTTTATTTATTTATATATTTAAAATGATGGAGTTTCTCAAACATTGAATGGTCATGAATACTCGATAATTTTGGTTATGTTAAATTAGAATGAACTTAAAATAAAAGGAGTGAAGACTAAAGTGAAGTTTATACATGATCTCATGATAAATATTATATAGGTATACATGCAATTTAATGACTCTACATTCTTTACTTTTTGGGGTAAATCTAAAAATTTTTCATCTAATTATTGTTCATGTTGTTACTGCATCAAAAGTTAGGGGTTGAATAAAATTACTGAAGCTAAATGAGTCAAACAAAATTTTTCATATACTTTTAATTAAATGTGGGATCAATTTGGTGGGTGGGGCGTGGGGAAGAGACTAGGGCTCCAACTTGCCACCCACTTGATCCTTCCCTGTTTGAATATCTACATTTATGTTCTTTTATTTAGTTTCTATGCTTTATCATCTGAGAATTCGACTGTCCTACACAATCTTTAGGTAATGTATATCGAGCAGCAGGAAATGCTTTAAATCTAGAGCATGAAAGACTGCAGAAACTGAAAGAGCTATACGAGAGAAACAAGGCAACAAGATCAAGTTATAATAAGGTATTGTTGAAATTAGATTTTGGAGATGTTTATCTTAAGATTATTAATTTAGTATCCTACATGCAATATCAATATTTTGTTGATTTTTTATCATATTAGTTATCAAATTTTTTAATTGAATATTATTGATTTATTTTATATAATATAATGTATATTTTTCATGATTTTTATGTGCACCTTCATATCTGAGGCATGAAATTTCTGCAGTACTATATCATATCACAAGAAATTTGCTCGTGTCCATCTCACTTTGAAGACTAACTTTTCCATTATACTCTGATTTTGACGATGTGACTTGTTTCGATGTCAACATCTATTCAGGATTATACTCGCCATGAGGGTCATATTTCCCGTAATATAAGGCAAATCAGGGGCATCAGAGACAATGTTAGGTGAAGTGAATATTTTAATTTTGCTAATGCATTATGCTGTTTATCAATTTATCATTACTTCTCGTACTTCTGGATTCTTTTAAGGGACAAAATTTTATGTTATTATGTCTGTTTCTGTTACAACATTGTTTAAAAAATGTTATAACCTGCCCAAAAACTCACAATAATATCTGTATTTAAATGATTCTGTCCAAGGATTTTATTTCAAATAAAGGCAATCCCAATTCTTAAACTGGATATGAGTAATGCATATCTATTTACTCTTTTGAACATTCTGTAGGTCAAAAGCAACTGAACTCATTAAACTTTTGAATGATCCTCATTGTCCTCAATCAATCAGCGTTGAGATATTTGCTAAAAAGGTAATGTGATATTGTTGGTTATTCCGTTGTTGTAGCTTCTTTCTGTTATATTCGACTTGAACAAAGAGCATAATGGAAAGAAAAAACTAATATTAAAACAGGGTTCGGTTATTTGTCGTAGATGTTATCTTTGCATCAGTTAGTAGTATAAGGGCAAAATATACAACTATTAAAATATTACCGGTCTAAGTTATGAATTATGATTAACCTGTATAAAACCTGTGTGTTTTAAATCCTCAGAAATAATTTTATTTTTAAATGCATTTTCTTTTTTATATCATTTTCAGTATTGATCAAAGTTGAGAATGCTTATGGAACATTAAACGAGTTAATGAATATTTATTAAGTGTGAAGTTTGTTGCTGTTGCATTTTCTAAAATTTCAAATTGAGCAAAATGGTATGTTTGCAAATATTTGTGATCAAATAACGTGGCTGAAATCCATGTCTATGGTTGTTAGTAAGTGGTAAAATTTGGTTGCCTGTCTATGGTTGTTAGTAAATGAAGTAGGTTTGCAACTGACACATACTTTACAGGTTGTTTCATACTGTGAAAACCCTGGTAATGCCCCCTTTGCAAGTGCCTATGTCATTGTTCTCGTTACATCTCAGGTACAACTTGTTTAATCTCTAGCCTTCAAGGAAGCATAAAATGAATATAGATATTTTCTTTTTCTTTTTCCAATGGTTATTTATTTGCTTTTTGGGCTCAATTTATCATTTGCAAAGCAGTTCCCGTACGCAATGGATATTTTGCTAGCCGAGCTTCACATGGCCTGCCTATATACTGTTCCAAAGCACTTGGTTTACAAGAAGGTAACTTGATAGAACTTGAAAACATTACTGAGCCATTTATTCTTCTTGTGTAGTTTACTGCCCTGATGTGATAAAGATTGTGGTATAGTTGTGTTTAGCCAGTGAATTTTGTATATTTGAACTGTCTTGAAAATCAATTTGTACGGAAAAATTCCTCTTTTACGTAAAATTCGTTTATAAGTCCTTTATATCTCACATTTTTCCTAAATAACTGGCTTGGGCCCAATTTTTCTATGAGAGAAGTAATATGGTTATGCTTTTCACTGCTACAAATGTTTAACATTAGCTATCCAACTTTTCAGACGTAACAATGACATTTCTATTGAGAATGATTAATTACTGCAGAAAGGATAATTTTGCAATGTTTCATGATAGATGTATTAAAGAAAATTTCCGTACTCTTCACTGTCTCCAATATTTGGACCCAATTTTTTTTAACATGAATCGTAGCGGGAGGATAATTATTTATCCTGATAATATGCTCACACGTGTTCTTCAAATATGATTTTATAAACCTGAGGTTGAATCTGGATTGTTAATTTTGCCCTTGTCAGTCCACCTTTCCATCTAAAGAAGCATACTTCAGAAGTATTGGTTATCGAGAAGATGAAAAGATGGAAAGTACAGAAGATTATTTAAAGCGGTTAGAATCATACATGAAGGTGTATGGTGCACTGGTTCAGGTCTGTCATGAATCTCAAATTTTGAGTAATTTACATTGACCAATTGATTTCCCTGATTAGCAATTTTGCCAACCACTGCTTTCGCCGAACATTTGACTATGCTTGTTTAAACAGACTGAAATTCCAAACGTTCAAAATTTGCATGGCTTGCAAGAAGGTTGGGCATGGCTTGCAAGGTTCTTGAACACGCTCCCAGCTAATCAATATACTGCTGTTTCGCTCAACGCTTTCTTGCAAGTGAGTATTGTGGAATGTTAAGAGTGCATTTTATATATAGATCTGCTAAAGTTAACATATTCTACTTTGTCAGATGGCTGGATTTGGTCTCTTTAAAAGATATAAATCTCAATTCTTAAAGATGTTGAACATCGTCTCTGAGAACTTTTTGGTTGACCTGAAATCACGGAATATACCAGAATTGACAAGGACTGTTACAGAGATACAGACTTACATAGAAGATAAGAAGTACCTTCAAGAGCCAGAAGGAAGGAGCCTGCAGTCTAATTTGTTATCAAGTGTATATGTTAATTATTGAAGGTTGAAAAGATTATTTTTTTGCAGAAGAAAGCTTAGGGAGACATGCGATTGTTTTTATTTTAAGGCCAGGCATTTCACAAGCCTCACCAAAGTGTTACACTCACCAGTTTAGCAAACTTTCATGTATTTTACCAATACAAGAAAATAACATGAAACAAATCCCTTTTCCCCCAAAGGAGTATTGAAATAAAAATTAGGTATATTAGTTTTCTAAATTCGCAGAACACGAGCTCTAAACAATTATACAGAACATGAACTCATAATACGCGGTGAATGCTCCTTATCCAACGAATCTGAAGACAATGATGCACATAAAACTTTGCGATATCCAGGATATAGTTTTTGTAGAGAAAGCTAAGACGTACTCACCCTTAATTTAATTTACAGTATATTATAATTTAACTCGCTAAAAACTATGAGTAAATATAACTTCACTTGCCTACGCTCTTCTAAAGATTGCAATCAAGTATACAGATTCATACTTAAAAGACAAGCTAGAAGCAATCCAAAACATCACTTTTGAACAATGCAAGGAATTTTGATACAAGGCAGTTTATTAAATAACATGATGCCTTAACAGCACACGAATTACGTATATACAATGTGGTAAGGCCAATTATAAACAACTCTACATTACTGGGCATGTAAGTTTCGCCTCAAAATTGCGAACGCGCAGAACTTTATGGACAAGAAACCATCTATGAAATGATCCAGACAAACTCTCACATCCTTTGCACTCCTGCCTACGAATCACGTTAATATATGACATACTGCATCAATAGAACATTCAGTTTCACGTCCTTACGTTATCAAAATTTTATGACTAACCTTATTGTGGCAATGAACGAATTTCCGTTGAAATCAGGTCTGCAGCAATGCTAACTAGTAAAGCCTTATTCGTGTATGGATTGTACTACGGCAAATGGGACAGAATTGGAGGTCGTCTCCACATTCACAACAAGTCTGCCACGAGCAAATGCATGGGAGGGGGGATATTATATTATATCTTTAGCCTTTGCAGACAACCTTAAATTCAAGAATCAAGACTTATAATTAACAGGAAGTAACTTAATTGGTTACCTGATGCCCACAACCAAAGGCCATGTCCTTCCCATTCGTAAGACAAATCGGGCAAACCTGCAGTCAACCATGTCATGTACTCATATGTAAGCCACTATTCAAAGCAACACAAATGGTCACACAATTGTTATGATAACATTAGGCAGAATAGTTAAACTATGCCCTAGTTTAGTTTGCTTGCCATAGCCTTTAGACACTTTTCAATCGTAAAATCTTACTATTAATACCTTTTTTATGATAAGAATGTTAAATGAAAGAGTTTTTGAAGTAAGAATTTTGCTTCATTTTTTACCTGCTTAATTCATTTTATAAGTGTTTGTTGAGAAGTTAATTCAAACTGGCTCCATGTTTCAGTTTAATAAAAAGGATGTTTCTTACATGGGAAAGCATAATCTTAATACCTTATTATCGTGTAACGAACTTGTTGATGATTCCATGTGAACACCACTATCATAGCTAGAATATGTAGGTGGCCTCTGCTGAAAACTGTTTGACCTTGAAGATTTTGTGCTGAGGTTGGAAGATGTCCTATTATAAAGAGGCGGAGGTAGCGGAACCCTGTCTGGTGAATGTCCCTTCCGTGCACTTATATCCATCAAGACATTAGATTTTCAAGTTCAGTTATTGGTTATTACACCAGAAAAACCCTACATAATAGGCTATAAATACCATATTTTAATGTAATGAAATGATATTAAGTTATTACCCCAATAATCCAAGCTCTATGGTTGCCTTATATTGAGAAGGTATCTCCATCAATGCTGCAAGGGCAAATTCTGTCTCTTTTCTGGCTGAATCTATATGCTTCGTCATTATTTCAGTAAAATTCACGAACTAAATCCAGCCAAATAAGAATACCAGATTTCAGCATAACAGGATGATTTAAATATGGCAAGTAAAAAAGGCTAAGTGAATTACACCAAACCTGAAAATTGTCAAATGCCCGAGAAGGGATGTTATCATCAAATTCCCTCATCATGTCCCATGGTCCATCTCCAACTCCAACCAAAACTATTGACAATGGATACTCACTGCAATTTAAAAAGAATATAAGAATGCAGAATGGTACTCCACCCAAGAGAAAACCAAAAAGTAAAAAACTAACCTGGCTTTCACAATAGCATCTATTGTCTTCTGTTCCTGTGGACTTAAGTGGCCATGCTGTGTGTCAATGCTTCTGGTTACCTGTGACAACATGCTATCAGTTTCTGAAGCACTGGGCATAAACCATGAATATTTACCAGCAGATTAATATATCTATCCAAGTATTGACAGAATTGTGCACATTTAGTTTTCTTCTGCAATTGTTAAGATATCAATGTCGGATATTATGAGCTACAGTAGATAATAGCGCATCCAAAGCAAAACAAATGAAGCTATGCTAGCATGTTACAGTTCCTTCATTCAACAGTGTGAAGTATGAAACTATGAATTATAGAATTACCTGTCCATCCGCAATTATTAGCAAGACATGATATTGGCCACCACTTTGCTCAACAATAGTCACAGCCATTTCAATAATAGGGGCAAACGAAGTGGGTCCTGTCACATGAATGCTGTGAGTTATAATGAGCCTGGTTGAAAATTTCTAAGATTATAGGTAAAGGTAACACCTGCGAGTTTGAGGTAAGGAATTATTTCTCTGTATCGTGTCAAAACTTCCTCAAACCCGTTGCAGAACCTTTCTTCAGAATAGAAACTAAATACATCTTGATCATGTGTAGATGCTGATACAGAATGGACAAAAGAGAAACACAAATCATCCTTGCAATCTGGAAACTAGAACAAACTTCATTTCAAAAGCAATTAGTTTCACATCTGGTATTACCATCTCCAAATCCAAAACAAGGAATAATGTTATCTTCATCGAACACAGATAAAGTTTTTCCAATAATAGAGATTGCTTGTTCATAAGGGTTATGACCACTTCCAATGTCATGTAAACTTTTTCGATTGAATGACCTCTTCCCTGATTTTCAAAGTAAGGTATATATTTAGCATCACAACTCATTACAAAAGATTCAAGCATCAAAATGTGAATAAGAAATAACACCTGTCCACTCATTGCTCTTCGTAAAATCAATGCCAACGATGAGATTAGAAGATTCCAGTCCAGCATTAGCAAGAGCAGCAGTAACCTGTGTTCATTAACATGTTGTAGAAAGATTAATTGTTAGTTGAAACAATTACTAAATTATCATTATAAAACCAAAACATGTTTACCACTAACATCCATCAACTTTAAGAGTAGCAATTCCTATATATCTATAATTCTGTATAAGGTTACTTGTACAATCTGTTGTGAATATTACAGAAATATTGAAACATGAAAAACTAAAAAAGCAAAAAGAATTTAAGCAGTTGGCTTCATCCATAATCTCAAGCCAACTTCACTGTACATTGGATCAATTTAGTCACAGGTCACAGCAACATACATAGTTTCTTTTTTCTCTCTCTTCCTTGTTGATGTACACTGACTCTTTTTTTTTTTGACAGCCAAAGCATAGATGTATAACGAGGAAGCGAGAAACAGATGGGGCATTAGTCTCATTGATGACCCACATAAAAGCCTCTCTTAAGCCCCGTCTTTCAGCTGAACTTGTGGTTGGTTGTTGACCAACAGAAAGGATGCATGGGACTAGCGGGCATTGAACCCAACTGAGTGACTTTCAAATCTCTCCGAGAAAGTTTATGTTATTTATATGGCTTGAATCTAAGGCCCATGCCAGGTGGTAGGATTTGCCGAAATAAATGCCCTTTTATCATGGAAAAAGGGAAATCTTAGATATAAGAAAAAGAGAGGCAATTCTCATATGTATTATTATGCTAAACCCTTATTATTATTTACCAAAAATAATTAAATATTTCAATTCTTATCTTAAAAGAGACAGAAAATTGAACTCTAATTTCAGGCAGAGAGATTCAGAACATATCATTTACCCAATTAGTGGATTAAATCGGTTTCTTTTATCTTAATTTCTATTTGCCCTTGTGAGCCAAGACTTAAACTTTATCTAGGCACCATTCACATTAGCCCAGCAAGGAGTAAACTTGTTTAAGTCAATGATAAAAACAACCCCTTTGTCCCCGTTGTAACCCCCAACACACACAGAGTCAATGATAATGACAACATGCAAAATCAAAGAAGATCAAATAATTGCTGATACATAAAAAAATCACAAAAACACTATTAACATGCAATGATCTAATTATAATTACCTCATCCAGTGAACGGTAATTATCAGCTATCCTGGAATACCTCTTATCCAACTTCCTTTTTGGTTGTGCATAATCATAAAATGGAGCTGATGCTGATGCATGCTGATGCTGAGGAGTTTGATATGAAGGGTATGGTGACTGTGGTGGGTATCCACCATAGCTATCCCATGAAGATGAAGCAGCAGCAGATTCATACCTCCTTCCAGAACCTTTTGAACTCTTCCCTCCCATGAGAGAATCCTTCAGAATAAAGCCCAAGAAGCACAGAATAGCAATCAAAACTGTCCAAGTTTCTAACTGCAATTCCAAAACACAAACATCATGTTTATTTAACTTGGTTAAGAAATCAAACTAGAATAACCAAGAGAGACAAAAGCTCACAACTTCGACTAGCCACACAACTGAGCAATTGACAAAAATTCTGAGAAACTATAAAACTTGAGGGGCATGCAAAATTCAACCCAAAATTGGAGAACGAAATTTCGAGGTCAGAAACACCAACGGCAGACCAAAAAAAAACAGTGAGACTTTTTCATATACCTCAAAGTGCATTGCTTCAACAGAAATTGCAAGTGAATTATGACAGAAGAAGGGTTCTATTGGAAGGAATCCAGCAAGGTCAAGTCAACTGTTTCCACCCCTTTCTTCCACTTCAAACTAATTTTTTAAAATTAGTCTACTTTATAATCTATATTCTATATTCCATAATACATATATATAACAAAAAATTATAATTTTCAGCTACAAGAGATGGTAAGTATGATTAATAATATAATAATCATAAATTTAATATACAATTTGGAGTGTAAAAAACAATCACCTTCGGTGTATCTCTAGTTTACATGGGCATTTCACATGTAAATGTTTGCATCACGTTGACAAGTAACTAATGATTGTATTTATTAGTACTTTTCAATCATTTCACAAAGCTGACACGAAATCTTCTTTATTTATTTATTCATTTAAAAATTTGAAAAAATCAATATATATCCATCGATCCTTCCTTGTAAATACAGGTGTAATGTTGTAAACGCCCACTGTTGACAAGTACCACGGACCACAACCCGAAACTCCCAGGAATAAGAGCATGTTTGACAAAAATTGTTCTTGTCTTTTTTTTTTTTTTTTTAAGGAAATAACAAAAGAGAGAGAGAGACATCAATCTTCATGTGTTTTTTAATTATGGTAGAGATGAATTGCATAAGCATGTGCGTATACTCAATGGATAATGATCATATATACATCCATACTCTTTTCTTGTTTCTTTTTCTTTTTTGTCTTCTTCCTACAAGTTAGGTTTCGAATTTGGTAAAGATTGGTGTGGATGTAGTAGTGGTTTAACAAAAAACCATTGAATAACATTAAAAGTAAAACACTGAATTTGCTTACAAGTTTAAAAGGTTACCACTTTTGAGGATAATTATAAATAGTGTATTTATCTTCATGAGCTGTTCATATAATTGAATCACAGTAAATGTTTCTACCTAGTAAAAGAAAAAGAACATACCTGTAAAATCATGTAAAAGGTATTATGATACTGAAGTGATGCTAAATTTAGTGTGCTAATAATTAATTAAACTAAAAGACAATAACTTTGCACTCCTAAACCAATTGGGTTGTTAGGATGTTACTTAGTCAATAGTATCAATAAAAGATAATTGAATCACAACTTATTGCGTTTTGAATTTATGATAACTCTTTATTAAGATTAGGGCTTTTTCTCTCCTAAAACATGGGGTTGTTAGGATGTTACCTAATAAAACTTTTAGTATTTAGACATGTGTTCACCTTTTCCTTATTTTTTTCAATGCTTTTGATCGTTCTTTATCTATTCTAGTCGATCTGGTTTTTTTCATAAAATTCTTAATTAAATCACAAATTTAAAAAAATATTAAAAATAATTAATGATTAATTTTATAATTTTAATCATAATATTCTAAATTTATGTCAAACTTTATTATTAAATTAATTGTTAAGAAGTTAAAAAAAAGTTTAATAATAACATGTAAATATGTGAAAAAATAGTAAATTTTTTTATATTAAAGACTTACAAAAACTTTTAATAAATTATTAGAAAAGTGTTCGAAGGTAATACCTTCTAATTTTATATATTACATGTGAATAATTATTCTTAAATAAAAGTTCTAAAAGTTATTTAAAAAAATTAGTTTAAAGAATTTTTATCTTCTTCGTTACACCATTCGACTTATCCTACTTTGAGCATTTTTAATTTTAATTTTAATCTTTTGTATCATTTGTTTTTAATTTTAAAAAGACTGCATGTTTAATCTATTCCTATTTAATACAAACAACATAAACAAATATTTATTATTAATCATTCAAAGTTGTTTTCCTTTGTTATAGCTTATACAAAAGATCATACCAAAAAAGTGTACAAATATAATTTCTTTTTTTTTTCAATAAATATATTTTCTATTTAAAAAATCAAGGTGGATGCAACATAGGTGTTGTTTGCTCTTATTGGGCCCTTTAACTGCTTTGGAATTGGGCTGCAATTAAAGAACAAAAATGAGGACTAATCAAGAGATATTACTTCTTTCTCTACCGCATTTTTTCTTGTAATAGAATTGTTGGAACGTGTTGTTATATATCTTCATCAACAGAGCATCAATGTGTAATATTATACAGATTGTTCATTGTCTTTAACCTAACTTCCACCTGTTGTTGTTGATTCTATTCTAATTTGCATTAAAGGGAAAAAAACAAAAAATTGGTCACTCTCTTAAAGATCATTTGCAGAAAAAAAAATGTTTTGGTTTTTAGATTTTCTTTTAGTTTTAATTTTGATGTAAAGTTTGCTAAATTGTACATAAAATTGAGCATTCATATTTAGTTATCTTCTGTTTACATTGTATGCATTTTTGTAATTTAGCACCATTCAATTTATAAGTATTGTTAGGTTCTTAATAAATAATCATTTGACAGAAAAAAGAAGAAAGATTGTAATTAGAGGGTGTTTGTAAATACAAGCTTGTGAATTGTTTAAAAAACCATTAATACATCACTTTTAAGAAAATATAAATTTGTTTGACCATATTACTGTCTCGTATTAGATTATTTTTTTTCCATTTCGCTTAATTAAAATACCAAAAGACAATGATAAAATCAGAAAAAATATATATATACTGGTTTATAAAAATAACAACTAATTTGATGCGAACTAAAAGTTTTTAAATGATAATTAATTTTGAAACCAATATGGATTAGAATTAAATATATCATAAATAGAAAGATCCATCGTTATCCTTCCTTTTTCTCTAGGGTTGGAGTCTTTATCATATAGACATATACATATGATCGACAAGCTTCTTTGCAATGCCTTCACCAATGTCTAACAAGGCTTATCCAGAAAGCCTGGTCCAAATGAATCTTCGTAAGGTTCCTCTTTTCACTTGGGCCTATTTTTCATATGCTGCTTTAAATGCCAAATTGTCAACTACCAAATTCTTTTTAAAAAATGAAGAAGAGGAAAATAAATTAATATATTTTTCAATGACACCAAACAAGTTTTATTTGGCTGAGGAAAAAATATAACTCTAAATATTTTTCATTTTAATTTTTAGTTCATTCCCAATACACTATATTTAAATTTCAATATGAAACTTGACGATTAAAAATGTGTGAATGCTCATTCACTTCTAAAACAATTTTCTATTATTGATTGCGAGTAATTTAAAGTTTATACTTATTTATCATTTCTAATATTCAAACAACATCTTATAACAACATTTATCCTCTTAAATGATCTTATATTCAAAATTAATTTTATTTAATTATGCTTAAATTACCCGATGCTTAAAATTAACTTTATGAATGTGGATTATACTTTTTTCTCTCCACTTCTATTTGCATCTAAGCTGAGAAGCGTTTTAAAAAAATTCTTAAATGATCTAAGATCATGTGATTCGGGTCATTCATATCATGCCATGTGTTAAACTTTTATAACTTATAAATAAAATAAAAATACATGAGTGATTAAGAGTATATAATCACTTTTTTTTTTAAATGTGTTTTAAACTTGTGCCTTCATAGAGACTAAATTTGAGAGGGGACAAACCTGGGGTGGTTGGATACTGTAAGGATATAATTAGAGTAATGAGATCATGTAATGACGTGTTTACAATGATAATTCTAAGGCGGCTAGTTTGGACCACCAATTAAGTTAAACAATTGGCTTCTTGTTGCATCGCCACCCTTTTTTGACCCTTTTCTATTTTAATTTCTTTTCATACAGTACTATTTTGTAATATACTTAGAAATTTCCTATTCTGTAATATTATTCTTTCGTTTAACAACCAAAAAAAGGTTCTTAGTCACAACCCACATCTTCCTTTCTTTGACCATAACATACATGACCTTATTGAAGATTAATTATATTAATGTATAATGTGCATGATATTAAGACACAATAAGCTATTTACTTTGAACCAAAAACAACAAAATTACCAACCAAGTACTACTAGTATTAGGTTATGTTTAGTACATTGAATTTTGAGGTGCTTTTAAGTATTTGCATATATTACAATAATGTCACACAACGTGAGTGTAGTAAAGTAGAGGGAATCAAGGTAGAGTTGCAACTTGGTAGAGACTTTTAACTTTCATTTGACTAAAATGGGTAGATGTAGAAACTAGAGAGGCTATAGAGACGGTGGATGGAAGTATAAGGTACTATTTTTTTTTTCTACACTACTTTTTTTTTTTTTTTTGTATTACTAATTCCCTCAGTGCCATGCCATTGTTATTGTGACCCCCCAACAATTATCAAACAACCACACAACTATCCTAGCAACCATGCTATTGCCTCCACCACCCAAAAGCGATTCAAATCTCCGTTGGAAGGAACATCTAATATAATATCTGGTCATGCAGAAAATCTGCAAGAAAATAAGAATCAAAGCTTCAATATATAGATTTAAATTAACTTTGTTATAATCACGTAGATGTCATATAAGGTATCTCTATTATGTTATACGACAAAGGTGATAAGTGAGAAAAATGTCAGGACAAAAAAATAAATGAAAAATGGTTATAAAATTAAAGTAAATTAAAATCAATAAACAAAGTTACTTTTTCCATCTCATTTTATTTGTTCACTTCCATAAATAAAAAGAAAAAAATACATCTTACTATATAATATACGCCGAGGTTAAACAGTGATTAATGGAAGTGAATAGTGAAATATAATCTTAAACGAATTTTATCCAGAGTTAAAGAACTAAATCCAAAAAATTAATTTCATAATCTCAAATCATATGTTAATGGAACGACAACTTTGCCACTGCTGATGCTAATCAAATAGTCAGGACAAATTTTTTTTTAAAAAAAAGTGTTCATCATGACGTGGCACTTTGACTCATTCCCACGTGGTCCAAGTGTAAGACCATGACTATGATAGTGAAGAATTCTTAGGTGGCAAGCTACTTGGTCTGTCACAAAGGTTTCGAGGGGTCCAACGAACAAAACAACAACTATTGAAGCAAATACAAACATGTCATGTCATATCATGTTCTAAAGGACAGGGTTGTGTGGAAGGTGGGATTACATTGGAACATGATCCTAAATCTATTCTTCTTTCGTTGCAACTGCAAGATCGGCCATTTTGTTTCTGTGACCCGCTTGTGCTGTGTTGTCCACTGGCATATTATTCTTTGAATTTTCCTACTACCTTCACTTTATCAATATGCACAATTATGCAGCGAAGAAAGAGTCAGAGAAAGAGACAGGGTCAAGTGGTTTAGGTGGGAATATGGAACACAGGGTAGACAGACTCAAAACTGCAAATATCTCCCCTTTACCACGGTTTTGAATCCCATTCATTGCATTTGTTTTTTCTATTTTTAACCGTAGTTTTATTATTTTCCTTCTGTGCTCAAGAGTGAGTAACAATGCTTTAATGGGTGTGGATCAATTTTGTGTCTTTTTCATCACATAGCATACCCTTTTGGCGACATGTTAGGGGAAGAGGAGAAGGAGAAGGCCACCACAGGTAACGGTGTTGGAAGGAAAACCTATTCTCGTTCAGTTTCATGGAGTGATAGGTCCCCTAATAGCCGTAGTAAACCACCAACAAATAGCAAACCACGATCACTGTTGCCACCCCTTCAACCTCTTTCAATCAACAAGCGTAACGTGGAGGAATGGCCTAGTGCGGGTTCTGATGATCTTGGAGTTTGGCCACTTCCACAAACTCCAAGAGGCTCCATCAGACCCTATGATTCAAGTCAACCCACCAAGGATTTTCTGTTCAAGAGGGACAAATTGGCTTTCTTTGATAAGGAGTGTTCAAGAATTGCCGAGCATATATACTTGGGGAGTGACACAGTGGCCAAGAACCATGAACTCCTTAGGCAAAATGGAATAACACATGTGCTCAACTGTGTTGGGTTCGTTTGTCCTGAGTATTTCAAAAGTGACTTTGTGTACAAGACACTTTGGTTGCAAGATAGCCCCACTGAGGACATCACAAGTATTCTCTATGATGTGTTTGATTACTTTGAAGATGTTCGCGAGCAAGGTGGGCGTGTCCTTGTCCATTGCTGTCAAGGGGTTTCTCGATCAACGGCTTTGGTTATTGCTTATCTCATGTGGAGGGAGGGTCAGAGCTTTGAAGATGCTTTTCAGTTTGTGAAGACTGCAAGAGCAGTGACCAACCCAAATATGGGTTTTGCTTGTCAACTTTTGCAGTGTCAGAAAAGGGTTCATGCTATGCCTGCAAGTCCAAATTCTATTCTCAGGATGTACCGGATGGCTCCTCATTCCCCCTATGACCCTCTTCATTTGGTCCCCAAAATGGTAAACCAGCCTAGTGCACAAGCACTTGATTCTCGTGGGGCGTTCATTATTCATATTCCTTCTGCTATTTATGTTTGGAATGGAAAATATTGTAACTCGGTGATGTCATGCAATGCAAGGAGTGCAGCCTTTCAGGTCATACGTTATGAGGGGGCAAAGGGTCCAATTCTGAGAATCCATGAAGATGAAGAGCCACCTGAGTTTTGGATTGCTTTTTCTAATGAGCTAGACTTATCAGATAATTCTGACAAAGATGGGGTGGTGGAACCGGTTTTGCCTTCTGAAGGCATGGAGAGTGGTCCGAGAAAAGTTGATGGATATGATTTGGACTATGAGATTTTCCACAAGGCACTTGATGGTGGGGTTGTTCCACCTTTTTGTGTGTCTAATGCAGGATCAGAAACTTGCCTTCCTGCTAGAGAACACGGTTGGGCAAGACTGAGGAGGAAGTTTGCTAGTGGTGTCATGAAAGGGTTGCTCACATCCCCAAAATGGAACTGTGATGCTGATAAATGTGAAACCCCATGCAATGATCAATCCATTGTAATTGTGGAAGAAGAAAACCAACATTCTGTTGCTGATCCTTTGTCACCATCATCAAATCATCCTTGTAGTTCACCAGATTCCCTTGAATGTTATCTAAATACCAGCTTAGGCAGGGAAAAGAATAGTCCTGAAGCCATGGAATTGTCTGTTTCCGGTGCTGCTTCATCACTGCCACTGTCTCCTTCCACATCAAATCCTTTTCCTATTTTTCTAAGCAACAGCCCCAAATTCAATTCCAAGTCACCAACACTTTCACCTTCAAGTTCTGATTACGCAAGTTCATTTACTTTTTCACCATCCTCTACCAACTGGTCTGACTTATCATTTGTGTCTTCTCGGCAACCATCGCCGTCTGGCCTTGAATCAGCTGAACCCATTTATGTTAAAGATGCATCTTTCTCAGAAAGTTCCTCTTTACTTCACAAAGAAGTTGACTCTTCACCCTCGGAGGCATTTTCAGCTAAACACAACTTGGGAGAGGGAAACTTCTGTTTTCCATTGAAAGGATTTTCCCTCTCCATTGCAGAGCGCAGAGGGAGTAATCCACCACCTCGGATGTTGCTATCCTCGGCCAATGAATCCTCTCACGTACACAAGAACCTGGTAAGAACACAGTCTTTCTCTTTGCCTGACTTAGATAATAATGTGGTGAAGGATGATAGTTGCAAACAATCTGATCATGAAAGCAAAGGAAAATGGCTAATATCAGATGATGATATCTTTAGTTCAGGTGTTGAATCGCAGAGTGAGATTAATGAAAAAGAGGATCATGGTGAAGTGTTATCTAATATGATGGCTGGCTTGAAGTAGAGGAGAAAGTTAATGAGATGAGTTGAGCCTGAATTGTGTAAATTTTGTGTGTATATTTGCACTCACGTTCAGACTATTCTGTGTGTGCCAAATACATACTACATGACTATTCTGTGTGTGCCAAATACATACTACATGCACGCCGTGCACTAATTGCAACTGAAGTACATAACATCTATTAAACTTGAGAGAATAATAATCTGAAGTATACTTTTCTTTATTTTTATGGTTTCAGCCACTTTTCCCGTTCTTGTTTATTTGGACTAGCGCAGTATGAAGGTCTTGCCCTTTCGGATGAAAAGTGAGGCGAAGGCAAGCCATCAACTCACTAAGAACTAATATCAAAATTGATGTGTACAAGTTACCTTTGCAGGAAATGGCATAGCAGAAATAACTAGTGTTGTAGAATGATATATCTTCCCTCATTAGTTACTGCTTCCATTAATAAGCGAAGTGAAGTTTCAAAACCAATATTTTTGTGGAATGCTGATTTCTTTCAGCCTGCCTGGTATGAGTCATAATCAACTATTACTTTGTCTAAACTAAAATACGCGTTGCAGGGGGGCTTACATACAATAATACGGTTTACCAACAATATAGAATTTAACAACAGTACATTGTGTTAAAGGTGGCGTTTTTATCTATAATCATGATTTTCTTGTGTGGCATTTGGGATGGTAAGCAATCGTGTCCCGTATTTTGTCTAGCAGTTGATTCAATTTCTGCTTGGTTTTCAGGAGGACTGCACCAGATAACATCGGAATTATAAGAATAAACTTTCAAATATTTTGCCCGTTAACATACTGAAATCAGGACACGCACATTGCAGATGGTAAAGTCAGTATTTGTTCACATATACCAAAATACTGCAGAAAGGGGACACCCAAATGATATGGCCCAAATGTACGTTTGTTTCTTAGAGTCCATTATTGGACCTTAAAAGTGCCATTGTCGGACCCAGCGCACTGCATCTCAAGGCTCTGTTGGACCATGACCGTGTGCTCGAGCTCTCCCCTTTACTCCACCCATCCTCCTGCGACAGCTTGGCCTTCTTTGCTTTTAGTGCCTCGTTAATTTCATCCCACACGTTTACTTGCCCATTTTCTGTAGAGAACCCAAACGTATGTTTACATGTTTCTACACACTGTCCACTCCAAGAATCGTAAACTGTACATTACATTACCTTTAGCAGGGATATGACCGCATTCTGACTTGCAACTTTCCGCGGCAGTTTGACCTCCCGCAAGTTTTTTATCAGTGCTACCATTGGTTGCTTTTGCCGCAAAATTTTCACCATTGCTACCGTTAGTTGATTTTGTTGGATTGACCAAAGCATCACTAGAAACAATTTCAGTTTCCAAATCAGAATGGCCACGCTTAACCATTCGAACATCAGCAAGCAATGCATGATCTATCTGGTGAAGGAAAACACTTGGTCATTTTCACGCAAAAAAGCAGCAGCAGCATTTTGGTTTTGTTAGAAAGAAAGGTTTCTTAGACATTCAATTTCAATTAAGGTTTTTACGCTACGTCAGGATAGAGTGTAAGATAAAATCAAATACATATATATGCACGGGCACTAAAAGTTCGTCCCCAGTGAGCGCAAAATCTAGGGAGATTAGTTTCATGTTTTGTTTATAAAATTCAACGATTCATTGGATTAACATAAACCAGGCATAAAACTTTCCTCTTATATAAGCTACAGCACAGAAATAAAATAAACGATGAACAAATTACAATGGAATAACTTTACCTCTAAAGAACCATCTTCCCGATAAGGGAATGGATCAAACTGTCCAGAATATGCATCGTCGTCTTTTTTTTTCCCAAAATCAAATGGATATTCTAGCACTGGTTCCAGCCAAATCCTGTTTGATTTAGCATCATATTGAGATATTTTCCCAACCTACAAGGACAAGAACAAAATACAGTATTAAACTTCTGGTGTAAAGATTTTTGTATAATGTAGTTCAAAAGCAGACTTGTTATGTACTCTGAAGGAGGAAAGCTCAGGAGTCCAAGATGTTGATAACTCAATCAATCGATACGCAATTACATCACCTTCCTGCAGTGTACGAATAAGTTACTAAAAAGCACCAAAAGAGTACCCCGCAACAGAATTTAAAGGCTCAGCACAGAAGACGGATAAAATTTGGAATGGTATAACCAAAAATAGCTGAAAAGACTGCTAACACATTGTCACTGGTTAATTAACTTCTGGAGTACTTGCAAGAATGAGAAATGCCATAAGGAGGCAGTTGGGAGAAGGAAAGTCAAACACCTTAGGCAAGCTGGTATAAGGTTTAAGCTTATCAAAATCTGCTGCATTGAATGCGTGCTCCATTTTAGCATTCTGAACCATAGGACACTCATGACTGGAATGTCCATAGTCATCCTGTTTGCGGGATGACATTTTCTCTTTACCCCATTTCTGGCCCTTTTTCTTGCTGGTAATACCATTCCACTGAAATGTTTCCTGAAACATCCAGATAAAACTTTTACAAATCAATTGAAATATTGTGGCAAAAATAGTAGCATATCTTCTGATGCTCAACCACCAAGAAGATGAATCCTTGCCTTCTGCAAGGTTTTGACCATTTATAAAACAAACATGGAATTGCTATTGCACACCAAACTTCTTGAGTAAGTAATAACATAGTAAGTTATACTACTTTGAACTATTCTTAGCCCTCCAGTGAGAATCAAGATATGGATTACATGAGCTAATCAACTGCTACAAAATTAATATTAAGCAACATTGTTTCCTCTCAAAGTATCTCCCAAGAACAATCCTAAAGAATTTTGTTAGCTCTCTCCCACCTCTCTCCATTACCTATCACACACCTAAGAAAGGAACTTAGAGAGAGGAAAAGGCTGCTCTGGAAATTTTGTACTTTCTAATCACAAGTCACTTCTGACTGGAGCATTCTTTATCCTCCATCAAGCCCTATAGTCTGGAAACCCAAATAAAACATAACAAAAGAATTTTACATGGAAAAATATATATGGTGCGATTTTCTGCAAAATTAACATCAGATATTGAATGTCTACTGTTTATGATGCAAAGTAAAACACATCCAAAATTATGAATCTTATTATTGAGGAAAATCAAACAAACCACTGGAAACTGATTCTGTGGCACCGCCTGATCTGCATCAAATAGACCATGAATATATATCAGATCATGAAAGCAATTAATTCTAAAACCCAAAAACAGAACTGCTACCATATGAATCTTTAGAGCTGAGAAGTGGCATTCAAACCTTTTCTAAGGGGCTCAAACCGAATGTGCCCTGGCCTAATTTCCACAGGAACAGTGTCATCCTCTTCTTCACTTTCTTCATCAGGTTGTTGATGTACATCAGAAACGACACAATTATTATCTTTGATAGGTAATTCTTCTCCATCTTTTTCAGGAACCATACTCTTCATCAGCTGACAATTTGAAGAAAATAACATTTCCTTTCAAAAATAATGATTAAATATATTCTACAAATATTAAGCTTAGAGAAGTAGACTCCAAGAAAACTGATGAATGATTTCAACTCTTGCAATATTAAGACCCATGCATCTTACTAACCAGACAATAAGTTTATAACTCACAATACTGTATACAATAGTCCATGTTAAAGGTAAATAAATCGGGAGTAACATTACAAATCTGGACTACCTTCTCCTTCTCCTTCGCTAATTTTAGTTCCCTCAGCCATCTTCTTTTAGCTTTCTTCCGGCGAGCACTTCTGCTAGGCAACTGACAAAATAAAATAAAACCATAAAATTGAATTGTAAATACTTGAAGCCCGTCTACTGTGAGGAGATGGACTAGTAAAATATTGACTAGATGACCAAGTGATATGGTATCAAGCAAGATGATCCATAAAATTAGAAATTCCTAAATCACTGGGCACCAACTAATCTCCAAGTGCTGCAACTACAGTATACTATCTTGAACTAAATAAGAATGAGATGCTGCTTTTATTATCTCAAGACAGGAGTATTTTATTGACCAAGTACTTAAATTGGTCCTCTATATACATGGGAAAGCTAGTTGGTTCTTCAAAGATTTTTAGAAATCAATTTGGTCCATCATTGTTTAACATGGACATCAATTTAAAATCCCTCAATATGTCTGATGTATATGTTAACATAAATTTAATCCCCAACTCGAAGCTTATTTTACACTATGAAGGACCAAATTAATGTCCAATATTTTTGGAGGACTAACATTAAGTCCTATATATCTTTGGAAGCTCAATTTGAGTATATACTCTATTTTATTTCAGCCCTTTTAATTAGGAAATAGCAATTGAATCTTCCGCTGCATCAAGTCCTAATAAAATTGCTTGATGGAAATTAAACACTTGAAGATATATCCTGTCACAAATTCATTTTACCCTTTTAGGGAAGGAAGTAGGACACAAGAAAACAACAGCTATTCGAATCTACTACTAGCAGTACTTTCTAATTTGACTTGAAGAAATTATATACTTTTTACTCACTAAATTATCATATGTCTGGGTAGATGAGGAAAAGAATCAAGCTTAAACAGGAAACACTATATGTTTACAAATGAGCTTTGGCAATTTTATAATAGAAGTCAAAATGCAGAGGGTCATCATGGCAACATGGAACTTTGTTGTGTTTAGTTCGGTACAAACAAGTACAATTATTTAAAATGGTGCGCATAAAGCATTACCTTTTTAGTTTCACCTTCATCTTGAGGCTGATCAAACCTATACAACATATCAGAAAAAAAAATATAAGGAAAAAGATGCTTTCTATTTCTGATATTCTGAAACCAACATCCTCATCGTTCAGGAGCTTGACATTGGATGAAAAAAAAAGGGAGAGGAGGAATTCAGGAATCAAACATTCTATACATGACAACCAAAGGCATATTGTTTTATACTCCATCAAAGCACACCTCTCAATCAATAAACATAGACAAAAAAACAAAAAATAACCAAGATAAGAGATGATCAAATATGCACACAAAAATTGTCCATGAAATTTTATCAGTGCAATGCACAAATTTGATGAAAATGCACCTTTGTTCATCACTTGTAGCCCCACTTTTGTCATTCTTCTGTTTATTTAAATTAAGGCTGCTCAACTTATTTGGCTGACTAGAATCACTAGATAGATTGTCTGACATAAGAATAAACCGATTATGAATTCGGCCTTGAGAGCTACCATTTCCCTCTTCATGGACCTCAGGAGTGATGCCCAAACTTTTAGGAGTAGACAACTTAATCTTCTTCTGACTGGATGTAAAGAATAACAGAATTAAGTTACAACCCAAACAATGTTTACATATGCCAATAACTGCTTCTGATGTTCCAAACAAGGAAAAGAAAAAAAAAGTTTTTGAACAAAAAAGGGAGACCCCTTTATGCACTCGAAAACAAAACAAAGTTAAAATAAGAGCAGAAAGAGTAATGCATTCCTTGCACTGACAATTTTAAATTTGAGGAAAAGAAAAACAAACCTCGGGCTCTTGAGCTTCTTTGATGCTTTTCTTTTCTTCGAGATTGCTCTCTCATCTGATTTAGATTCCACACAAACTGCATCTTCAGATTGGTCACTGTTACCCTCTTGGGGCACAGTTTCACCTCCTCCATTCTCCTCTTGAATCCCCTCAATTGCCAGAAGTTTCGGAAGCTCTATAGATTGACGGCCACATGTTGCAGGTGGCAGCATTGCAGGTCTATTATCAGCTGATAAGCTTCCTTTTCGTTTCACACTACATATATACACATTCATAACAACACAGTCAGCAGAAACTATAGCGAAAGCAACACAAAATGTGGAAGAGACAATCAACTTAAACTCACCACACAATGTCTTTATCCTTCAAAATGCAAGTGGACTCAAAAGACGGTAAAACAAAACCATCCATCTGCATTAAAATTCAACCAAAAACAAAAAAAACGGAATCACAGCTATCCAAATCCTCAATCGTCAACAAGATACACTAAACAAGTAAACCAATGGAATCATCAAATCATGATTATCGAAATGGATGCATTTCTTTCAATTGAAATAGCTTGAGTCAGAGGTAAAAGAGGAAAAGAACATGCATACCGATAGGATGATGCCATGAGGACAAGTGCGGTGAAGATGGAAAGTGTTTTGGAGCTGAGAAGTTACATCGGAAATGGTGTTGTGTTGGGGTTTTAGCAGAAACCAGCAACGCTTCAGTCCTTCCTTCTTCTTTGACTTGCTCAACATGCGACGATCTTCGAACACGAGCCGAAGTCTGACTGTCTCCGCCATCGTCGTCGATGCAGCGTTCACCGTCACGGCTTTTCCGGCAACCGCTGTTCTCTCTTAAACCCTTGTAAAACGGGGAGTCAGAGTCACTAGTGTGTTGTACTTAAGGGGCCAGCTTTGAAATGACAAATTTAACCCGCGAATTTTATTTTATTTTTTAATTGAGTGAAATCCAAATTTTGTCATTGAGAAATGAGAAGGGAATGTGCGCTCTATAAAATCTAATATTAAATTAAAAATAAGAAAGAATAAAATTACGTAATTTTTTATTATATTGTAAATTAATAAATATCTTTAGTATATTTTTTTAATGAAAACACAAGTAGAACTATCATCAGTAAAAATACTGCATATATAATTACTATTATAAATATTGTGTTTTTATTATTAAAGTATTTAGAAATAACAAAGCATTGTCTTTTTTTTAATTTCAAATAGTAAGAAAAAACAGGAGAGTAAAAGATTGGGCAAATTTATTATAATATTGTAAATTAAAAAATAATTTATTATTTTATAACAAATCTGAAACAAATTCTTAATCTGGAGTTTTTTTGTCACGTGGATCAATTTTTCGCCCTAGTGGCTGGCAAAAGTAATTAATTTTTGAATATCTATTTCGCCACAAAAAGTACGAAATATGACTTCTTAGAGCGGTTACTTTAAAACCGCTCTCATAACTCTATTTTAGAGAGCGGTTTCTTATGAATCGCTCTCAGTAGTAATTTTAGAAAGTGTTTCTTATGAACTGCTCTGAAATTTTAATATTAGAGAGCGGTTCCATTTAAACTGTTCTCAAAAATTATGTTAGTGAACGGTTCCATATGAACCACTCTCAAAAGTATATATTAGAGAGCGATCCTGCCAGAACCGTTCTCTTAGATTTAGAATTTAAAATGTCACATTCTCCAATTTTATTTTTTAAAATTTGTTTTTACAAATCTTGAAATAAACGCCACCTAATAACTTTGTTAAGATAAACTAATGAAATGGTTCAAATTTAATTGAGAATTACGAGTCATCATTGATCACCTTCTCGGACACTTCAACTAGTCACAGTCAAGCATAGCCCCACCTACAATTGTCCATGATCCCCACACTTAGGATTTAAACTTTGAGACAATTTTAGAGTTAATGTGTTGCTAACCCATTAATTTATATCTTAACATTGTCTTTCAAGTCTAACATATTCAACTTCAAGACAAATTTAGAGTTTATGTGTTGTTCTTAACCCATTAACTCATAGCTTAACATGCTCTTTAAGTCCGACGAGTTTGTTGAATTGGAGTAAAGTAGTATAATCCTAATAGAAATTGCTCATCGTTATTTTCAAGGTTGTTTACCACTACATTACTTGTGTTTGCCTTTGTATCCCTAATGATTGCATGGGATGTCAACGAATCATTTTCCATGTTGCATTGACCTATCGAAAACAATTCCTTCATCCATTAATCTCCAAAAAACCCCTCAGTAAATCCTATTGAAGCTTGAAAGGAAAAAACATGAATGGAATACCCTAAGACCTATAATTCTTTGTAACGTCTAAAGAACAGTCATGAAACTCTTGAGATAAAACTCCATGGTACTTTAAAAAGTCAAACCATGTAAAAGATAAAGAATAATGTGTGAAACCATAATCTTTAAATTAAAACTTTTTATTGGCAAAAAATGCAATAAGATACTTACTCGAGTTCGTGTACAACAAATTATGAAATAATTAAAAATTAATTTGGTGTAATTAACTATTTCACTTTTATCTTTTGATGAGTTATGTTTGTTTTAATTGAAATAGAAAAAAAAATCGTCTTTGAATTGGATATATTAAAATAGATATTTTTAGTTAAATTAGACCGAATCCATCCAATAAAGTATAAGATTTGAATTCTAAGTTTTAAACTCAAATTATATTTAAATTCTTTTAGTTTAATTTAAATAAGTTAGATGTGAGTTAAGTTTGCAATAATTACAAAAAATAAATTAAATCTTATCAAATTTAAGCAATATATTATTAGTCTAAATTAAAATTAATTTTATTTTCAAGAATAAAATTCATAATCTACAATGGTCGAACTCAAATAAACCAAATAGACTAATTATAATTTAAATAAATAAAATATGCAAAATAAAAAATATCATATAAAAATTACATTAAAATAAATAATTATAAACTTAAAATAGGCGTGAAACATAGGAGGAAGGTCAGAGTTATATATAATTTAAATTAAAAAATTTTAATTTTTTAATTAATATAAATACCATTTATTTATTCATTCACTCTTTTATTTCTTTAAATAAGTGAAAATATATTTTTTATTAACAGTGCATTAATTTTACTTTATTTAGAAATGTGTTCGGACATGTAAACTATTCCATCTCAATTTTTCAGTTAAATAAATAAATAAATTTAAATTTAATAATTATTTAAATATATTAGATTTGAAATCCATAAATTTTGCCTAGTTTTAATTTTTAAAATTATATATTAAATAAATAACCATTAACTTTCATAAAAAATTAATCTCTTAAAACTGTTACTTAATTTGAATAAATTTATCAAAGTAAAAAAAAAGGGTAATATAAAAAAATTCTTAAATAAATTATAATCAATTTATACTTTATTATTTTTTAAAAATTATTTTTATTTAATTTATCTAAAATTTATTAAAATAAATAATTTTAATTTATATTATTTTTCTTATATTACGACAAGAGTTTGTAACTTGGAAACTCAAAACCAAATACATCATAAGTTGTTTGAAAGACACTTTTCTTACGGCTTAATTATAAAAGATAATCCAATGTCTTATAAGATTTGCAATAATCAATTAATTAAATTATAAACGGAGGTTTCATCCACCAGCAGTGCAGGTGCAGGGAAGAGGAAAGAGTGAGTGTGTGAATGACGATGATGCCCTTGAACATAAACGGAATTACTACGTTACAAAAGAGAGGACGTAATAACATAATTACGATTTGATAGAAGGATACAGAACGGTTGCTCCTTGTGGAAATGAATATAAAGAACAGCGAAAACAAGTGGATCTGAATTCACATGGGACTCACCACAACCAGAAAACGTTGCTTTCTTCTGTGGTAAGCATAACAGTTGTTGATACTGCTGCATAGTCAAGTCATAGAGAGAGAAATACATTTAGAGAGAGAGAGAGAGAGAGAGAGAGAGGGAGAGAGCAAATCGGAGCATGGCGGAGCTCCGTCACTCCTCCTCACTCGGCAGCCGAGCGTCGTCTTCTCCGATGAAGAGAGACGGCGTCGGCGATTCCTCGCCTCTCATTTCTGACAATCACCACGCCGACGACGAGCACGATCGCCACTCTTCTAAGGAACGCGACCGTCATCTATGCTCCTTCTTCACCGACGACCCTAGGGCTTCTCCTCACAACTCCAGGATCTCTCTCGTTTTCACCTTGCTTCTTCTCCTCGTTGGTTTATTTTCCGTATTCACAATCCTCCATAAACTCGTGAGTGCTCTCTGCATCTTAAGATTTCATTCTTTGCCTTTCGCTGTGCAGCTTTGTTTATCTGAAATTGAATGGTCGGGGAACATGTATGTGCAATAAATTGTTTGCTATTTTGATTCGGTAACATTCTGCATTTCCTGGCTTTAGTAATGAGTAGCTGCACAGGTAATGCGTGGATTTTTTGTCGCGCAGAAAGAAACAATTCAGCTGATGCAGTTAAATGTCTTACTCCTTTCTTTAAATAAGTTATAGTAGTTGATTTCGTCTTCAATTTATTGTAGAATGCGCCTTACTTGTGTAAAAAAGACGGGATTGTTCTTCATTGCCCACACGTAAGTTATCAAAGCCATTTCCTCCTCCTATATTGTTCAACGGTGTTCTTTTCCCACTGACAAGGCCTGTGCGGTGTTATTTTTAGGTTAAAGAATCACCATCTCTTTGGGAAAATCCTTTCTCATCCACGACATCTTGGAAGCCCTGTGCTGAGCGCCGGGATGGTGTAATATCAGGTTTCCTTGGGGTTTTCTGTCCCTTAATATAATATATTTGTCATCTCATCAGCATTGCGAGCCATGCCGAAATGGGCTATTGTCAATTAACAAATAAGCTAATAAAGTCATCTTCATCCGGAAGTTATGACAGTTTAACAAATTTTGCATTTGTATGTAGCATCAACAAACTATAGTTATAATTATCTTAAGATGTAATCATTTCTAGTTATTGCTGCAATGTAATTCTCGTTAATGGAGTGAATGGACCCTTCAACCTTTTTATCACTTTCTCCATTTTTTATATAACCTGTGCAAAATCCTTAAGTTTGAAACAAGGAAGTTCCGTGTTACTAATCTATAAAGTGATATTTCATTTTTAATTTTTTTTTTCACGTAATGTAATTAGCCTATTCATCTCTTATATGTTACTATGAATTATGTTAATATTAGTGCTGTGCATGCTGTTTATAATGCTGTTGCTATTACTGATAGTACTTTCATACCTCATGTAGAACTTCCTCCTGAAAATGAAACAAATGGCTATATATTCATCCATGCTGAAGGTGGTCTAAATCAGCAAAGAATTGCGGTATGAGTATGTTCTTTCAGTTGTGATATTTCTAGTTTAGACTTAATTTATTTTCTGAAGTTCACCTTGAATTTTGCACTTACTATTTGCTTGTTTTCTTTTGCACTGCCATCATTCTCTTGGTACACTGCATACAATTTAGTTGGAGAACTTTTATTCCTATTGTCATATATGTGACAGTATTTATTTACATATTTATTCAATTTGATTGTGTGCAAAGACCCTCCGCTGAAGTGATGTTACTATTTTCAATTTGATGCGCTAGTGATACCCCTAGAATTACAATTTAAAATTGGTTTTGATGCTAGCTCAATGTTGCAAATACTAATTTCCTGTCTTGTGTTGTGCATTGTAATGATCTTAAGATTTGACACCGCAGAAAGTTTTATAGAATTGTATGTAATATTTATCTGTCATTGATTTACTTTGGCCCATTTTGCTAAATGCAGATATGCAATGCAGTGGCTGTGGCAAAAATAATGAATGCCACTCTTATTTTGCCTGTATTGAAGCAGGATCAGATTTGGAAAGATCAAACGTGAGATCTCGTCCAAAAATTTTCTCATATTGTTCTTATAAGTTTGATTATTACCACCATCTTGCTAAGCACATATATGACAGTAACATATCACATTGCCAATATCATATTGTTTTGCCCAATAAAGTCAATAATTTTTAATTTCTAATCACGCAGGTCAATTCTTTTATTACTCTGATACCTATAGTTTCCTCTTTTCTCCAGTCAGTTTTTGTCTTATCTGGTAGATTTCAATGGCAATCCTCCTTGCTGACCATGATGATGCATTTCATGATTGCAGGAAATTTGAAGATATTTTTGATGTGGATCACTTCATTGACTACCTGAAGTATGATGTTCGTATTGTGCGTGATATCCCAGAATGGTTTACTGATAAAACAGAGCTATTTTCTAGTATAAGGTTTGATAGATTGATGTGATCTATTTATTTTTCTGTTGAAAACTTAAATCTCAAGTTGCCATAAGAGATTGATAAATATGTCCTTTTTTCCCCTTACATTTTAGAGATGAATTCATATGTCCTGATCCAATATATTTTTTTATTTTCTGTTTTATCCATGGATTGATTGACATGAGGTTTGGTTGAAGTGCTGCAGTTTGTGGACCAAATAGCATGATAAATATGAATTTAAAATTTGATTCCTGTGCTTCTGATTTGAGTCTTTTGCATACTTGGAGCCAGTTTTATATTGGTTTTCTTTTTCATATATGGATTTATTAAGGTTTTGGTTGAAGTTCTAGGTCTTTTGACCAAATATCATAATAATTAATTATGTTTTCTTATTTAAATTACTAGTTCACTAAACATGTCCAATGTGGTGATGATTTTTTGGTTGGTAAGGGGGGACTGTGTATGGACTGAAAAGACACAAACTGAAGGTCCTGTCTACATTTCTATCTTTCAAATTTTATCTATTTTACATGTTTCTCTTAGCTTTAGGATATTGTTACCAACTGTGTCTACCAGGATATTTCTGATAATTAGTGTTTGATAAATGCCTTCCTGGTTGGTTACAATTGGCTTGACTAACAAAGATAAATATATTGTCTTTCAGACGGACTGTAAAAAACATTCCAAAATATGCACCTGCACAATTTTACATCGACAACGTTCTGCCCAGAATCAAGGAGAAGAAAATTATGGCTCTGAAACCTTTTGTTGATAGGCTGGGGTAGGCCAAGCGTAATATATATGCTAGATGCCACTTTTTTATATGCAATTAATGTTGTCATGATGTCTTTGATCTTCTTTCAGATATGATAATGTTCCTCCGGAAATCAACAAATTGAGGTGTAGAGTTAATTATCATGCTCTGAAATTTCTTCCTGATATAGAGCAGATGGCTGATCTGCTAGCTTCAAGGATGAGAAACCGAACAGGCAGTTCAAATCCTTATATGTATGTGATATTTTTTATCAAGATCTTGCTGCTGTAGCTGAGTTTTGATGCATTTTCCAGTGTCATTATGATTTAAAATTTTCATTGTAAGCAGGGCTCTGCATCTTAGATTCGAGAAAGGAATGGTGGGCCTATCATTCTGTGATTTTGTGGGGACTAGAGATGAGAAAGCTAAAATGGCAGAGTACAGAAAAAAGGAATGGCCTCGACGGTACAAGGTGCCATACTACTATCTTTTATTTGAAATCAACATTACCAGTTGGAACTTTTTAATGGATCATTTGATCCATTATCTTTGTTGAAAATGCAGAATGGCTCCCACCTGTGGCAGTTGGCTCTGCAGAAGCGTAAGGAAGGACGATGTCCTCTGGAACCTGGAGAAGTGGCAGTAATTCTTCGGGCTATGGGCTATCCAAAGGAAACACAAATTTATGTAGCTTCTGGACAAGTGTATGGTGGACAGAACAGGATGGCTCCACTGAGAAATATGTTCCCTAATCTGGTAAGACTTCTCAACTACTACGTGACTTATAAAAAATGAGCATGGTGCTGCTACCTTGATGTTCTGAAAAGATTTTGAAGCTTCTGTTTTTCTGTTTTCTTTTTATGAAAGTCACCCATTCATTATGTAAGGAATTTAGTGATCTCATGACTCGGGATTCTAATGTCAGTTGAGGCTATGAAGCTATGTTTATTTATCCATACAAATATTCCCTTGATTCTTTTACTTTTGCTATATGATTAATCTTTCCCTTTTTGGTAACAGGTTACGAAGGAGGAGTTGGCAACTAAAGAGGAGTTAGATGGTTTCAGAAAGCATGTGACGAGCCTAGCAGCTCTTGATTTCTTGGTGTGCTTGAAGTCAGATGTATTCGTGATGACCCATGGAGGCAACTTTGCTAAGCTAATCATTGGGGCCCGTAGATACATGGGTCACCGTCTAAAATCAATTAAACCTGACAAAGGACTGATGTCCAAGTCTTTTGGTGACCCATACATGGGTTGGGCTACTTTTGTAGAAGATGTTGTTGTCACTCACCAGACACGGACGGGATTGCCAGAAGAGACTTTCCCTAACTACGATCTCTGGGAGAACCCTCTTACTCCTTGTATGTGTAGAGCCTGATTAGATTACAGCAATTTCATTGGTGACAATGCGACATTACTCAAGATACATTTCCAAGAAACATGAATTCTATCTATCCCAGGGTGGAAAAATCTTGGTCTGCGGTTGAGGTATGAGGACGGTAAATAGAAATTTGGAATAGAGATAATGGCTTGCAGGAAGTGATACTCGTCTGTTGATTATCATTTTAATGAACAGATTTCCTATTTTGAGTATTCTCTTTGCCGAGACACCAGGTGGAAGTTTTGTTTTTCATCTAACATGTAGGGATTCCTCGCTCACTTTTCTTCCTCCTGGAAAGAAATTGATATTTTTTGTACTGAGATAAATGTGCAAATCATTAATGGATTACGTGTTAACTTTGTTCTTTCGTTTGGAACTTCTGTTGATAGTGAATTTTTTAAGCTCTGTGAAAACTCCGTTGTGAACTTGTGATGTCTTGGAAATCCCACAAAGTCGGTTTCAAATCTGTACACAAACAGGTGTTGCTGGGTTTCATTGTGACATTTATGATGAATAATGAGCGAACGAGCCCTTGGCTGCGAAAGATTAGTTCGATTAGCTTTTTTTCTGTCGGGTCATGTTTGACTAGGCTTTCAAGATCTGGAGAAGTGTTTTGTTACAAGTGTAAATGGTTAATCATATCCGATTCTGAAGAAAAAATCTGTGCTGTTTTAACAAGGGCCCAAAAACTATATGGGCAAGCCTGATGATATTTTAATGAGAGGCCCATGGGAGTGCGACGTCTGTAGCTATATTCCTCTGTTATTAAATTAAATCTAAGGAATATGATTCTTGTGTTGGTATTGAATTAATATTTAAGGTATTAGATCAAAAACGAAGAAAAGAAAAGGACAATATGTATATATAAAAAGTTCACGAGAAAGGAAATTGCATACCTAACGCTGGAATAAACAAACGGATGAGATAAATAAACCAATCATTGCTTCAATTAAGGAACATATTTAATTACTTCAAAAGAATTACGTACATTTTGTTGATGGACTTGATTAGTCAAAGCCGAGCCGAGCCAAAATGAAATGGGAGTTTCTGTACGTTGGGAGATAAATCTGCGGGCACGCGCCTGCCCCTTCATTTCTCTTCACGTTTACCTACGAAGATGTCGAGCTCCTTAAACGAGGTTGCGGATGAAACAAAACCACACGTGTGAAACCGACCTCATTCAACCCTTGCAGAGTATAATTGTCACTGTGTAAGTAATCAAAATCATCCTTTAAGTAGGCTGCAACTTAAGAATTGCAGGTAACTATTAAATTAATGAATACGCTTGACCACCTATGTCATTTTTTTTAATTTAAACATTAACTACAGAATAATTAACCTTTAATGAATGACATTTTTAGATAAAAAATTTAATATAATATTTATAGTATATTTTAATTAAAATCAATTTCTATTTTGCTACTTCTCTCTGAATTCTTTCATTCTTTATTGATTATTTTAAAAAATTTACATATTTTTACTTACTATATCCAGTTCTTTTTATTAAATTAAATACTTCCTATTTTTTAAGAGTATGTTAAACCCACTTGATAACATTATCCCTGTTAATAAATTAAAATAATGAATATTTATTAGTATATATAATTGCTTGAACTCGGCGATAGAACAGCGGCACCAGCAAAAGCAATAATGAAGTGTTTCTCCTTATCCTTGCTCTCTCTTTGTGTTCTCCTTTGTCTCTGTTTTAAGAGGTATGTTGGCGTTGCCTCTTTTTTTTCTTTTTCTCTTGCCATCATTTAGTTAATTGCGTGTTTTACTTGCATGTTTCCTTAACATACACTCTCCACATTGGAAGATAAATTCGATCAGTAATTGGATGGCTTAGATCATAGTTTCTGGTTAATTGCACAATTTAATCCAAAACGCATTAAGTTTTATGCTGTTTTTTAAAAGGTTGATCTTATGAGTTGCTTTAAAGTTCAAATATAGTATTTGATCACTGCATGGCAAAACCTCCTCCGAATGCGGTTTATGGCTATCGTACCTATGATAACTTTTAAAATCAGTATCTAAATTTCATTTTGGCTATAAGACACTTTTCTGGCATGAAGTCAACTCCAGGATTCTGATTGACTTTGATTTATTTGATGGGTTTTGAGGTAGAAACTCACTATTCAGTACAGATTCCAGCATTTATGTTGATTGTCACAAATATTTTTTTGGATTGTTATAAACAAGCTTCAATTCGGAACTGGGTGTGTGTGAAATAAATTTGAAATCTCATAAGCAAGCTTCAATTTTGTCCTAACTAATTGAATCCTTATTTGTTTGTTCAACCATATCCTAATGCAGCCTAAGGGTGTCTTAATCTTTGAGGCCTTGTTCTGTCATTACTTGTGAGATATTAGAGAAATAAGTAGAGATAACTCTAAAATATATCTGATTGTGTCATTTCAGTGTGTCATCTAAAAATGTATCTGAGAGTGACCTACAGCAAGCTAGCATCCCACCAAGAGGTTGGAACTCTTATGATTCCTTTTCCTGGATAATTTCTGAAGAAGAATTCCTACAGAATGCTGAAATAGTTTCTCAGCGTCTCCATGATCATGGATATGAGGTATAGGTTGTCCAAGAACCCATAGCTTATGGATGAGTTTGAATATGTTAGTAGTACTTCTGTTAGATATAGACATGATATTTTTCCTTTAAACCTTTGTAGTTTGTTGTGGTGGATTACCTCTGGTATAGAAGGAAAGTTGAGGGTGCTTATCATGATTCTCTTGGATTTGATGTGATTGATGAATGGGGGAGGATGCTTCCTGATCCAGGAAGGTGGCCTTCTTCAAAAAATGGGAAAGGGTTTACCGAAGTAGCTAATCAAGTACATAGCATGGGTTTAAAGTTTGGGATTCATGTTATGAGAGGCATAAGCACACAGGCTGTCATTGCAAACACCCCTATCCTAGATACAACAACGGTATTGCTTTGTATTTCTGCTATAACTTGATTATGCTAATTTCTTTCTTGCTTTTTTTTAGGACAAAAGATATGTTGTAATGGATGCTCCATTTAATACATTTTATCCAAAATATAACATTATAGGCAAGATATGTGGATGTTGTTTTACCTTAATCCAAAGTTTCTCATTGACCATTGATTTCCTTCTCTTTCGATTTGTTAGGGAGGTGCTTATCAAGAATCTGGTCAGGTGTGGCATGCAAAAGACATAGCAATCCCAGAAAGGGCCTGTGCATGGATGCCTCATGGTTTTATGAGTGTAAATACAAAGTTGGGAGCTGGGAAGGCTTTTTTGAGGTCCCTTTATGAGCAGTATGCTGCATGGGGTGTTGACTTGGGTACTTGGAGTCTTGGACTACTATTTATATTCTGTTTATAATGCTCTATCACAATATATTCATGTCATTGATGGAAACCATTATGATTTCAAACAATTTGCATCAGCTTCACTAAGTTTGGATTGGTGAAGCATTTATACTTAATTTTGATACATTAATGGTCTCATAAGCCCAAGCCTGCTTAAGGAAAGTCAAAAGGGAAGCAGATCGGTTTCGAGTGAATGACTATTCTGAGATAGAACAAGAAAAATTAAATTTAATTAATTTACTTCAATTAGTGGTATCAAGTCATATCACTGGAGATTCTATTTCCGGTGAACATAAAATCCACATAGCCCACTTCTACGGGCCACACTCATATATTTAGTCAACTGCTAATATATTTTCATCCATTCTAGCCGTCTAGAAATGAGTAAATATCAAAGTATTGATTGATTATTTGTTCTGCTTTAATTTAGACACTGAATTAAAAATGCAATAGACAGTACTCAATGAACTTTAAACTGTAGTAAGCAGTTCTACCTTTCTTTGGCAGTTATTTTTAACAGCTTTTCTACTTTCCTTCCAGTGAAACATGATTGTGTATTTGGAGATGACTTGGATTTAAATGAGATAAGCTATGTGTCAGAGGTATTCTGCACTTCTCCCTCCCTCTCATTCTTATACGGACACTGAGATTGGTAATATTAAGGAAGATCCATATGAAACTTACCATATCACATGGCATTCCAGGTTCTCAAGGAGCTTGACCGCTCCATTGTATATTCTTTGTCTCCTGGAACCAGTGTGACACCAGCCATGGCCAAGGATGTCAGTGGACTGGTCAATATGTATCGTATAACAGGCGATGACTGGGATTCATGGTGGGATGTTAAAGCTCATTTTGATGTAACCAGGTGGTTAAATTGTTGTGTTTTAGTTCAAAAATGTGTATCAGTCTTCAGCATACCTTACAATTATGTTGCTTCTCAATCTGTGATATAAAATTCGATCACCATATTATATAAATTTAGTTCATTCAATTCTGAATCAGGGATTTTTCAACTGCTAATATGATAGGAGCAGAAGGTTTAAACGGGAACTCCTGGCCTGATTTGGACATGTTACCATTTGGATGGCTAACTGATGCTGGTAATAAGGCTGGGCTGCCACGTTTTCTCTTCCCTGTATGAATGTCATGAACCTCGTCTATTTAATTAGTTAGTGATCAGCAACGTACTTATAGACTCGATTACTTCACTTTTTCATTATTTCTTTCTCCTCTTTCCTCTATGTCTGTCCATTTTTATTATTTTATATAATTTTTTTCATTTGAAACCAGAATCTTCTGGCATTCTGAAGCTTTGTCTGCAGATATACTCATTCTATTAGCATGAGGACTTTTCTGGTGCACTGAAACTTTTTGATTAGAAAGGCTCAATTTACAATCTCATACCATAAAAAATTGCTATAAGCTATTTGAATTTATTCTCAAAAAAGAATATGGATCATGACACTGCATTTCACCTCTTGTTTTTTCCAAGGTTCAAATGAAGGGCCACATAGGTATAGTCATCTCAATCTAGACGAGAAGAAGACACAGGTAAATATTTATAAGAGCACAAGAAGTTGCTTTCCCATATATTCATGTGTTAATTTTAGTGTGCATTCTACTGTACATGCATTATTATCAATATACACTCAGTGAAAGTATTATTATCCCACAGATGACTCTCTGGTCTATGGCAAAGTCTCCCCTTATGTATGGGGGAGATGTTCGGAAGCTTGATTCTACCATATATGATATTATCACAAATCCTACCCTTCTGGAGATTAACTCTTTTAGCTCAAATAATATGGAGGCATGTGAGCCATCTAACTGTTTTTTTATTTTATTTTTGGGGGTGGGTGGGTGGAGGGGATACTGTGTTTGTTGAATTAATATATTTTTTTTGCTGAATTGGCAGTTTCCTTATATCACAAGTCTGAATAGCAAAGATCAGGATCTTGAAGGACAAATGAGAAGAAGCAGCAAGGAAATGAAACCAATGTATACAAATTCGTTAGGCCTCACTAGCTGCTCTGAGTCAAAGGCAAGTGGTTGGACTAGTAAAACTCCCAATCAAGATCTTGAAAGAATATGTTGGAAAAGGAGTTTAGGAAAGAAGTATCTTGCCCCTTTCTGTGTTCACAAGAGAGAACTTCACTTCACATTGTAATCATGCTTTGTCTTTCTATGTTCCATTTTCCTAATTTTGAGTTGAATATTAATGTTGTTAACAACAGAAATTGTTATTTTGATGCCGATACAGAGATGAAGAGAATATGTATCAAGAGTATCATCAGGAGAAGTATCATTTAGTAGCAACCAACAGAATTAAATTTTGCCTGGATGCTTCTCCGAAACGCAGGCTTACATCTAAAGAGTTCAAGAGGGGTACATTTTCTCCTTGCAGGTGGGACTCAAATCAGGTATGTTGTAGTCCATGTTTAAGCTGTGCAAGAGTGACATGTACCCAGCATGTAATTTTTGCAGTTCCTCTCTGGGGTGGATGAAAATTCCAGGATAATCTTGTTTTTACATCATATGCCTTGGCCAAATATTTTACTTGAAATAACCATAGGATTTGCATTTATTTTTATTTTCATGTATTCTATTGGAAGTTGATCTTTGGGGACTTTAACAGATGTGGCAGCTGCATCCTAATTGGACGCTGGTGAACAGTTATTCTGGCTTGTGTGCAACAATAGAGTCTATCAAAGGTGAAATTTTGTAAATATATACCACTTTCTAGAATGATAGTGATTCATGCAATTTGTTGAGTTTTTTTTCTTTAATTTATATTCATAATGCAAGTGGTTCATTTATGCAGATGCCAGCAGTTCTGGTGGTTTTCGGTCTTGGATTGCAACGGGAAGAAAAGGTTTGTTACCAACAAAAATTAGAGATGAATGAATCTTGAGTTTTCCAAACATCAAAACAGAAAATTGACTGATCAGAGGCTAGGCAATTAAGTACTTGGATAAAAAAAAAACAGTATATGTCCAATCTTTCAGAAAACACAAATAGAGGACATATCCTTCCTAATAACCCAACTTGCATGATTGCATGCTGCGTTTGTGTATATTTGCAGGACATTGATGGCGAACTAGCAAGCCACAACAAATAATTATTTGTAGTTATTCTCTTCTAACTCGTAGAGTTGTATCTCTATGCAGGAGAAGTCTATGTTGCTTTCTTCAATCTAAGCGAACAGAAGACGGTGATATCTGCGCAGATGTCAGACCTGGCTAAGGTTCTTCCAGGCAGAGACTTCAGTTCTTGTGAGGGCAGTGAATTATGGAGTGAAGATGACACTGAAATAATACAAGGAACATTGTCAGCGTCAGTGGAAATGCATGGAAGTGCACTATTTGTTCTGAATTGCAACTAGCCCTCCCTACAAACCAAAGAATAAGAAAGAAGAAAAAAAAAGTAAAGCAAATAGCATCTCACAGTCACAGGCTAGTGAGCCTTAATTTTTGTTCTATTCTATCCATCTTCCTATGTTTAAGGTGGGCAAAATTTGCATGTAAAATGAGTTTCCACATATAACTATTGGACCACATCTTGTGAGACAAATTAAGTAGGTCATGATAGTTGTTCTAGTGGCTAATGGCTGCTTGATAGAGATGGCCTCATGGTGGTTGTGAAAAGATCACATTCTCTTTGTCAAATTAAAATAAGTGACCTAATAGACAAGCACTAAGTGGTCACTCGCAGTACCAATTAGCTTTTTACACAACTGTAAATTTGATTGCACTAGCAGGTTATGTTGCAACCTTTGATGCATCATAGTGATTCAGTTCAAAACAATGCATGATGACTTAAAAGGGCAAGAGGTACACTAGTATGAGTATCTAATCTGCCCACAAGCATGAAGGTTGGGACGGAAAACTTAAGCTTGTGTTTTCTATGAAGAATCAACATTTAAACAATAATATTAGTTCAGCGACGTGAAGCTTACCATTTAGTACTCATTTGGATTATTATTAACAAACTTAATCCTTTTTTTATAATAAAAATATATACTTCAATAAGAAAAAATATAATGATTGAGATCAATTTTAACATATTTCTTAATTACATTCACTAGTTTAAAATTAATTTTAAAATAAATGAGTCCTCAATCTTTAGAAAACAAAAACAAAAGATAAATTAATGATTATCTAATGTTAAAGGTGCCAAAGTATTGAACTTAACCCTCGTTAGATTGGGCTGGTTTAGGCTTTCATTGAGTAGCGGTAAAAAGTTTGTTTTTTTATTCAAGCTTTAAATGTGCGTTTATATATATACACTGTATTCTTGTGTAAAAATTGTTCAGCATATTTTTTTTTTGTTATCAATAAAATAATTTTGAAATTTCTTACATTTATATTTATTCAATTTTTTCATGTATTTACATGTATATGTGCAATATATGAGATAATTATGTAATTTTTAGTATTTTAAAAATAAAATATTAATTTGATTCTTAAAATTAATTTATTGGTAAATTTTGTTCATAACATTATGAGGAAGGAAGTTTAATTCATGGTTTTAGCAATTGTCAGCCAACATTACTCTGTTTTGGTCAAATTGGTCTACCCTTTTTTCATTGTTAAGTACTAAATTGATTAATGGTTGATAATAAAAAATGATTTATATTTTGTAAGGTATTTATAATTTATAATATAATCTTTTAAAGAAATTACCCAACATAATAAAAGTCTATTTTTTCCAAAAAAAAATGTATTTTCGTGAAAAAAAAAATGAAACAAGTAGGCTCTGATAAATTAACGTACATTTATCAAAACTAGGAACAAAAATTAATTTTCATTTAGTGGAGCCATTTTTTCCAAATTGTGATACACTGTGACACTGGGTTTAGGTAGGACAAAATGGACTTTTCACCTTTATAAGAGCATAAGCGTTAGGGTTGCTACGCACATAAACTGAAGCAAACGAATCGTCCAAAATCAAAATTTCGAAAGGGTTTTCGGTTTGAGCAGAGAGAAAACGATGGGAGTGTTCACATTCGTGCTACGCAAATCCGGCGCCGAATGGACGGCGAAGCAACATTCCTGCGACATCGAGGAGTCATCGGAGTCCACTTTCGACATCCAAAGAAAGCTCGTCAATGCCGCTCGCGCCGTTGATTCCTCCGGCGCTGTTCAGTCCTCTTTCTCTTTCGTTTCACCTTCCTCCGCCGTTTTCCAGGTACTACTCATCATTTATATCTATGCTTCTACGTTTTCCATTACCGTTTTCTTCCTTCTGGATTTGTCTATCTATTTATTTGGATTCCATTGCTTGTAGTTATTTAGATTCTATAGCATTCTTTTGCAATGCGGTTTTAGAATTTTTACTTACTTAGGTTTTGTTCCATTTGTGTTTCTGTCTGTCGTTCAGATGATTGGAGGTTTGCTTCGGTTTTGAGAATTTGTGTGATGAGGAGAGAAAATGAGAGCGGAATTGGAATTTTTATTCCCCTGTTCTGTTTGGTGTGGATTTGATTCGCTTTAATAGGATTTATCTGTTCCTGTGTTTGTTATGTTAGAATTGGATTTAAAAAGTAGGATGGAAAATTAACCACAAGTTTCCTCATGTACGATGAAATGCTTATATTCCTACAATTTAATGAATGTCGATTTTCTTAGGGATGCATGCTTGAGTTTTCTATAACTTAAGCATTCTTGATACTTTGATGTATAATGAATGCAGTGGTAGATATATTTATTACTAAAATTTACGAATACTAATTAACCTTCCTTTTCTCATCTTGAAGTAGGAGCTGAGTTATTTTGCCACCATGGGGAGTCAGACCCTGTTTCTGGTGTGTCAAAACAGGGGTATTGTGTAATTGTGTTGGTTTTGAATGCTTGGATTTAACTATTTGAGGGTTTTGCTGAATAACTATATTGAAGCTTGGTGTTACTGTATGTTGTCTGTGCATGGTATGGAGATCTGAAGGAAGGAGACACTTGTATTTGAGATAGGATAGTGGGGTAAGAACTTGGTGGCTATAGCTTATAGGCACTTTTGTGTGCATGATAAGCATGACGCTACACATGCTTGTCGAATACTTATGTTAGGATGTTAATCTTCTTCAACCGCATGATTGATCAATGATCAGCTAATATTGGCCTTGGTTAATTGTTTGCTCAGGTGATTGTGGGTGGTGCAGTATTTGTTGGTGGTGGTGTAACTGCAGCTGCTGCTCCTGCAGGAGGTGCTGCCCCCGCTGGTGATGCTGCCCCGGCTGCAGAGAAGAAAGAAGAAAAAGTTGAGGAAGAGGAGGAGGATGATGATTTGGGATTGTCACTCTTTGATTAGAGTTTTCTAGTTTCTTTATTTTTTTTTCTGGTAACTTCTTTAGTTTTATGGGTAGAAATTATGTATTGGTTTTTTGCACCAGATTAATAGTACTTTTGGTTCCCAATAATATTTAATGTCTTTTTCACCATTTCATTTTTTGATATGTGCCTCATCTCCCAAAATGTTTAAATTAATATTTTTTGATATTTAGTTTTCTAAAATGAAATATTAATAAAAATACATTATTAAAGAGAATTAGCACGTAAAGATACAATTGCACAAGTTGCAATCATTTATTATTAGAATTATTTCAGTAACTATTATTTTAGTTTTATTATATCCTTGTTATATGTGTTTAGATTTGTATTATAAAATTAATAAATGTAGATTCAATTCAGAAGTTACAACTAATAAGAATGTTAGTAACATACTCTTAATACATCTTTTATTACGAACTAAAATTTATTAAAAAAATTTAAAAAAAGTATAAAAGAAAAATAATTTAAAAATAAAAAAATAAAATTTATGTATTTTTAAATTTTAATTAATAATAAAAGGTATATTTCTAATCTTACGCGATAATAATATTAGAATGAATTGAAATCATGAACAGTAAACGTAAAACCAACATACAATTAGAGTAGTTGAAGACTAGTAGATGAGTAGCCTGAGGATTTAATTAAGCAGTAAAATTTATCTTTCTAAAAACCAATATCACGCTGTAAGTGGGGCTGTGGCTAACTTTCTAAAAGGACCACAATTTGGAGAAGTGGTACTTATAAAGATGGCGTTAGCAGCAAATAATTTTTGCAGGTGATAGCATTTTGTTCATAGTGCCCCATCATCTACATCTACACGATAATTTAAAATAATTGTATAAATTTGAAACTTGAAAGTGATGTTACAATATAACAACTCTTCAATAATAAATATCCAAACACGCTTCCTCCAAAACATAATGAAAGTTTTAGATTCAAAACTATAGTAATTGATCTCCTCTTTTACTTTACAGGTGGTAGCTCACTTCTTAATGATCATTTAAAACTCGAATCAATAAAACTTAAAATTAGGGTTTGAATATTTATCTAGTTATCAAGTTTTAATTAAATAGGAAACATGCTACTAGACAGTGTAACATGATAAACCACAAAATTAATCTTTATAAAAGAATATCGTAAGTTGAATATTACAGTAAAAATACTAGTTAAGTTAAATTAATAATGTATAATTTTTTATTAATTATTTATAATACTAACATCCTTCTTAAGAACAGTACTCTCGTTTAATAAAAAAAAAGTGACAAACAAATAAGTCTTAATTATTTATGTTCTTATTTTTATTCATTTTAAAAATATAAGTAACATTAATTTTGATATACATAAACAATTTTAAATAATTTTATATTAATATAAATTTTTATAAATATAATTTATATAATCAAATGATTAATTTAAAATAAAATATATTAATAAAAAATATAAAATAATAAAATTATTAGTATAATTTACAGTAAAATGATTTGATTCATCTTTTTATATAAGTTGGCTGGTCAAGGTTTGGCTAATCTAAACGAATTTGAATCTTTTAAGTTGGAACTATACTTTACCGCAAAAAGCAACCGTGAATTGAAAATTAATAGCTGAATTTATAAATAAATATGTTGAAGTCCTACATCATGATTAAATAAATTTTATTAAAATTAAAATTATTTTAATTTTATGAATTAAATTTTAACATGAAATTAGGTCGAAATCAAACTTTAAAATAATATTAGAGCTTATTATAAATTTGTTATAGAATCACGTTTGATTACAAATATTTTAAAAAAAATTACAAACTGACTTTTGAAGCTAGATTAAGTTAAATTTCAAATTTATAAAAATATATATTATACAATGAATATATCATTATTTTTTGTTTATTAACTATTCAAAATTCGTGTCGATGCATGAAGACAATAATTTACTGACAAAAATAATATCTTCCTAATATTTATTTTTAATTAGAAATCTTAAATGCTTTTAGGATTTTCGAAGATTAAAATTTTTATTTTCTACTTGTAAATTTGGGAGAGTACCTTGCAATACTTCATCCATTTCAAAAATAATAATTTCATCACTTTTACTTTTATTTTTAAAAAGTAAGAAGCAATTATTTCTTTTAATTCTACCATTTTACATTAAAACATTTACTAATAAATGGAATGAGAAAATATACTAATGGAGTGAAGTGGAAATTTAATTAAATGTAATTATATTTTCTCTAAAATTAAGGAGATGTAATGACTTTCTCAACTAATCTGTGTATAAAAATTTAAAATGACATACTTTTCAATATAATAATTACTAGTTAACTATTTAAAACAATTACATTTTCTAATCATAAATTCGTATTAAACGAAATTTTATCCAAATCAGAAAATGATTATATATTTAACACAATTTATGTTAATGAAAATTAAATTTATAACAGCTGATTCACGTGACCAATAATATTAAAAATAATTATAATTTAAAGATTTTAAAAAATAATTATAGAAATGATATTTGTATAATTTAATTAGTGCTAACATTGGAGGGGCTATGGCGGCGGCCATGTCGATAGAAAACAGTGAAATCTCCATTTTATATGTTTCATCTTTGAATCCATTCCTCTCTCTCTCTCTCTAATCTCCAATAAAAATCGTTTTATTCAAATTAAAAATCAACAATGGCGTCTTCAACTGCAATGGCGTGTGCAACCTTGTTCACCCCTTCCATGGCAAAACCCAGCAACGTTAAAACTGCGAAACTCACCATTTCAAACACCACAACCAAACTCCGATCAAAATCAACCGTGACCGACAAGCTGAACGGTCTCGCTTCCGAATTCACCTCTCTCTCGCACCCCATTGATCGGGTCAAGAGACTTCTTCACTACGCCTCTCTCTTGCCCCCTCTCCACGACTCCGACCGGGTACCGGCGAACCGTGTCGCCGGCTGCACGACGCAGGTGTGGCTGGTGGCAGAGATGGACGAGAGTGGAAGGATGAGGTTCAGAGCGGACAGCGACTCCGAGATTTCGAAAGGGTTCTGTTGGTGTTTGGTTTGGATGTTCGATGGCGCGGAACCCGAGGAGGTTCTCATGGTTCAGAAGGACCACTTGGCCGGAGTCAACGTTGGCCTCCATGTCAAGGCCCAATCAAGAGTCAACACGTGGCACAACGTCCTCTTTCGCATGCAGAAAGCTACTCAGGATTTGCTCTTTCTCTCCCCACAAAATGCAATTGCAACACCCAATCCAACCCCTCTTCCCAAGATGTAACCACACTTCTTCTCCCCATTTGATTTTGTTTATCAATTGAATTTTCTTTTTGCTATTAACAACTTTTAGGGTAAATTTTAAACATTTAAAAAAATCAATTTTTATAATATACATCTAGAGACATGTGCTAAAATGTTAAAACAAACATTAATTATTTTATTATTATTATTATTATAAAATATTATTTTTTATATTTTTTAAATATATTTTTATAATTATAAAATATATAGTTTTGTATTAGTTTTTTATTTGGGATAGAACCTAGTGAACAAAAACTCACCTCTAATTAACAAATGCAAATTCCATTGTATTGGTACCGAGCTAAAGGCATATTCCCTGTTTGCCTTACTTTTAGAATCTCGTTTTTAGTTTATCTTTGTTTTTTATTATAATGCTAATGATCAATGTGGAGTTAATTAATTAATTATGTTCCCTTAAATGGAAGGGTGCGGTCCAGTGATTTTGTAAGTGTTCAATGTAATAATAAGGACACCAAATAATAATAATAATAATAAAAAGACCAAATCTTCTATTTTTCTGATTTTGCCTTACCCATGTGTGGTTTTATGATTAAGACTTCGTCAATCACAATTTTTTTTTATGTAAATGCTCATGTGATAACAAAAATTATAAAGTTTCAAATATCATTAACGGTGATTAGAAAATATAAAAATAATTAAAATAGTTTTTAATTAAAAATTAGCACTGTTAATTATTTTAAAATTAACATATTTTTATAAATTTTCTCAAAATATCATATCTTAATAAATTTTTTATTTTTTTCTCATATAAAAAAAAAAATCCAAGTTCTAACCCATATTATTGCAACTTAGATATGTCCAGAGACTCTACTCTATTAACAAACTTTTGTGTGTCTCCAATGTTTTTTTTTTTTAATTTGCCTCAAGACAAAATTTAAGTGTAAAATTATGATTAAAGTTGTTATTATTTTCTAATCAAGTTGGAGTTTTATCTTGATTAGGTACATTGTTTTTAACGTTAGAATGTTGACTTTAACTTTTAATGCCGATTTATTATATAAATTATTAAAACAAAGCTCCAAATTTAATTAGATAATAGTAGTAATAATATTTATGATATTATATTTGTTTTTCATTTGCCTTAAAATTAATAAATGATAATTATTTGTTAATAATCATAGTAAATTTCCATTCTTTTAAAGGCAACAATTAGTTAATTTCTACAAATGAAAATGCGTTGAGCAGGTTATCGGATTAAACTGTAAGAGATAACCAACAGACCAGAGTTCATTATCTGTGAGATTATAATATACTTTTCTTTTTACATTAAGTATAAATTTAATAAAAATATCACAACCCCCTCAAAAAATAAACTAATTATTTAGTACTTAAAATATTCATTTGGTAGAAATTTAATAATAAAAAACAAAATTTCCCTAAAAAACATTATTATATATGTGGTAATGAACCTTGAGTTGTTGAATGGCCAAACTTTTGCTATAGAAGTGAAAGATGACTTTTGGCAACTCCCAAATTAGCTTTTACTTCAATTTTGTTTCTTAATCGATAAATGCTCTGAAAGGTTATTGTTTCATCTTTAAACATTTTAAATTTGGTAGATCATAAGACTATTTATTGGCTAATTCCTTGAAGAAGGACCCCCAAAACGACTCCACTGGGGATCGAACCCAGAATCTCTGGTTCCGTAGACCAGCGCCTTATCCATTGGGCCATGGAGTCAACATGACATTTTGAGTATGCATTAAAATACTAATTGCTTCCATAAAATAAAATAGTTTTCATTTCATTGTTTAAGATACATACAAAGTGATAATTAATTGATAAATGTAAAGGGCTATAATTTCTTCAACAAAATTATCATAAGTAATGTAATCTTTTATTAATGATCTTATTTAGTTATCTGGATTAGTAAGTTACATAATTACAGTTGAATAATATTATTTACGAATTATGAAATAAAAGTTATTGATTTTGTACTGTTTTTAAATGATCAAATTAATGATATTTTGAAGGATTGAGGGGTTAGAACAATACATGTTTTTTCTTAATACTCAATGCCTAATGTTACTTTTCAAATTCATGATTGGAAAAGTAGATTAGTGTAAAAAAAAAGAAGACAAGACTAATGACACATAATAAGTCATATATGATGTGTAATGACCCAGAGAAAGGTATGAAATTGAATAGCAAGCAAGACTTGTCATGGGTCTTGAGGCTGCGAAGACCGATTAGGTCAACTGCATTGGACATTTCATTGGGAAATTTCTTAGATTATTGTTAATTCATTTGGCTAATTAGATTGATTTATGATGCATCGCACACTCTCTTAGACTTGTCAATATCTAAGTCACCCAATAGATTGAATTATTCTCCTTCAATTTTTGGGGCTATTAATTGTTGTTATTGGGTTTTTTTTTTTTCAAAATTTTCATAAATTAAAAAACTTAATAACACTTACCATCAAAGAATATTAAATATAAATACAATAAATACACAATACAAAATTAAGACACAACAAGACGTTTAATCCTTGGACTCTCATTGGGCCTTTTTCTTCCGTGCAAAATAGGCAAGTGATTAGACAAATAAACGAAAAACAGTGAATGTTACTCTTTTTAAAAACAAAAGTCAAGAAAAAGGTTTATGAAGAAAAGAGAAATAATTTATTTACAATGAATGTATCTTTTTATTTTTAGTATAAATATATTATTTTAAAAGGTCTGAATTTAAAATAAAATAATATATTTAATTTACTATTTTAATATATATTAACAGTAAAAAAAGGTTATATTAAAAGCTAATATAATTTTAAAATATTGGTCATAAAAGAAGAAAATGCAACAAGTAATTAAAATTGCAGCCTCATCTCTGATTTGTTACAAAAGGAATTCGCGATTCGCGTCACGAAGAGTCACAGTTTCTTTGAAACTGATAAGTCTTCAATTTAACAAAATCCCCACCCCACCCATCATGTATTTTATTATTTCTTCAATATACTTAAATATTAATATTATAAATTTTAATAAAAAATTATTAACATTAGATGAAAATAAGAAATTAATAATAATAAAATTTGATTATTTATCATACTTAAACTCGACTTTAAGAAGGGTTGTTAACAAAATCTTATACTAATTTCTTATCATATATTTTTATACACAGATTAAAAGAATGATTATTTTAATGATACCACCCCATCTTATCTTTTATGCGAAGAACCTCTGAAAAGCACTACTATCTGTTATCATGAATCCTAATGGCATTTGAATTCAAGTGTTTTAATCACTAATCACTGTGTTTATATTAATTCTCATTAAGAAAAGGCAGAGGAAGAAGGGAACTCAAAAACCAAAAAAAGGTCCAAATAAGAACAGAAACCTCTACAAGAAAGGACCATGAACCTGGTTTAATTCGACTCCTAAGGTCTTGTTTGGTAGTGCTATAAACCCAACCAGAGAGGGAACAATATTCCATTGCTCATTTATTTCTTCATACGTGTCTGTTACCGGAAAATTCATCCTTTTTTCGCTCATAACTTCCACGTTTGTCTTCGATCACTATCATCTAACTCATCCTCCCAACTGGGTTGTTGCTTTTCACCAAAAAAGCTTCCATTTTTGCTCAGATCTTCATCTTCCTACCTTGTTTCTGGTACGTTTTTTAGTTTCCATTGTTAATTGTCTCTGCAGTTTCAGAATCCATAAACCAAAGTGGGAACTTCAAATACTAGGATTGAATTCCCCCAAAACATTGCAATTCTTCACTGTAGCTCAACCCCATCTAAAGTTTTTTTCTTTTTTCTCTCTATTTTTTTTTCTGGAAGTAAGAAAAAAAACAGGGTGAAAATTTATGGTCATTGGTCACAGCGTAATATAGAGCTTCAGGCTAAGATAAAGGTGCTGCAAGATGATTTATGAATTCGGTTTGTGTTAAGAGATACAATCATTGCGTCTTCCCCACGCTGGAAATTGTGCCTATTGGATTTGGCTTATTTTGCTTGAAAAAAAAAGAAAAAAAGAGCTTATCATAAATTTCCTCAAGAAAGAGATTTTGATTGTGGAGCTTTTTCTTAATAATAATAATAAAATAATTCAGATATGGTAAGTTTCATATACTCTCTTTCCTTTTATTTGAAGCTTTTGATGGTGGTTCCTATATTTGCAAATGGTTTGGCAATTGTGGAGCTACTAAGTTGGGGTTCATTATCCTATTTGTTGCTTTTTGTAATCGGTGACATCTTTTGTCAAAGAGATCACAAGAGTTGCCTAACCTGTCTGAGTTATTTTCGGAGGTTATTGAGGAAACAGCACATGCTTTTCTTGCTTATGATTCCTTTCATTTCAAGTCTTTCATCAAGGCTTGTTAGCCAAAATTGGTTCCTTTCTATCGCTTCTTGGCAACTTCTCGTGCACTCACCAACCATGTCTTCTTGAGGTGCTCTTACTTCCATAATTGTCATTTGATATGTTCGAAAAGTTCAACGGAGTGGCACAATGATAAATTGCCATGCCACATGGGTTATGGAACACCTTCATAAATTGAAGTAAATTAATCTAACTTGTGTGTGTTACTGTTATATTGAGGATTTGAGGTGATATTAGGGCATATTGTATAATTTGTGTTTCAAACAATATAATCTTTTCTCTCATAAAGCAATTACCCCTTTATGTTTATTTAGATTAGAATCATTATCTGGTTCTGTTTATTAATGTTTCTTGTTCTCTCTCCTTTGTTCATTTGGCAGGGTTTTTATTAGTTTAAAGCATATCTCTTTCTTGTACAAAGGATACTTGCCAATTGATAAATACTGAAGAACAGCTTGTGTATATAGTTTTATGAACGTACAGTTACAGGAATTCCAGCGTAAATGGGGATCATTACTCGCAGGTATAATAATTGGTTATAGCTTTGTTTTATTATGAGAAATTTTATATTTGTTAGTTAACGTCATCAACTCCCTTCAAGTGACACTGGACATATTTTCATTTCATTTGCTGCAGTTCTACAAGTAGAAAACCAAGTGAAATCATGAGACTTATAGTGACAACTTTTGTTGGAGTAGTTTTTGGCTTTTTTATAGGAGTGTCATTTCCAACATTGTCAATAACAAAGGTGCAGACCGGGTATCTTTGTACCTTGTGCAGAAGTAAACTTTTGTCAATGGTTTCTTGATAATGGTATGCTAATAGTGCTCAACAATTTGCAGTTGAATCTCCCATCCGGCCTGCTTCCCTCCATTGATCTCTCATACATTGAAGACAAATATACAGCTCGCAGTGCTTGGTCTTTTATGAAGAACAGTAACAAAAGTTCATCAATACACCAATTATCAAATGATACATCAAAGGTACACACTGTAACCTGTCATCATAATTAAGGCATTTTAAGTCACTGTTACAGGGATTCAAGGTAGTCAATGATTCCTTTCCTTTTATGAGTGTGAGGGAAAAAGATGGTAGGGCTTCTGTTACTATAAGTTCCCATTATAGTGACATATTTATATATGCTTGTTCATTAATACACTATTGATTAAGGGCTCCCAAGAATGATTTTGTTTTATATAATGTTGGGATTTGGGAAAATGGTTTCTTATTGTTTTTATATTGATCAATCCCTTGCTCCTTATTTTCTCATTTCTCTTCAGATTTGGGTTCCATCAAATCCAAGAGGCGCAGAAAGATTACCTCCCGGCATTGTTGAAGCCGAGACAGACTTTTATTTGCGTAGATTGTGGGGTAAGCCCAGTGAGGTGTGTATTCTAAAAGTTTATAGGCTCATTCCTGCCATAACAACCTCCAACACAATAGAACACCTTTTTGTTTTTCTTCCATTTTTTTTTAGGTGGGGAGGGAAAGTGGAGCATAGAGAGCTTGACCTTTTGCATGCATAGAAATAATGTAGCTAAATACAGGTTAAGGCCCTATTAAGTGTTACATGATAGTAAATAAGACTTACAAAATAAGTTTTTCATATATTTGGCTAGATTATTTGCTTGCTTATATGAAGGAAATGCAAATTCTAGTGAACAGAGTATTTAATTTAATTTAATTAAGTTGACATTTGCAGGATTTAACGTCCAAGCCGAAGTACCTTGTAACCTTCACTGTTGGCTATGATCAGAAAAATAATATTGATGCTGCTGTGAAAAAGGTCTTGCTTTGTCTGTCCTCTCTCAGTTTGCATATGTTTGTTTGTCTCTTTTAACTAAAAATTTGCTTGAGCAGTTTTCGGGGAACTTCACAATCCTCCTTTTTCATTATGATGGTCGAACAACTGAATGGGATGAGTTTGAATGGTCCAAGCGGGCTATTCATGTGAGTGCTCGCAAACAAACCAAATGGTAGGGAGCTAAGTTGTTCATTATCATTGTGGTGTTTGCAATACTTACCTTATACCAATTTTGTTATCATATTGACCATTTCATTTCTTCCTCTTAAGGTGGTATGCCAAGCGTTTTCTGCATCCTGACATTGTGGCACCATATGACTATATATTCATATGGGATGAAGACCTGGGTGTTGAGCATTTTAATGCAGAAGAGTGAGTATTTGATATGAGAGGGATATTTATTAAAAGGTTTGCATTTTTTTTTTTTATCAAAGTTTCACATGCCCTTCTTATTTCAAGCGCAGGTACATAAAACTGGTGAGGAAGCATGGCTTGGAGATTTCACAACCAGGCTTGGAACCTAATAAAGGCTTAACATGGCAAATGACAAAAAGAAGAGGCGATCGCGAGGTTCACAAGTAAGAATGATTGAATTCTTGCTCCAGTTTTCTGGTGGTTCATATTATTTTAAAGAATGTACATTAACTCTTTATTTTCTTGTATTTCTATTAGAGTGACAGAGGAGAAACCAGGATGGTGTTCTGACCCTCATTTACCACCTTGTGCAGCGTAAGAAACTGCCAATGTATTATTATACATTATCAACTCTACCAAACTGTATCTAATCGTGTTATTACTGTTACATGAATGCAGATTCGTTGAGATTATGGCGCCAGTGTTCTCGCGAGATGCATGGCGCTGTGTGTGGCATATGATTCAGGTTGAATGGTTAATCCTAATTCTTAAATTGTTTTAAATGATGCTCATTGATTAGTTGTTTAACGTTTCTTTAATCACTTAGTTAAATTATAATTGTGCTGCTCTTGATATTGCAGAATGACTTAGTCCATGGGTGGGGTCTTGATTTTGCTCTTAGAAAATGTGTTGAGGTGAGTCCATTCTTACATTTCCTCAAATCATCTAAACCTTTTGACCATTTAATGTAATGGTGTAGTCTTAGCAGAGGCACAAGAGAGAAAAAGAAAAAATAAAAACATACAATCATGTATACATGCCATGGAGACCTAAACTATTTTCTCTTTTCTGACATAGCCTGCCCATGAGAAGATTGGAGTTGTAGATTCTCAGTGGATTGTTCACCAAGGTGTTCCCTCACTAGGGAATCAGGTATTTTGTTTTCCATTTACTATGATTATTTTTAGACTTAATAATTTTACATGTTTATTAATTGTTATGTTCTTTTCAGGGTGAATCACAAACAGGGAAAGCACCATGGCAAGGGGTATGTTTTGCATGCTCAGTATCCTTCAGCTTTATTAAATTGTATACTATTTGTTTGATTACTTTTCTCATAACTTCATGAAATGAACTTTAGCTTCTTTTTCTCACATTAAAAGTATATTGAAAAAGGGGTGTTAATTTTGACAATGAAATTTGTTGATGTTCACATTGTGGTGGCAGGTAAGGGAGAGGTGTAGAAAGGAGTGGACCATGTTCCAGAGTCGGTTAGCAAATGCAGAAAACGCGTATTACAAGTCCATGACAATTAATTTGTCTAATTCCACTGCTAATTGAAGGGTCGACGACCAAAGTTGACTTGTACACAGCTACAGTTACCCCATTATGTGATTTTCCTTTTTTCTCATAAAATGAAATCTTATGTAACATTAGGTACATGCAATCACTGTCTAGAGTCCTAGCTAGGGGCCAAACACCACTTCAATGTAGAATTGATGTGCTGAAAGTGAGTAAAACAAATGAAGAAAGGTAATATTGCGGTGTAATTGAGTTTGAAACATGATACCAATGCTTGTAGGAAATGAAAACAAAGAAGCTCGTTAGGGTATATTTATTCCAATGAGTAATCCTATTTTCACGTAACATTTTTCCAACACATTTTACAATAATGAAATGGAAGAGAAGTTCGAGATACAGTAAGTAATGTAACCGAGATAAAGAGAGAAAATAGATGAAGAGTGTCATGTGAAAATAACGTATGCAATCTTCTTTACATGTAACTAAATTACTTTGGACAACTTTCAATTATCTTTACATAAATTTTTTGAAATTGAAAAAATAATGAGATATATAAATATTATAATAATAAAATTATAATTTTTATTGTGATATGATACTTCTCATCATAATAATGAATTTATCGTAAGATATTTAAATTATATATTTTTATATTTATTTCATCTAATCTTACTTTATCTTTTATAAAATATCTTATCTTATATTAGTCATTTCAGCCATTGTGTAAAGACGAGTCATTTTCAAAATCGGGTGTGGGGCGTAAATCGGATATGGGGGGTTCCAAGATTTCTATGTGAAGTATCGTTGTGTTGAAGTTATCAAATGTTTGAACTTTCTAGATTAGTATCCGAATGGTTGCTGTGGACACCGTTTTTTTGGTGATTACCAACGTTTTAATAAAATCAAATTGTTGAATGTCAAATCAAACACTTGAACAACTCTGTGTACGATGATGACAACTCAACTAGATTCTTCAAAATCCCAACGCCAAGTGTATGTTTTCAGAAAGAAGAAAACACCCAAAAACTTTTAGAATTGGTTTCGTGTTGTGGGTCACCAGGGAAACTGGGTTAGGCCACTGGAATTTATCTTATCACTTTCCATAATTATAATTGCACTAATAAATGTAGTTCAATTCAGTCTTTAGAGTTAGGCATGTTTCATCTTTTGCAGATGACTACACCAATATATAGTTGTATCTAACTAAGTGTGGTGAACCATAATTTATATTAATTATCATAAAAAATAGTTAATTCTATAGTTATTCGATCAAAAATTTTCAACTCCGTTAATATTCTGTGGTCACAATTTTTTTTTTCCTTTTAATATTATAACCATTCAATTTGTGTTTTATCTATAAATTTTTTTAATTTTTTTAGCATTTTATAATATTGATCTCACATGTTTAAACTCTAAAACTTGAACTATAACATTGTCAAATTTTATTTCTAAATTATTTCTATTTTTTATTAAAATTCTAATACACACACACACACATATATTTTCTCTTAATTCCTCAGTTAAAATTGTATTATCTATGAATAACATGTATTTAAAAATTATCTTTTGTATGTTACTAATAAAGTATTAAAAATAAATTTAGTAAGTATATACTTAAACCATAAAATAAACCAATTCTCATAAAATAGTCCACGGTCTTGCCTCCAAAGAATTTGCAAAACAGAACCAAATTGCAACACCAAACCAAACCAAACCAAACCAGCACTATATTAATAATTCATGTCATCAGTTACCTCCCAACGGATGGGTTGTTTGGTCTTGAATGGGGAAATGGTGACATGTTTATAGAACGTGAACGTGGCCTCCACTTGTGTTTAATTGTATAATTTTATTATAGTTTAGAAAAATAAGAAGAAAAAAGAGTGAAAAGAAGAGTAATATGATGAAAAGAAATAAAATAAATTGTTGTATAAAAAGTTATTGTGAAAATTTTATTACCCATTTGTATACGTTTGTTTCCCATTGTAACTGTATAATGTTGTTTGATTTAAGAAATTATTATTTTTTATTCTTTGATTGTATTGTAGTAAAGGAAAATATCTTCTACCCAATTAAAGCAGAATTACAGTAACCTGTAAAATAAACAAGCTGTTATATACATCACAGACACATTTCTCTTTGATTTTTACTTTCTTTCTTTTTTGATTGGTTCTTTATTATGATGGTGTTCTCATATTCATCGCAAACATTTTAGTTAAAAACAAATGCTATTTATAGGTCCTGTTAAAGATTTCTCTAATTAGAGACCAACCAAATAAAGAACATTTGATATATTTTATCAAATATTTAAAAAACAAATTAACATGAAATAATCATTATGTTTTTAATAAGAAAATGCTTTTAAATTTAATATTTTATTTATATATTGTTAACTAATATTTTAAAGATAATTAATTAGCACTAACAAAAATTGATCTGAATAAAAAATAGTGTAGTATTGCTTAAATAAAGTCTTAGTCACTCTCACTACATTTAATTTCACGACCGAGTTATATCTAAATTAAACCAGATAAAAAAAAACAATCAATTAACATTTCTCTTTGTCTATTAACTTGGATGTTACGGTAAGAGAACGTTAAACTTCTTTTAATATTTTTTTATCTCACGGCTCCAAAAATGTTCTCTGCAACATGTTTTAAACAATGTTTAGTCACTTTTTTACTAAAAATTATATAAAATCTATGTGTTGCTACAGCGTTCCTATGCAAATGATTGATTGGGGCATTAAGTTACCGAGTGAAGATCTTAAGCGGAAGTCTAGAAACCTCGGAGGGGTGGCAGCTGAAAGGCATGCCACCAGTCACAACCCTTGTGGCCACCGCGGACACGTGGCATCCTTAAACTTACCCTTTTTGTGATGGTGAAGGCGCCATTTTTGGCTTCTGGGCTAAAACTATGTACTTACAAAGTCCTACACGTGTCGCCACGTGTAAATCCTGGTTACCCAATACAACCATGGTTAGTGTTTTGGTAGTTAGGATATGTGAAAATGAATGTGGCAATTGACCATAAATATGACTATAAAGTCTCTTATGTATTTATCCATCAACCTGTCCAAGTGGGTTCATGTTTTCTGATGCATTTTAAATTGTCCTGTGTTGGCTCAGCCTCTTCTTCTCCTCTTTATTGTTGATTGAGTCACTTTGAGGACCAACACATTATGGGTCTCTCAAATTTTCCAAGCGCATCTGAAGGGGTGCTACCAGTGCTTGTGATGAACACAGTTCTCTCAGTGGCTTTGTTAAAGAACATATTTAGATCCTTGCTTCAAGTAGTTGTTGGTAGTGGCAATAATACTCCAAGCACTTCCTCTTACTCTTCAAGTATTGGACAAGAGTCCTATGAAGATGATGAGGGTTCAAGGGAAAGAAGGGTGTCAATAACTCAATACAAGTCATTGTGCCACAACAAGTCCAACATAGGCACAAGTATTGCTATGGCGGAGTGCTGCGTTTGTTTGTGTGGTTTTGAGGCCAATCATGAGGTGAGCCAATTGCCTTGCAAGCATTTCTTCCACAGAGGCTGCTTAGACAAATGGTTTGATAACAAACACACCACATGTCCTTTATGTCGTTCCATCGACTAAACTAAACATAGATTTTTAGTTTTAGTTAGAGCTAGTTAGTTTCTTGGTGTTGGTTACAGTGTCAAAGGAATCAATGTCTCTTTTTGTTTGTCACTTACTTGGTCAACCCCTTTCAACCCACTCTATTTATCTATGTTTAGTTTTATGGAACAAAATCATAGATGAATTTGCCTTTTGGTTTTATTTTGGTGTGCATGTATTTCAGAAGCCCTTTCAAGCACTGCATGATTCTGCTTCATTTCAATTTGACGTCTATAAGGAACGGATTATAGATATGCATATGCAAATTTTTTTTTATATCTCATTTTTCTAAGCTGTTGTTGTTTATCTTTTTTAATTGAATGGAGGAAATAGAGGAGGAGGTAGTATCCTCTTGGACCCATTATTTATTTATTTTAAAAAGTGGGAATCTTAATTTTACATGTCTTTTTTGTAATGGAGATTATAATAAATGAATAGTAACAGTGTTTTAAATTTAATTAGTTTAGTAAAAAATTATATAAATTATATTTGGATAAGCATATTTTCAATCTAAATCAATTTTTTTCAGAAGGTAAAATTATGCTTTTCATTTTAATTATTCTTTATTTTTTTTTTTAAATTCAGTCAATCGACTTATCTCTTAGTTACCCCATTTCTCTTACTAGCAAATTGGTAACTGTGTCGTGACATGGAAGTCTTTGTCTGCACTCACTTAAAATCCGTAAAAAGGAGAGTGAGAATCGGATTTTTATTTTATTTTTCCATAAAAGGAAAAGGAATATTTAACTATATGGGAGGGACTCATCGATTACTTTAAGATGTCAATGAGGAGAAGATTATGGACATTATTAAATTAAAAAACAAACTATAAGCTTCACAAGTGGACTATTTTTTCATAAACGCAATTGAGTCCCATATTTTCATATTCTAAAATTTCATATTTCAGTGTATAATATTTTCAAATCTCACATATTTTACAATTTTATGTCAGTATTGCTAGCCGACAGATCCTTCTCTGTTTTATTTGCATAATTTTGTCTCCTTATTTTCCCAAGAAAAATAATTTAGAGTTTTTTTTCTCAAAATTTGAGTTTGATTTTATTCTTTTTCCTATTTGAGGAAACGAGCGTTAATATACATGTTTGTGATCCTTTTTTCTTTTCTAACTATGTTTGTGATCCTTCTAAACTAGGATAAGAATTGTGATGCATGTCAACTAATAAAACTCAATTCCAAAATTAAGTGTTGGTGCAATTAGTTTTAAAAGTTATGAATTTGCGTTATTAATTATAACTTTTGCCTGATTTTAAATCATATATTAATATTAAACGCAGTTCTAATCTTTAGTTTAACCTCTTTTCTCCTACCTTAACCGAGCGAATTCAATACTGATCCAGCTAGAAATGGAGTCATACAGCACCCAACTATTATTTATTCATTTAAAATAATATGCATCATCATTGATAAAGCATGTTTTCCCTGCGATCAATAACACACAGTGTGTTTGATTTTGAACGTAAATTTAATTTAACACTACAAATTAAACTTTAAAAATTTGGTTTAAGGCACACAGGAGATTGAGGTTTCTGTCTCACTCTGTGTTCTCTGCGAGTTTTCCGAATCATAATAATAATAATACCATAGCTTTTGGGAACTTTGCATGTTATACACGTAATATAAAGCACCAATTTCCCCGGCACCATGCTTATGCAAAATTCCGCATTGAAACAGGACACTGCAATTGTGTGCAAATTGCAAAACTTACGGCAACGATGGATTATTATATACACCCAAAGGAAAGGAAAGGAGGAACCAAATACCATGAAAACTAAGAGTTAAATTATAAATAAAAAGTACACTACTGGCACACATGAAATAAGAAAATTCTTACACTAAAATAACAGAAATTATTAAAAGCATACCATATATATATATATATATATGAGTGAGGGCTCAATGCATTTATTTAGGTAAAAATGAAATACATGCTCCAAAGAGTAGATCAATAATTCCACATACAGTACCCAAGGTTGAGATTATTGTACATTGGTATGTATATATGATAACCCTTCACATGTTATAGGTTAGCTATATTTATGAGGGTCTCAACTCTCAACTCTCAACTATCAAGTCTCAAGCAGCCCCTAAAGACTTGAGCCTGGCAAGTTCAATCCTCCTATGCTGTTGCTTAATAAACGTGTCAGCTTTTTGGTCCACACTCTCATAAGCATTTGCATGGTTTGTAGTAGGGGTCTCGGTCTCAGTCTTAGCCGCAGGCTCAGGTTCAGGAGAAGGAATTGTTTCTACTACGTTTATGGCTTCCTCTATGTTGTATTTGAATGCAACGTGACCCTTCTTATGCCGTGAAGTAGGACGATCAAAGCGCTTGCGTAGTGCAGGTTCCATTACTTCGTGGACTTGGTAATCGTTGGAGGGACACCACCCACGATACCTCTGGTTTTGATTTGCCATTTCCTCTCGATGCTGTCCCGTTGAAGCTTGTGTGTTACAGACTTATAGCTACAATTTCATCAATTATTTATTCATTTTTCTTGGATAGTGACCTAAAAGCCCCCACTGATAAATTAGTAACAGATTAGAAGGTATATATATATATAAGCAAGAGGGTTATAAGCATAAGTCCAAAACACTGAGGTTAGCGAATATGTAGTCTTTTTCATTTTATTGGTGGATACATCATATCATATATGCTATATGCTGTTGTTTTTACTTATTCTATGATGATAAGGCTGAATCTAATGCTCCTCCTTTTCAGCAGAAACTTTAACCAAAAAGAAGAAAATTATATCTTCAGAACCTAAATCTTAAAACAAGTTGGAAAGGGATCGAAAATGATTGGCAGTTGCATTGCCACTATACCATTCAATTTGATTCGTTTTACATTTACGACTGCAGGTTGGCGATGGTCCAAGGAAATCAATTCTGCTTTCATTGTAACTTCCGGGGATTATAAAATCGTGCCATATTGTGAGAGATATTTTGACTGAAAGTACTTTGAGAAACCATTCCCGGAAACTTATACAAGATTGTAGGCTTATAATTATATTTGTGCATTACTACACCTAAGAGATACATTGGTTTGAATACTTAAAGCTTTCACGAGAAGATACATTGGTTTCACTGTCGTGTAGCATCCTTAAATAAATTAAGCATATTGAGCTACAAATTAAAAATTGGACAAAGCAAACAATCTTAGTCATCATTATCAAAGACAATTATATTATAACTTCAATGCATAAGTAAATATTACATGTAACATTAAGCGTTACAAAGGTCCAAATCCAATCGGGGGAATCTTATTCCAACAAGAAAACACCAAAAAGCACACCTTTTATTACTGTTGTATTAATAGCAACAAGCAAGTGCAGAAGAAGTAGGTGGCACAAGTTGGACCTATATTAGACACCCTTCATTGTCCACTCAACTTTGTGGCCGCCATAAGGTTTCCTAAGCCTGTTCCTGTCATGACTCAAAAAGTAACCATCTCCACCCCAATTTTGACGCTCGTATCTCATTTCATCAACATGCTCCTCAACAGAAGCCTCAATCTCATAGTCGGTTTCCTTCAAGAAAAACTCATTGTGGCCACCTGAATTGAACTTGGCACCACCGTTTGCAAACTGATGAGATGTGTTAGTTCCACCAAAAGGGTACTTTTTGTTACCCCCATGAGCATAACCAAAGCCATATCGGCCACCATGCATGCCTTCCTCAAACATGGCGTTGTAGCCTCCTCCTAACTTGCCATGCGGTTTTGAAATTGAGAGCTCGGACTCCATGACCATAGCAAAAGCACCAGGCTTTTTCATGGGCATGTTTGGGAATTGCTTGTGGTAGTTGTTATCAGAGCTCCAAGATTCTTGGTGGAGGAAGGCATAGCCCTCTTCCTGAGACTCAGTCTCCTTCCACATGCCATCATCAGCATAGCATTGCTTCTCAAACCCAAAGCTTCTAGCCATGCTGTGTTTTTTTGGAAACTAGACGACTTTAATTTTCTGCTTAAGAGATTAATTGGGGTGTTGGGTTTTTAGTACCTTGTTGGAGACCCTTATATAGCCAGATAATAACAATATTATATATTATATACATGCCTAGAAACGGTATAAGATAAGATAAAAATGCATCTGTGTCCGAATTTAATTTTGCCAATTTCAATGGAGTACATGGTTGGACTTGATAGTGCGGTAGTAAATCATTATTAGTATAACATTATTCTAAAAGCTGAGTTTTCTTCCCATGCATTTTTATTTTGTTCCCCCTGATATATTTCATACTTGTCTGTTTTTATGCATACCATTTATTCCCTTTTGGCTATAAATAATTGCATTCCTGGTGTTATGTAGAAACAATGTACTAGTGAATTTCAGGATAGGACATTTACAATCAAGTTAGAAATTCGCCTTAACCCTTTTAGCCATAGTGTAAATAGGGGCAGTTATCTGGGACCAATTGTAACATGGAAGAGCCCATAAGTAAAAAGTTAGCTGAGGCAATGGAACTAAGGTTCAATAGGAAAATCCCATCCATTTGTCAGAAAACATGGTTGTAGTAATGCCCCTGATTTCATATGGATAGAGGTAACTCCTCCTTTGTTGATTAATGAAATTCTCAAATTCCACATAATAATAATAAACCAATGCTTGGGGAGAAGGAATAACACAGATTCTTAATTTGTGTTGTGGACAGAAAAGCATCACATTCGTTATGATTGGTCAACCACGAGGGATTCACATGGGACCGTATTCTCCACTGCAAATAATTTTGGTTCCATCTATTTTACATAAGTCTGTATCCGAATATATGCAATGTCATCAAACAGGTACGTCGGTTTAAAGATAATGATTTTTAAACAAGTAACAATTGGATGTAAAATTCTGCAAGAGAAGAGTAGAAAAGGAGAGAAAATATGATTTGAAAAAATGTGAGAACATAATAATCTTTTATTTAAAATTTTTGAGTAAAACATCAATACGATTCTTGAATTTTATGATATGGGTGCATTTGAAAATTGATATTTTGAAAATTACAAATTTAATTCTTGAAATTAATCGATCAATTCAATTTTTAAGTAATTTTAAAAATAAATCTTATTATTGTTTTAGCAATTATCAGATAATTGGAACGCCAATGTTGAAATGTGTTAGTCAAATTAATTTCTAATATTAGTGATAATTGTCAAAATTAACAATTAAATTTAAAATTTCATATTATTAAGGATTAAATTGTCTAAATGAGAAATTAAAAGACTAAAATTGTTTAAAATTCATTTAAATTAGAGAATATATATATTTCATTTCATAATATGAAGAACTAAATTGATTGTTAGTGATGATTTTACAAATAAATTAATGTTTTACATTTGGGAATTGAATTATTTTTAACAAAAAAGAGATGAAGTTAGAACAAAAGAGTTCTAATATTTATCATTCACAAAGAAATTCACATTATTTTCAGACTTTTGGGGGGGAAAGAAAAGTAAATAGACAGTCCCTTGCACAACTTATTTCTCATATTAAACAAAGTCCTTTGATATTTATTTTCCTTGGTTCATTATTATTCGTGTACAGGTCCACAAGTCCACTCTAAAATCCCTCTCCCTATCAACGAAAATTGATTTGGAAGACGGCATCCTTGTGGAAACACCCACTTTTTTTTGTTTATCCATACTCAATTTCATTTATATACTTAAGAATTTATATCACAATATCATTTAAATTTCTTAAATTATCACATGACAGCGTTTTAATCCTTTCAAGATATCTAAATTAATTGACTCGTAACTTGAGAGATTAATATAATTTAATATATCACTCTACCATGAGTCAGCATCCTTAACATATAAAGAACGAAATGAGGGGAGACGTAGCATGAACGAAGAATATAAAGAAGAAAAGAAGAGAAATTTCATCTGCAAAACAAAAATTCCCACAAGGGAAAAAGGCTGGGAACTTTAAACTACTCTTAATGTATCTGGGGGATCAGCAACACTAATCCAAAATAAACACAACAAGCATTTACTCTAAAGCTCACCAGAATAGAATAGATACTGTTCCCTTTGAATAAAGTCCTCAAGTCTAAATTATGTACAGAATTCCCCCCAGGATCAAAGAATTTCTTCTAACACAATGAAATTCTGAAAGAATATCTCACTGGACATTGAAACACCAGTACAAGTCACAACAGTCATCAATCAAAACCCCTGTTAAAATCTCCATGAGGAATAGCTCAAGCTGCACAATAAAACTGTATCATAATTCATAAATGACTTTTCTAGGATCATCTGGTCTCTCTCAAGCAATTTCCAGGCAATAGAAATTTATATTTGTGTGCATTTTCCAGTAGATAAGCAGGAAGGTGAACTGCAGAATAGGAATGGGGTATTGGTCCCATTTTACCAATGATTTCCTTGAAGGTGTATTCCTCTGGTAGCATATCAAATAAATCAGCCCCTTTGCAGATAACATCTTGAATTCTCTTGGGATTTAAATAATGAGAGAATCTAACTCTGTCATTATGGCTGTAGGCTTTCATCTTAAAGACAAAATCACTGATATGGCGAAAGCAAAAGCTACAATGCCAACCAGCATCTGCCAACAACTCATCAGACTGGCGGTAATGCGCATACCTTGTCTTACCACTCTGATACCTGTGAATGGAAGCTCTCCAGCTGTTATCATCCACGAGAAACTCGAAAGAATAAAGATAGTTCTTCAGCTGAAGATGAAGGATCGAAGGTATGTCATCACACCACCTCAATAGGTTAATTGTGTGAGCACTTGGAATCTCATCAACATCAGACATAATCAACAAGTCATCATCTGTAATACCAGCTATCTTCAGGAGTTGGTCCAATGCCACTCTTTGATACGCCTCTTCAATAAATGGGTTTTCTCCTTTCTTAAATCTCCCACCAATGGTTCCATATGTTAACCGGGACTCCACAAATCTGAACTGCTCCCGGTTGCCCTTGAAAACCAGAGGTTTAGGCCTACCAGTGAATGTGGAATTTGACTCGAGGAGCACAAACTGTGTTATGTAGGGATACAATTCTCTCCAGCGCAAGTTAAGTATTTCCAATTCATTACTGAACAGCACAGCATCATATACACGTCTCGGGTATTCACGGATTCCCCAGCCATGAAGTCTGCAGATATTCTCCATCGAAACATTTTCGTTATAGTAATGTGGGATGACATGGAACGGCTTGGGTGGTTTTTCCCATAGCGGCCGGAGGAAGTAGGAGATTTTCTGTCCATGTAAGTAGATTCCAAAGATGCACATTGGGACAACAGCAAAGAGAAATATACAAGTTTTTACATCCAACCCACGTAACATGCAGCGTACTCTTGACATGCCCGATGCTTGACTCGACTCCTGCATCAGTAAAGAACAAAGACCTAAGTAAACATTCATCCAGAAAGAAAAAACAATATTAACTTGACAATGCAACTTCATTCAATCCTGCAAATAAATTAAACCATCACCAAAATGCCAGTTTTTTCATCTCCATTGATGGTTTTCTTTTTAACAGTAATCATTGAACATATATCAGAAATTTCTCAATCACCATGCAAGGTAGCACACCAAGGGGCAATTCTAATCAATAATCACAGCCTAAAGCTACATCATGAACAGATCAGAGACATGCAAAAAATCCCAAAATACAATTTGTTAATCGAGCAGCCGTTCCAATCCCATTATGGCAGCATTCAAACCCTTCTCCCCTTCAAAACAAAAAGAAAAGGAACAAGAAGGAAATGGTGGGGGGGGAACAGGTGTCTTTGCCTGTGCCACAAATCATAGTACGAAATAGTCCAGCTTAGCTGCTAAAAAAAGCTTTGAAAAAAAACCTTTCTCTGATGCCCAAATTTAGATCACGAAAATCACGCACACAGAAAAACAGTCAACTCTCGTACAGAATGGCCGTGACAAACAACTCTGAGACATTACACTACTTCATTTGCAACTAAATCAAAATCAAACCCTCGAAACGCACAAATGCCATGCTTATTTTTCCCCCAAGACCAAAAACACCCAGAATGACCAAAGCAAAATTAATCGAAGCCACAACCAAAAAATCAAACTTTGATTAGGAAAACACACAAAATTGAAGCAGCATTAGAAAAAAATGCAATATTTATCATAGAATATAAAAAATACCTGGCCACAAACATCACCGCACAAATCATCGGTCTTCTTAGGACAGTAATGGCCACCGGAATCACCCATCATACACCACATTTTTTCCGTTGGCACAGATCGATGGCTACTCCGATCCAAATCCTCTTGAGGTGATGTTCTTAGTGGAGAAGTAAAAAGGGCTCGTGTTGTTTCGCAGAAATGAAAAAGGAAAAGGCGTAGGGTTTTGTGGTAATGGGTGGCAGACAGAACACTGGAAGCCAAACGAGGAAGTTCCGTTGAAGGATTCCTCTTTGGCAGTTTCTATTCTATTGTGTTGATGTTGTTGTTCTCAACGCCACTTTTTGCTCTCTTGTTTCAATCACTACCTCTTCCTTCCAAATTTATTTATATAACCCAAAACTCATAAAACGCCTCTTCTACGGAAACGCCACGCGCATTCTATTCGTCCTTCGGTTTGATTTGAAGATATCATATATGCTTACTTAGTCACCGATCATTTCTACTACTTTTCTAAGTCCTACTATTACATGTAATCCTCTCTATTTAATTTTATCTTCTTAATATCTTTCTAATTAAACCCTTTGTCTGGTATTTAATTTTTATGATTAATTTTACTTTTTAATTTTTTTAGTTATTCTTTATTTTTTAAAATTATTTTTTTCAAGAGTCAGTCAAGAATTATAACGTGTTAATTAATGTGATACAAATGAATTAGCAGTAAACCAAGTCGTGGGTAAATTAAATAGGCAACATCGTTGTTGAGTTGTTCTCTTTTTTGGGATTTTTCCAAAAAATTGGAAGGGGAACCTTGACACGTGGCGGCCATGCTTTATGATTGGGGGAAACGTAGAACCCAAGACGACGTCGTTGATTCCTATGCGACAAGGGTGAGTTTGGGAATTTCGGGTTGAATTGGAGTAACGCTGGCACGATGTTGAGATTTGGTGGGGAAGGGTTAGCATCGACGACACGCGCAACACAACACTCTGCATCGAATTGGGCGTGGGGCCCAAACCAACTGGGCTTTTGTTTTGTGGGCCCCTACCACGAGGTTCTACCCTCCTTCTTCTTCGTTTGATTCCTGTGCCAATTAAAAATAATAATAACTATTATTATTAATTATTATCTTTAAGATAACCACGAGGTTCTATTCTTCGGATTTTTTTTAAACTTAATTTTTTTGTTTAATTGATGCGCTTGATTACAAATTTATTGTTTATCAATTTTTTTATAACAATATATTATCATTAAAAATAAAAATAAAAATATTTAAAATAGAAGACTACAATTAAATTATCATAAAACTATAAAAATAACAATATAATAATAACGTGGGACAAGCCCTAGTTCTGCTGCGGGCTCGATGGGTAGGCTCTATTAGTTACCGTTTGACGTTTCCCAAACGGCCCTAAAAGCTGATTCGTGTTATTGTATAATAATTTTCATAAATTTTAAAATAAATTTTTACTGGCTTAATCTTTGCATTAATAAAATAAATTAATGGAAATAATAACGCCTTTAATGCTAGTTTCGTTCATAACGTTGGTAGATAAATTATTCCTATAATATCAAGGTTACAGATTTTTCAGATATTCTATATATTTTGAGATTTATATTTTAATTCACTTTATAACTAATGTTGCGTTTGGTAAATATAAAAATAAAAAAATTATAATTCTTATAGTTATTAATATTTTTATTGTTTATTTTTATTTAAGACAATGTCTAGTTAAAAGAAATAAAACTTTATGTAAGTACGTTAATTTTTTATTTCACTTTTACAATAATTATGTTCATTTTTTTATCTGTTTCACTGTCTTTTTTTATCATTCTTTTTAATCCAAATGTATTTTATATTAAATATATATATAGTTTATAATATTTCATGTTTAAATATATATAAAAATTTATTTTTAAAATAATTATTTAACTAATTTATTATAAATAAATAAAATAAATATTTTGTTTTTAATATTATGTTAATATGATATTATGAGTTATTTTAATTTATTTAATATAAATTAATTAGTTTACTAAATAATTTTAATTCTAATTAAATTATCTATACAAATATAAGCTTTCAATTACGAATTCACAGCTCCTTCAGCCAGCTTCTTCACACTTATAAATTACAAACTCGTAATTTTTAATTTATTTTATCAAACATAACCTTAATTATAAATTACATTCATCCGTCAATTATTAGTCATAATAAAAGTAAACTGAAATTTCAAACTATCTCATTCATACACAGTGATAAGAGTTTAAATTTTGTAATTGAAAATCTCACTTAATCATTCTTTTCGGAAAAAAAAATGACTAAACCAACAAAATACCAAAATAAAAAAGAAAAAAATATCTATCATTTTCTATGCAAGACTAAGAAAATTTAGTTGTGAAAGCTATGTAATTGTGTTTTATGAATATAAATTATAAAAAGGAAATTGTATCTGCAATTCTATTAGATAGGTACTACTGGTGGCATATTGGAGAAAACTAGCATAAACTTAACGCAAAGGACTATTACGTTGACTTAAATTATAAGTAGTTTTATCAATTATAATTACTCAACGAGTGAATTTTTTTATATTTATTTTTTCCCTCGATTGCTATCAAAATATAAAAAATAATAATTTTCAACTGTAATTAAATAAATACTAACTCGCATTGACTAAAATATTGAGCTAGATAAAGTATGTAATTAGTGATGCGGTAGCACTAAAAACATGTTTAGCAACACAGCAATTTAATGTATTGTGTTAATTATTATCATTATTTTCAACTTATGAGAAGAAAAAAAGTGTAGAGATTCCATCTTGCAAGTGAAGGGTCATCATAACTGGCACAACTTAGTCAAAACCCATCCAACTATAATTTGAATGATTGGGGGTGTCACAAAAAAATGCTATACTATGCTACATAATCAAGTAATGGGAAAGTTGTTAACGTTATGGTGCAGGTAGCTACTATTGTAATTGTGGGGTTACTTGAAATTCTACATAGAAGAGACGAGGAAACATCGTATATAGGGAGGAGACTGAGTCTGCTACAAATGGACATCCATGTCAAACGCGAACACCACGGAATTGAGTTTACTCGTTTTTTTGTTTGTGTTTTTAGGTCAACACTCGTATTTGTTCTTTTCTTTTGGGTCATTACTCATTCTTGTTCATAAATAGGTACAATTACTATGAAATTTCAAAAGTGGGCTTTCATAGTGGTCCACACCACTCTTGTCTATTTTATTTTATTTTTTAGCATGACTTTTTTTTTTTTACAATCCTTATATCTCTTACATAATTTCTTATGAAATATTATATACACATATGATGCAGCTTATTCTTGTTAGGAAAACACAAATATTTTGATCTCTTTCTAAGTAGGATGATGTCCTTTCGTATATTACTGACATGTGAGTAAGATGACATCTTTTAGTACATTGTTGATATGGAGAAGGTACCTACAAAAGACACTCAGATGTTGAAGTTAGATTTCAGTTCTCAGCAACAAATATTATTTTAATAATTAAAAGTCAACTATATTTCTTACTTTTTTTTTATAAATATTGTTATGGGCTTGTTAAATCAGTCTTAGTTTTAACCTTTTAGTTAAAGTAAATAATATTTTAATTATTATCCTCAATTGAGTTAATTACTTCATAATCTGATAAGGGATGTTTGGTTATATTAGGTCGAAAGTTATTCGGTTACCTTTTTTTACGAGTAAAACTGAGTAAGGTCTTGTCCAGTATACAGCTAATTTACTAGTTGTTATTTTTCTTTTATTTATAAAAAATATGAATCATTCTATTAAAATATTTTAGTTTTAATATTTAATTTACATATATATACCCAACTTTCTGTTCACGTGTTCACACGACGAAGAAACTGTTATTGCATGAAATTATATATTAAACGTTTGGGTTTTCTGATCAACTTATGCGTTGCTACTTGTTGCCCAATCAGAGATAGCACAATGCCTTGAATATCCGTCATTTTGAGCTTATATATGATTGGGCTTTATTTGGGCTAGGTTTACTTCAACAAATATGGGCCTCCTACTGTTTTAGTTCTGGCCCGCTAATTACAGGCCCTATCGAGGCTCTTCGTATATGTTGAATGATAATCAAAACTACAAACCAGGTCTGTTTTGTTTCCCTGATAAATTTAGTTCATTTTTATGATGTCTTTGAAGACTAAGAGGTTATTTTTTATATACATAAAATATTATATTCATTAATTTTATATTAAATATATATAATTAACAGTGAGTTGGTAGTCTATTTTAAAAAAGAAATAGATATTATTTAATTTTTAAAATATTAAAATAATTATAACTATTAATTTAAGAAAAGTATAATGTTTTTTTTTAAGTTTATGGGTATAATAACAGATACTAATATTTTATTCGTTTACTCTGTTTTATTTTTCATCTCGAGAATCTAAATATATGAAAGAATACGTTTAAGAAAGCTAGAGATAAAATGAAGCCAAAGTCTGCTCAAATATTCAAATAGTTTCAACACTCGGATCACCAAAAATTAAATACCAATAATTTTACAATAAAAAATATTTTCTCAAAACAAATAACTCCTTATTTTTCAACTCTTTTAAAATTAAGGAAAAATAATTTTTCATCTATTTTCTTATTCCAAGTAATAAAAGATGCATAAAGTTTTTTTTTTTTTACTTTTTGGACAATTTCCATTGTAATAAACAAATTATAAAATATTTTTCTCAATACTACTCAATAAGATACTATACACAGTGCCTTATTGAATAATTTAATAAGTGAACCAACATTTTAATCAAAGTAGTTGTTAAACAACTACTATTTATTAAATACATACAAAAAGTCAAAAACCCTACCTTAAGCTTACTCTTCGACAAAACAACTAGCATTTTCATTTTCTATACTTCTAACGTGTAATGGTGTTTTACAGAGTTTTCATTAAAGTCTTTTATATATACTCTTTAACATATGATTTATTATTGGCTAAAATAATGTGAATCTTACTATTTATTATTCTTAAATTAATAATAAAACATATATCAGAAAGTGTATATAAAAAGTATAATGTTAACGTTACTATTATTAGCCGACTCCATGGCATTCAAAACAAATAACTCCTTAAAATTGAGTTTTAACAATTAAATTATGGTGCTAATTTATTCTAGCAATGCCACCAAAATAACATTTATAAATAGAATCATCCACAAATGGTGGTTGATGCAACGTGAAAGAGTCTTAAATGGAACGATGTGCTTTCACATTTAGTGAAGCTTTAAAGTTATCTTGTCGTGTAGTTCTTACATTTTCACTTTTATTTATAAATATAATTTCATTATTACATACCAGACAGTAAAGAACCTGTCTAATTTCAACACTCAAATTTTATCATTTATTTTCCCCCTTTTCCACCAAACTTAGAATAGGTCAAACTAAAAGCAATGTTACAAATGAGTAAAAAGAAACCAATCTCATTTCCTACAAATATTAACAATTATCATCATATGCACGAGTAGCAATTTGACCATGTAATATACCCATACAGTAAAAAAGCATGTCAAACCGCATCATCATTTGCCTTTGTTTCTGGGCACAAAGCTTGGAACAGGTCAAACCAGATTCAATCTCATTATGGTCAAAAGTAAAAACAGGCTATTTCAATTTTCCTATCATCATCTACAGTACCATATAATGCTACGAGATCAAGTCTATTAAAAATCAAAATTTTAAAATTATCATTAATTGCAACTTATTCTAAAATTTTCTTTCCTCTCCCTCTACCTTTTTAGGGGAACTAATTTAAATTACAACATCCCAACCAAAAAAAAAAAAGTTTCAAAAAATTTTATTTACAAATCATCACTTTCAAACCAGAACCTTGTAGAACGAAACTGGACCAAATCAACAGAACTAAGAACCGCAACAGCAAAACGATCTGACACGTGTCTTGTGACCTTTCTTCTGTAAAGTTTCCCTTCTTCCATGTTCTCAACCTTCTCCTTCAATTCTCTCACTGAATCCCACATTCTCATTTTCTCTGCAACCTCAACCATCACCTTCATCATCGCAATCTTCTCCTTACACCCTTCCAATCTCTTCATCGCGTAAACCAATTCCACAACTTCCCCAAAACAGAGGCACCCCAATCTCTCCCTGAACTCGTTCACTCTCACACACACCTCACTCAACGCCGCAACCCCATCTTCTTCCACCAAACCCACAATCTCACCCACCAATTTGTTCTCCTCAACGGAACCAGATTCGGGTATTTCCCCAACTCCTTCAATCAACACCAACAACGCTTCCGTCTCTCTCAATAAATCACCGTTGGTAAGACCCGAAGCTCTCTCTTCTCGCGTTTCCGGAGCATCGTTTGTTTCTCCGCTGAGGAAAAATCCGAGGATTCTGCTCGTGCAGAGAAGCTGTTCCACGTGTTTAGCGTAACATCGTACCCAGGAAGAGAGTTCCCACGAGATTGGAGTGCTTTTGTCGCGGAAATTGGAGAGGTTAAGGTAGTTTCTGCCACCACTGGAGGGGAACACGGAAAGTTGGTCCTTTAGGATGAAGGTACCATGCTTTATGATGTGGTGGACGGCGATGAGACACTTGAGGGCCACGGCAGAATTCTGGGTGGTCTGAAGCCGGTTCATGAGAAGCTCCACGGCGGCGGAAGCAGTGGCGCGTGAACCGTCACCAAAGGAAAGGAGCGTGGAGATGTGTTTATGGGTTGGAGGGGTGAAAGAGTCGTGGCTGGTGGCACGAAGGAGATAGAGTGTTATTCGTTTAGAAAGAATCGCAGCTTTGCCTTGTGAAGCTTTGTCCTTCATTATCCCTATTAGCTCTTTCAGTTTCGTCATAGACTCTCTCTCCCTCTTTGATACACTTCCAAGCTAAGAGATAAAGCTAACGAGTAAAAGCTACATTATGTTGGAGATATTTATATAAATTTATCATTTTTGTACTGTATTATCGTTGAAATTTTAAGTCATGTTATAATTAAGTATTGTATTTTGATTGAGGAGAAAACTAAACATTTGAACTGGCACTTTCATTTGAACTGTCACCGATTAATGTTATCTATTTAGACTCGGTTCTTTGTCCTTGTTCATGTGCCCATTAACCAAAAGAGAAAGCTAGCATGACTGGGGTCAACTCTGACAAAAATTTCTAACATGTAATATGTTATGCATAAAATATCAGTCACTAGTCATAATCTAGTGAAGAGAACTACGTAATCACTCACGATTGCAGAATGAAAGCAAGGACTAGCTAGGTTTACAAGCGAGTAGTTTTAAATATATAAAAATTATTAATATCAAGTAATGATAAAATTGACTCTTTAACAATCATATACTCTAAAATCATTAAATTAGTTTAATGTCTTTTGGTTTTTCTTAAAATTTTAGCTTTTCAAGTACTTTTAACCTAACCTATACCAAAATTAAAAAACAAGTGAAGGTGCATATAACATGTTTAATTTGTATGAATACAATTGTTTTGAAATCAATAAAAATAAATAAAAATAACTTTAGAATATTGTCTTACATTGGTATACACGTGGTACGAATCTCTGTTGTGAACGTGGCAGTATTTTATTGAGCAGAACTGTCATCATGTACAAACTTTTTCTTTAAAAAAAAGTACAAGCTCTTCGGTACTGATATTTATGAAATAAAAGCCAATATTTTGAAATTTTTTGTGAATTTACGTTTTAAGGAAATATATCTCACCAAATGGTTCCTATTTATTTATAAACACATTATATAATTGGTTCTCTGCTTTATTTATTTATTAAACATGTTTTAAATGAACTATATATATTGTTAAAATCATTAAAATTTATCAATGTTTTTTTATTTTTATGCTAAACATGATTCAATAATGGTTTCATTTTCTTCTTCAATCAAGAAGAATAAGTAAAAAAAGTGAATAGGATTTAATAAAAAAGGAGAAAAACATTAATACATTTTAACATATTTAGTAAAATATAAATTATTTAAAATATGTTTGAAAGCCAAAGGATTAAAGCTAAATTTTTAAAAATTAATTAATATAAATACAAAAATTAAAAGTATATATATATTTTTATAACATGATTTAGGTTAAAAAAAATAATATCATAGATGTTAACTATAGGCGTATCTGGGAGAAAGCTAACGAGTCATTTATAGATTCTAAGCTATTTTTAATTTATATTGATAACTTTTACTATTAAATTTAAATATAATTTTTTTAAAAATATTAGATAAATATTTAAATAAATAATTATCTAAATACACTGTAAGTTAATAACAATTTAATGACAAAATAATAAAAAAGACTAACAACAACAAAGTACAGCAAGTATAAAGATGATGAGTGTTATTTGTATAATAGATTTTACTATAGAATGTATTGAAATAATTTTAAAAAAAATATTTTAATAAATTACATTAAGAAACTTAATAAAATAATAAAATTATAAACAATTAGTTAGTAAAATTGAATGAAGATTTATAGTTAGTTTAACTATAATTATTTGATACAATTAATTATATAAAAAGATGTGAGAGAAACATTTGTGTGAGGTTTATAATTATTATAATAGTGCAAATTATTTAAATTTAAATTTTGAAAGGTAAAGAGTTATTTGGGAAAGGGAGTTTTAAAGGAGAGGATAAAATGTATATTTTAAATAAATATATTTAAAATTAATATCTTTTAAAAATAAAATATATAAATTAATATATTAACAAAAACTTAATGTATTAATAATATATTTTTCATTATAAATAATATATATTTGTTTTTAATTTAAAATTAAAAATAATATCCGCCTTTCTTTCTCTTTTGAAAATTTCTTTCCAAAATACCTAAATGTTTTAAAAAGATAAATTATTTTTATTTATTATATAATATTTATTTTGTTAATTAAGTTAATAAATTATAAAATTTACCATAAATTTATAATTTTTTATGTACTCTTTTAAATATTTTGTAAAATTAAAATTTTTTAAGTTATATATATATATATATATATATATTATTCTGGATTTATATCTCATTTCGTTTATTTTATTTTATTTAAAAAATAATTAAGTGTAAAAAATAATATTATAAGAGATTATAATTTTTTTAAACAGTGGAATATTATATAAGATAAGAAGTTATATATGATAAAATTTGATAAAATATATTATTTAATATTATTAATATATTGAATTTTATAAATTTAATAAAAAATTTATATATATAAATTTTTTATTGTGTACGATGAAAATTATAATTTTGGTTAGATAAATGTTAAATTAAAAAAAATAATTGACGGAGATCATCTGCAACATTTCTAAACTAGAAAACATCTCATTTATTTATCTTATAATGTGACTTTGCACCATCTTTCAACTTTCTCTCTTCCCTTCTTGATTATAATTTAATGCATATCACCGCTTTCACTTTTTAACATAAATCTTCAAGAAAAGAGAGCGCATCATCACACAATTACTCTGTTAAACCCATTGATGACGAACAAGTAAGAATACATACAACATAAAAGCGAAATTACTTTTAATTTTTACAGAAAAATTCTCCAGATACTGGGAATTAAATGGTGGCACATTTCAATTGCGCAGAGAGAAGAGACAAAATGAACAATCAAACGGGAGGAATATTCCGAGTTCCCTGGGCCCTGTTAAACGACATTCTAAGTGGAGTCCAGCAAGTCCTTAAACCTGAATCGACAACACCATTAGAAACCAACGGCGGAGTCATCGACATCGACAACGACCACCGCTCCTCGTGACTCTTCGAACACCACACGCCTTCAAAAACCACCCTCTCACTCCCCGCAAGCTGCTTCCTCACGTGTTCCGGCAACCTCAGAGAGTACCTGTCCACGTCCTCCTCAGGCCCCACAAAAGAATGACCCGTTGAATGCGACCTCGGCAACAACATTCTCGATTCAGGTGACGGAATAACAACCCTCTGTGCCACAACCATTTCCGTTTCATTTTCTGTTTCAACGGTAACGGCCGTGCTGCTGCTCTGTCTCAATTCTTGTTGCGGTGGGATGACAGGGATGGCAACGTCGTCGACACTATCATGGGTGAGCTTAGCGCGACAAACAGGACAATTCATGTGAGAGAGTAACCATCCATCGATGCAATCAAGGTGGAAAACATGATGACACTTTGGCAGTAACCGTATCTTGTCGCACTCTTCAAACTCGCTTAAACACACTGCGCATTCCAACGCTCCTTTCCCCATTTTCAGCTCCTTCACCGTCGAGTACACCAAAATGGGGCACCTGTTGATCACTTCCCGGTTGAATCCGCGGCGGCAGATGTCGACGGCAGCGGTGATGGGGTTGCTTCTGCCACCAAAACTGCGGGAGCAATGGCGGAGGTAGAGCGAGAAGAAGCCAGTGAAAATGAACGCGGATAAGAACGCCAACAGCATGACGCTCATGGTTGCCTTGAAGTTCTCGCGTAAGGTCATTCCCAAGGGAGGGTTTGTTATAGTGCCTGTCTGTGCAACCGCGCGTGAATGGAAGAGAGACAGTACTAGGACCACGACGAACATGTCGTGGGCCCCTTCCATTTGTCAACCGTCCTAACAGAAATCGAATCCTCAAAACTCTAGAAAATAGACTGCGGCACTGAACATGTGATGTGAGTGAGTGAGCGAGTGAGTATATATGATAAGGCTTAAAAAAAATGAAATGATAGCAATGTAAATTGTAAACTATAATCATGTATTTGTAATTGAAGTTTCAAGCGTTAGTGGTTACTTATGCTTATGCGAGAACCAAGCCAAGTAAATGAGAAGAAAGAGGAAGAGGGTTAGGTCACTTAGGTGTTGGGTTGAGTAGGTTCTTGTGGTGGCAGTGTAATGAGACGACACGAGGCAAAGGAGCTATATGTGGCGGCTCAATTTGCTCCTACAAACACGTTAAATTGCGTTTTAGGTGTGCTTTGTTGGTATATGGAAGGTTTGGCTCTGCTTTTTTTCCTGCATTGGTGAAAGTGGCATCTATTTATGATCTTTGCATGCAAACAAACAAGCTCTCCCACTCCCGTAGACTAAGAAAAACTAATTTACTGAACGCTTTTTTAAAGACCAAAATATCTAAACTTAGTTAACAATGCTGCTTTCGATTCTGAACTGCAAAATTAGTGTGTTTTTTATTTTTTGTTACTTATGGCTTTGGACAAGTTATAAAAACTGAAATTTAAATTAAAGTAAATCTTTTTACACATAATAATAATTTTTTATGTATTGATATTATTAAATACTATAATTTCGGTGTCATTAAAAAAAGAGAGAACACAAACATTTTTTAATAAATTAGTAATCCATAAACTTTATTCAATTTTCGTTAAGCCATGGAGGTTTTGCATTTGTCACCTTATAACAATGTTTTTTGTACTAGACAATGAATCTTTGTTGGTATGTATTTTCAAAGATGTGTGATCATCTTGTACGTTAATTCAATGTACACATTAAATATTACTCAAAAATGTTAATACGTTAAACCGGACGGTAAACATCTTCACCGAATAAAACATGGCGACAAAGTAGCACAAATTTGGGCTTATTGAGAAACAGTAGCGGAAATTTGGACCCATGATTTTATTGAAATTGGTTAAAAATCCAAAACGCCTTCTTAATTAAGGGTCTAGAAATTAGTGTATGCTCAAATATTAAAATTTTGTTAACTTGTGTACTTAGAATATTGATTAAAAATTTAATAAATAATATATATTTTTTAATTTCAAGTGATTTTTTATTTTTTATAATGTTACAGTTCTAATTCTTGCACTTCTATTTTTTTCATTTAAATTCTGAATGTTTAATTTAAATACTAATTTTAGAGTTAAAATCGTGTTAGTGATGTGTTGACTTATATTTTAATAATTATTTTTGAATGATTAACATGAATATCTCAATATTACTTGGGCGAAAAATAAGTAATTATTGTGAATTGACATTTGAATTCAATTAAAGAAGAGGCCACTTGTAAATGATGTAACTGAATAGTCCAAATTGAAAAGAAGAGGGTGAAGTCAGCAAACTCAAGACCAGAGTTGTAGTGAAGGTCAAAGGGGAATGTATGGCGGCGTCACACGGAATCTCCGCCGCTTCATTCTTCATTCTTCATTCTCATTAATGTACTTGGATTCCAGCATTTTTATTATTTTTTAAAAACTATTTTGTAAATAAAATTTTTTATCCCATAATATAGTGTTTTGTTAGAAAAACATTGATAAAACACAGGTAAATTTGTTTTGACTAAATGAATAAAATTAGCCTCAACAAGTATATTCATCATTCTAAATATATAATAATAATTTTATTTATTTTCTTAATGAACCAAATAAAATATTTCTATCTTCTACTGATTTTTCCCTCCACTCCTTTAAACCAATGGAAACATTGTAAGATTAACAATGCATGATATGTAAGAAATATAAAAGATTTTATTTTGGCATTACAACAAAATTCCATTCAAGCATTTATTTAATATTCTTTTAAATTAATAACATAATCATAAATTGGGCTAAGAAGGCACGAATTGGGCTATGGGCCCAGATAAGACCAGGCCTGCATCTGGTTTATGTGGGTTGATGTCTTGATGAATCATCACATAATGGTTTACAAACCAATCCACATAGTTTCTTCACAATCAATTTGGAAGAATACAATAAATTATAGATTGACAACTCAATAATACTAATAAAACTGAAATATTGTGTGGATATTGAGTACAGCTCGCAATCACAAAAGGATTAGGAAAACACCAAAGAAGATCAAAGTAACACACTGGGCACTAACACCTCTTTGAGACACTTCTTATCATTCACACTTTTGTCTGATCTTCTAGTCTGTGCTGCCTCATGTCGTTTATGATTAAGACTTTATGCGTTACTGTAATTGTCCTCATAGAATTGAGAAAGTGGACATAAAGGAAAATAATTTTATGGTGAAATATATGTCACATTTTTATCTCCTAAGTTTCCAATTAGAAAGAACACAAGCGCACCATGAACGGCAGCATAGACACTAGAGAAACAACCAATGAATCGGCACACTTTGTTTTGTCTCGTACACGTGCTAAATAAACTATAAAAAGTTCAAATTTCAAGTCATGAAGTTGGTAATTTGCATAAAGTGCCAAATTTTGGTGTCTATAGCTACATACTACGCAAGCAAAAGCGTGGAACATGTAAGGTCCACACAAATTTATGATAATTGCAAAAGGATAGCAATTTGAACTCTTTCTCTCTCTCGTTCACACACACGTAAAATCATTTAAAATAAATCATCACTAAAGTGAACAAATAAGATTTTGTTTGGTTATGAGCAAACACCTTTTGGTGTTTCAAAGAATTCGAATTAAACGACATCCTTTAATGATGTTTGGTTAAATTTTTTACTTTACAAAATTAAATATGCAGCAAGTAAAATTGATCTTGAGAGAAGTGAAGTGTTCATTTTTTTTTTATTGACAAAAATTGTTTCACAAAATATAAATACATTTATATTTCAAAAACAACTCTACTTTATCATTCAAAGAATATTAATTCTCTTAAACTCACGTTTAATACTATATCCTAATGATCATACATGTTATGCATATAATTGAAACAATAAGTATTAACATTATAAAAACTATTTAATACTTTCTCCTTTAAATTAGTAAATATCACTTTGATTCCATAATACTTGCAAAATCTTTATTGAAACTATATAGTTCTATTTAATAAAAAAATAATTAAAAATGGCATTTGACAACTTAAATAAGAGAATGTTCAATTTGTTTTGTACAACAGGTAATAAATATATACTAAAAAACTTATCCCATGTTAAATATCTGAGCACTAAATAAACTATAAATTAAATGAATATCTTCAAACTATATATAACTTTTAATTTTGCAGTCAGAGAGATGAAGAATTTAATTGGGGAACATATACAAATACAATGGGACCTTTGCTTCTAAAATAAGGGAAAAAAGAATGAAAGGACAATTTATTCTTAGTGTCATTTTTAAGTAACGGGGACACATGAGAAGGAAAAGGGGGACAAGAGTGGAGTAAACAGGCTAAAAAGCTAAAACAAATAAAATTCATTTTGGCTTTCACATACCACGCTTGGCCCCCAAAGTTCCTCCCACATGGTATTATGAAAACAGGACAGAGATATAAGATATAGTGCTGGTTTGTGGTGGGTCTATACTAATTTCTATCCCACATAAAAAAATTTCTCTTTTTGGACAAGTAGGCCCTTATAATTGATAAAAAGCTATACATATACCGCTATGTGTTTATTGTGCAAGATGTGTATTAAGGAGTCATTGAACAGTTGTATCTTTGAAGTTTTCTAGTCCAAAATCCAATAGACCAATGATTAGATGATGGCAGATATTGTGGTATGGTACGGAAAACTTCATCCTAATTTTTCTTCTCAATCACAAAAACAAGTTTATCTATCCACCATAAATAAAAAAAGCACACTCCAATTATTCTCATGTGTATGATCTTCAATCTTCAGCAATAGTTGCCTCATCGTGCTTCAGTAGTTATTAAGTACTGAAGGCCACGAAGATATAATAGAAAGGATTAAAGCAAAAGGGAAAGGAAAATAGAAAAGAAATCCACATAATCAAAGAAAGTAGGGCAAAAGGAGACATTATTGCATTGGTTGTGTCAGAATCCACATAAATGGGTTTCATTATATTAAACATTTTAGTTGGTGACCGAAAAAACACTGCATCACTGCAAACTAATCAACGTTAGATTCCTGTAGAACAAGTGTGTGGATGAGGACCATAAGGTCAACCATAGAATATATAAAAGAAAAAGAAAAATATTAGAATTATCATCTAGACACATGACATGTATATTACACTATATATATATATATTAGCCCGGAACCATACACATGAGGTACAAGTTCAACCCAGAAAGAAACCACTTAATACTAATTAGGCACCAAAAATATGTCGTACATAGCCACTGTTGGTGGCAGAAGCATGAGTAGTGGCGTCACCACAGTGGATTGCCAAAAACAAGTTAGATCATGGAGATTGCTACGTTCTCTCATGGAATTACTAATCCCAAGTTGCAATTGCACCTTCTTAGAAGAAGACCAAGATGATACCAAATCAGAAAAGTTTCTCCAAAAGTATCCACCATCACTCATGACTTCTACCACCATCACTGGCACTATATTTGGATACCGTAGGGGCAAGGTAAGTTTTTGCATCCAAGCTAACGCAAACTCAAGCAACCCAATTCTTCTCCTAGAGTTAGCAGTACCCACAAGCGTTTTAGCCAAGGAAATGAGAGGGGGAACACTGAGAATCGTGCTAGAGAGTGTCACCACAGGATCATGCAGCACTAACTTGTTTTCCACGCCTTTGTGGACTATGTATTGTAATGGGAGGAAAGTGGGATATGCTGTTAAGCGTAGACCTTCAAGTGGTGATTTTGAAGCTCTAAGTTTGATGCGTTGTGTTGACGTGGGTACTGGTGTTATAAATGGAAAGGAGTTGCATCAAGAAGATGAGCTTATGTACCTAAGAGCCAACTTTCAAAGGGTTCGCGGCTCTTCCAATTGTGAATCTTTCCATTTGATTGATCCAGAAGGAAGCATTGGTCAAGAGCTTAGTATCTTCTTTTTTCGGTCAAGGTGACCTTTGTTTATATTTAAAGCAGTTTCAGCTTTCAAATTACCCTTTTTTTGAGCTGTGCCTATTATGTGGTCAACCAGAGCTACCTTAACATGCATGGCATAGCTTTATCCATCCTAAGCTCTATAAGTTTATTGTTTTTACCAAAAATTGTACTTTATTTTTGGGGGTGTTAGACTGGACAATTTGGAAGGGAGAATGTTAAGCCTATTAGGTCATAGCCTTTTTTTCCCCTCTCTTTTAACACAAAGTAATAACTGTCTTCTACTTAGTAATACTTTTTATTTTTCTGTTTGGCAGTGTTTGGTCTGAATTTTACCTTTTGGCAATACTAATATAAATATCGTCACCAATTAACAAACTTCCTCGAGCTCTAGTTTTCTCACATATTCCCAAAATAAATCCATTGTAATTCGTCTTGGTTCTCCCTTTTATAGATATTGATTATCTGAGAAAGTATGTGGTTAAGCTAATGATGTGTATGAAAGAACTTATAAATGAGTATGCTTTTTTAACTTATTTTAATTAAAAAAATTATATATGATTTATTCAAATAATTTTTATAAACATTATGATATAAACTCGTTCTGCAATAAGAAAAAACATTTGATAAAACGATTTCCTAAATATTCCTTTTAAAAAAGTTACCCTTTTCATTGTCTATATACGTAAGTTATCACATTATTTGAATTATTAAAAATAATTTTGTATATAATTAGTTCATTTCTTACATATTTTTTTTAATCTTTTTTATTTACACTCATCTTAAAATATATCACAAAACACACAAAAAGACTCCTTCTAGTGTCCCTCTTTAGTATACAGAAAAACATTTCCCCATTCTCTTATGATACATTGGAAAGTTATTACTGCCTTTTTCATTATTAAGATATGATTAAGGTCTAAAGTCAGATTTGCCTTTTAACGTCCGCAAGTGTTTAACAGATAAGTTAAATAAAAAAATATAAAAACTAGAATATTAATGAAAAATTGATAAGCTAAATGATTGAGTTGAGATTTTAATAAAATTAACTACTAAATTAACTGACAAACATAAATTGACATAGAAGAAATTATAAGAGAGAATAAAAAAAGTTAAGAACTTATAAGCTAAAAGATCACATAAAATAATACTTCAAAAAACATTATATGTCACTAAAATAAATTATTTATTGAATAAATCTAATTTAATTAAATAATTTAAAACTAGTTAAATAAGTTAAAATCTAACCTAAAATTCTTGCCAAATACTCTCCATGGCTGCTGGTAACTTAGCTTAAAAGCTCTATAATTAACATAAAAGTTATAGCTGGCAGGGCATTTTATGATGAAGAAATCAACACAACAAATACCATATCATAAATATAATTAGCGAGGACCTAACAACATGTTAATAATTTTTGCACATAATTGACAGCTCATAATATTCTCCTTGTTAGTTATTACGATTAAGCAAACTTGGAGAAATTGCACTCAAGCATACAGCTTTAGAAATTCATATTTAAATCAGATGCCAAAAGTAATCGAGTAGAGAATCAAATTTTAGAGCACAATGATTAATTTATATAATTCTCCATCCTCATTAATATTTGAAAGATGTTGATTTTATTTGGAAGGTGATATTAATAGCCAATGGTGAGTGGAAGATATTTTTTAAAGAAGCCGCAGTGGGGCATTCTTCAAATGAGAATCTAATTGCATGCATGAGTTGTTTCAGATTCCTCATGTCGTTTGCTTATATTAGACAACATGGAACAATATCTATAAGGCAAGTGGAACAGGGCCATTTTATGGGCCACTTTGGGCTATCTTTTCCGGCACAGCCCGGCTATGGGCCAACGACAGAACACATACACCATATGGAACGGATGGGCCAGCCCATCCTGTTTGACAATACAACCTCTGTAATTATTTGCATGAAATGCTGTTACAAAAATTATGGAATAGGCATCATGCAGAAATCTTGTATATTCCATATTATTGCATTTTTCAATTTGCAACAAATTGAACAGGATGGCAAAAGAAAAGGGGGCAAAAACAAAGAAGAAACTTTTGCATAAAATATGCTTTCAGTCCTGGTAAAAGCTGTGTCACAAAAATGGAAGCAAAAACCAGGTGCATGCCAATCCTAACAATTCTAGAATGTTAAAGTTCCATTTGCTGGGTGATTTACCTGCAAAAAATACATGGGTGCATTAAAATTTTACAAATATCACAAGTGTACATAACAATAGTGGCAGAGCCACCAAATTTACCTAATAGAAGATAGTTGTTCCTAATGTTCCATTCAAAATCCCAGTGCTCCCTATCATTTTTCAGAGTCCAATAAGACCATCCAAAGGAAGCTGCATTATAGACATCTAACTGTGCTCTTCCAAAGTCCTGATAATCTTTTTGGGATCCACTTGTCACATTCCACTCATTCACCCACTCTCCTGAAATCACCTTAAAGAAGATAAAAACGAGAGTTGCAGCAAAAAGAGAGTTTTTCAAATTCAGACAAAGTTTGTTTATGCATTCAAGGATTTCAAAGTTGAGGTTTGTTATTGTGAAACATTTAATGCACTGTCATACAAACAGTCAGAAGAGCTGTGAGTCTTACCAATAAAAACAAGTGGGCCATTTGAATTGTTCAAGGCCTGCAGTTGACCTTCGCGGCTTTTGTATATGTATTGAATGTTATCACCGACGCTCATATTAACAAAAAATGTGTCAAAGAGATTGTAGAAATGCAAATCCAAAACTAAGTTGTGAGATCCTATGTTGGCTTGATAAAGTTCCAAAGGATCTGCCATGCCAATTCTCTGGCAGATTATCACATAAGCTGACGACGAGTATTTTCGAACAATTTGGTAGCCCTGCTTGTAATATGGAATTAAAACATCTAATGGAACTGTGGAAGCTGATGGTTCATTCAAAAGCTCAATTCCCAGCAAGGCAGAAGATCTTGCATATCTGCAAATGACAATGTTTGTTTAGTAAGGTAAAACACAGACTCACAAAACATTTGTTTTAACCATAAAGATGGAATCCCATAAAAAATAGCATTGCCTCTTCCTAAAAGAGATTGTATGTTTTTTATAATGAATTTCATAACAGTACTAAAAAGAGATTAATTCAATATATTTATTTATCCCAACGAAGAAATTTTATCATCCAAACCAATATTCAATGGTATGTAAGTTGGTTATTCAATAACATGAGCAATATGTCAGAATATATTTGCACACTGAAAACATACCTAGAAACTAAAAATTCAATAACATTTAATGACTCTGAAATGTAATCTGGAGAAGTCGACCAGCCCGTAAATCCATCTCTGCTTGAACTATGTTCCATCCCATTTTGAGAACCAGGAGCAGCATGAAGGTCAATTATGCATTTTATATCATAGTCTCTGCAACATGATAATTAGGCATAATGTCAGAAGGAAAAGCAAAGTTCCAATTGTGCTAAAAAACTTAATGATAACACAGCAAAATCAAAACCTACTGTGCCCAAGTAAATGCATTATCTAGAGCTTCAAGACTTCCTCCAATAAATGGACTCGGAGGATCAGGATCAAAAGCAATCCACCACCCAACTGGTATCCTCACAGTATTTATTCCATGTTTATATAGAAATTTGAAATCCTCTATGGTGATAAAGCTATTTCTATGCCTCTGCAGTTACAGAAAGCTGAACAATCAAAGAGGGAAGACAATTTGCTATTTTATTTTTGTAAGTATTACGTATGTGATGGCTTTCACTGATAGAAAGAATTTGTGTAAATAAAATAAAGATAAGTTGGATGAAGCGAAGATACAGAAAAAAAAAAGTGAAAGCTTATTCTGATCCCTCAGTGCAACAACAAAAGAATAACCCCCCTCTCCTCAAAAGAAAAAAAAAAACTACTGTGATTGCTAGAATGTACAACACATTTGGTCCTTGCAAATTTACACACGTCATAAAATATATTCTGTGAAAAAAATTCATGTTCAAGCAAATCATCATTGTGCCACTATACAAAAAATATTTGTAACATGATTTTACCCTAAAAACGTCTTTTGCCTGACTATGCCCATATCCATTTGCTAGCTGGTAATCTCCATGCAAGTTATTTGATACAATCGTCATTTCAAATGTGCCAGAATTATCGTCCCATCCTGGTGCACCTGGGTAGTCTGCTGTAAGCTGACCATCTGTTGTAGCCTACGTAATATAGTGGAATATTCAATCATGTGAATCTGTTAAAAGTTTGATGTTAATGTGACCGTAAAGAGTAAAATAATTCTATATGCCATCTTATAGATGCTTAAATATAGTATTGGTTTTTGAAGCAGAACCCATTATAAAATGTTGAAATTGATTTATACAAGGCATGACATGGTGAAGTTATGGATAAAACATATTACATTCTGTTCAATATGCAGTTATTATATGTTTTTTTGGTTTTATTCTTTGCTCAACATGATGACAAAAGTGTCTTGCGAAAACAGAATTATATTTTACATGCAACCAAAATGACTTGTTTTAGTAGAAAGAAGGATGAAAACCTGAAGGTACACCCCATCCTTTATCTTGATGTGAATCCTATTTTTCTCATTCCGCTCAATTTCATAGGTCTCTGATGTTGAAGCTGATTTTGCTGTTGCAGAGACAGAGCTGCCTTCACCATCACAAGTAAGAAATTGGCCTTGGGAGGTACGGAATTGAAATTCTGATGCAGATACTCTCCATAGCTACAATAGAAATAAGGGGAAATCATTTAATAAAACTTCCAGTTTTCCATACATCACTCTTAACAATTTCTAATCTTACAATTCCATCATTATGTTTAAAGTCCTCCTAAACTACTAGTGGCTACCATATTTGTTTAATTATACATAAAAAAGAAGTAACCTCACCCTTCAAGATATAATAGCATGTGGGAAGTAAGAGAAGAAGAGATGCCAACCAAGAATATCGGCCACTAGCATACAGATGTACTGTATTAGAACTTATCAAGACTAAAGAACCTGAAACAAACTCTTCAGTCAATCTAGAATAAAGTATGTAATTCCAATTTCTTCCAAAGTAACTATCATCATAGAGAGCCTGGGAACATTTCTTTTACCAGCATTGCATTCTAAAAGTAACTAAAAACTAAAGTCAGACTGGAATTTCATCCTTGTGGACTACTCTGATGCACTCAAACTATAAACCATTAGTAGGCATGAATTAGGTAAGAAAAGATAATACAGTATTTCAAATGATCGAGTCAACTTTATCCTCTACAACAAGGATTTTTTAGTTGTTTTGAATCAGATTGTTTGGTTACTCATTATGGTAATGAGCAATATTTATGATGCATTGTTCCCAAGAATTTCACTGGCACATAGCTCACTGCTGATCATATGAAAAATGAAGCTCTATTTTCACTTTCTATCTTCTGAACTTTTTTCCCTTTGTGGATATTATCCACTGTCCAGCTTAACACAAGCATAACTTATTCAACTAACATCAACTTGGATGGTTCCAAAATTGTTAGTATGCCACAAAATACTTCCAATTTGAAAGATACTCAAGTCCACATACTAAAAAAAAAAAAGATGTATTATAAAATCGAAAAGCTACAGATGGATAAATAAACTTAGATAAGAAATGGATAAATTCAGTAACTGGATTAGGATTAACCATTTGACATATTATTATCATGCCACAAAAAGAGATGCATATCAATAATATATATAACACTGAATAGAAAATTAAAACAAGAAAACACACACTTGCCATCTTACCCTGAAGGTTTCCCATGAAGATGAGACATCCCTGTTAACTGTCACATTCATTCCTCCGCCATTCTCTGCTGATACATACTTCTGCAATGTCACGGACTTAAACTGCACCTCTGTCCCATCCTACATTTTCAATATCAACACACATATCAACCAGATAATCTACTAAAACGCCAAAACAATCATGCATTCCAAAGTAAAATGAGTATACAAAACATGAAGTAGCTCACAAGCATGTCTCCATTGTCAATGCCATCAAACAGTGCAGGCTTGATCCAACCTTCAATAACGAGCCACCCTCCTAAGTTCAATCCTCTCACTTTAGAATCTCCATGTAACCCCTCCACTTGAACGAGGCAAGGCCATTCAACACAAATAGACAAGTAAGATACTAGGTTCCATACATTGCCTTGGAAGGATATACAATGGATAAGGCATGAAACTTCTCAGGTAACAGAATTTACCTTACCTGAATATACCCCAGAAGTGTTTAGACAACAAAATAAGAAGAATGCACATGCCCATTTGGTAAAAACAAGTCCCATCAAGAATGCGGGCATCAAAAGCACCCAGAAAGCAAAAATGCAGAATCCATCATGGGAAAAAGCTTAGCCTCAATTATGTACAAGAAAAAATCAAAGCCAAAGCACCTTGAAGTGCAACTTGGAGGGTGAATCTATGCAAAATAAATCCCTTCCTTATCACTCAGTTAATACCAAATTCAACTTTGTGAACAAACATAAGAAGGTGATTTGGGTTTTGGGATTGCTTCTTTCAATTTCTTGGTTAATGCATGAAAGGGAAAATAATAAATAAAAAACTATCCAATTATATTGAAAACCGAAGCCAATGGAATAATAAGGATAAGAGAAAAGAAAGGAACAACCTTGTAGAGTGGGAAAGGGAAAGCAAAAAGCGTTCACATACAGATTGTAAACTGAAAAGGGAAACTTTGCTTGTGGGGTTCTTCCACTGTTCATTTTAATTAAATAATTAACTGAATAATTAGTATCTCGGCTTTGATTATCTTAGGTTGGAGTAGAAGGAGTGCTGAAAAGGACAGGTTTGTTTCCTTTGCTTTATTTACTAAATCTTCAATGGAGGATTCACTGAGACCTTGAAACAGTTAATGCTAACGCACGAAGCTGAAGAAGATAAAAAAGTTATGTTCTTTTGAAGTCTCTTCTCTTGCTCTTCCGAGCCGAATGATATAGGCTTCAACTTTGTGCAGAAAATTTCAGTTCATCTTTTTGGGTTGTGTTGTGTTGTCTGAAATTAGATTCTCATTCAATAAAAAAGTTGAGCTTTATGGTAACGTTTGTCGTCATGTTATGTTTAGAGGATGATCATCGCGTTTTACTTTTTATTTTTTAATGGGTCATTTTCTGATCTATTTTTAAATAAATATTTGTTATCTTTATTATTATTCATATTCTTAAAATTACACAACGATAAATATAAAAAATAGTACAGAAAACGAGGTTAAACAATTATTTCCTTATCAGGCTTGTTCAATTCCAATAAATTAACATAAACCAAAATCACCACCCCTAACATTTTCTCAAGTTGCGCCGCTGATGAAGATCAAATTGGCAGCAAAGTTACATTCGAATTCGAAATCACAGGCTAACTAATGTTTGTCAATTAATTTATGTGTTGGGTAATAAATTAAAGTTATTTTAATTCAAACTAAAGATAAGTGCATCAATAATATCTTATTTTGTATTTTCTTTTTACCTTAAAGAATTAGATCATAAACATAAATAATTTAAATAGGATACGGTAAATTTTGCCACAGTTCTACTTATTCAAAAAAGTCTTGTTTATTTCCAAAATCACCTGAAAAGCTCAAATGAAAGGTCGTAATATAAGAGAGAAAATAATAAGAACGGATTATTCGGTCACGGGTTACGCGTTCAACTTTGCTTTTTGGTCAAGTTGATCAATTGGTGAATATGCCCATTGCTCCTGCACAAACGTTACTCACACAATTTTTTAATGCATTTTTTTATAATATTTTTAATTAAAAATTATGAGTATCATTCTTTTTAATGTAGTATTTCTTTTATTTTTAATAATTTTTAATTAAAAAAGTATATCAATGAGTACTCTTCGTGCATGTAGAGAAAAATACCAGTACCATGGGTGAGTCACTTGTAGCCAATAATATAGAATTACCATATTGAAATAATGTTGAAAGTTTTTTTTAATACTATTAGCCTATGGTGATCATGTTTACAAGTATTTGCATGATCGAACCATTGGATGCATCACAGAATAACTGGTGGAGAATTGAAAACATTAAGCATATTTTGTTTCTGGTCATTAAACATATTGAAACACAAGCATTTGTAAAGGAAAAAGGGGAAGACAAATATAGAGCACAAGTTTGTAAAAATAATTATTTATCTACCTTGAAATTTGCTTCCTTGACTTTGCCAGAAATAGTTTACAGGGGAAGAGTTGAACTATGGCTTCTGCTATGTCTGGAAAATATGAATTTTCTGTTATGTGAAAAAGATCTTCTCAGCGAAAAATGCTTCTCATTGTTTGTTGAACTCTCACTGCCATGCTTACTTGAAATTGAAACATTCTTTTTAACCAAGTTGATGTCTGAGTCTGAACTTTCTATATCAGAATTTAAATCCAAGGCATCACAAAATACTATTGAAGCAGAAGATGAATCCATCGAGACAGAACTAAATTCATGTGCAGTAACAGCAGAAGCAGAATCAATTGGAACTGAAGAGTGGCAACTAATCTTGCTACAATGATCTTCACTGGGATCTTCAGCTGCAACAGCAACCCTCACTCCACTTTCTTCTATATATTCATTCAGATCAGAAAAACTTGGATCAGGCTCTATGGTTCTCACTAGTTCAATGCCACTAGCTTCATGAACAATAGGGGCACGGCACAAGGGACAATTTTTATGTGATCTCAACCATGTATCAATGCAAGGTACATGAAAAGCGTGGCTGCACTTTGGCAAAAGTTTGAGACTTTCTTCTTGTTGAAACTCACTGAGGCAAACAAGGCACTCAGTTCCTTCTATCAATCCTTCATCTTTTCTGTATTTGCAAACTGTGATGGAGTCTATGATGGATTCTTGGAGACCCTCTGTGGAGATGAACCATATGGGGTGTGCAATGGCTCGTTCCTCATCATTAGAAAAGGAAAAATCTCCACGAATGTCAAATAGTATTGGTGGGTTTCTTCTGCTAACATAGTATCTCCTTGATTTATAGTACCTTAGGATTTTGGACATGGTGACGAGTAACATGACTACACCACCAGTGCTAGCTATGACAACCATAATGATAAGTACATAGTTTTGAGTCATGTGGTCTTCATCATGGATGGGAGGGAACCACGGAAATGACAGTGAGACTGGTGAGTGAAGAGGTGAAGGTGTTGGGCTATGGTTGGTTCTCCATGCTGTGATAGTATCACTTGAACCAAGGTACGGATGGAACAGCGTTCTAGGATGTAAACTCATCTTGGAAACATAGCAAGAAAGAGAAAAGATGTTCGAAGTTTTTAGTACTTGGGAATGGAAAATTTAGAACATTTAGACAAGAGGAAAAGGCACACAATGATAGAGAGAACATGGAAGATTTTAGGTCCTCCTTAGAGTTTACCAGCGATGAGATTGTTTAGGTAGAATTTTTGGCATTTTTGTAGCCATGTTTTGATGCTTTGATGGGGCAATTTCACTTTCCTTGGTAGACCTACGCAATTACTCAGTGACTGACTGATTTTTCTTTGTTTCGATCTAAGTCAATGGACTTTTGTTGGGTCGTTTCCACGTTATCTTCCGTGGAGGGATGTTAAGGGAAGATAAAATCTTTGTCAATATGCAATCGTGTCTCTGTGTTCACATGTGTCCTGTTGCCAAGCTATAAATACTTTCAAATAGATAGTATTAAGCTAAAGGTTTTGAGCATTCAAACACGCTGAACTTGTGCTTTAAAAACTAAACTAGATGTAAGCTTACATATACTTTCTAGTTTTCACATTAGGGTGTTAATTACTCAAAAGGGTGTTCAGTTGGGAACATGAGAAGAGAAATGAGAGGATCAGATGGAGGATTTTGGGAGTACAAACCATTCAGCACTTAAAATAGCTATTTCATATTTTTTTTTTATAATTCTTGGAATATAATAACATAAATCTTGTGAACATAGTTCAATGCTTTCAACAATTTTTTTTCTTTTAAATGTTTCTAAAAAAAATTTGAGGGAGAACCAAGATGTCATATTTGGTACCACACGAGCAAATTTTATTAGATATTAAACACCTTCGAAAGTAGCATCCCACACTTAGTGCAAATATTCTTGCAGCCTTTTTTTTTTTGTCTTTGATTCTTTCAAACCTGTTTACCTTTGATTGATTTTATCTTCACAAATCTTAATTTGTAATGTAAATTATTATTTAATATTTTGATTTTCTGCTAATTTTTAATATAAATCTATCTTAAATTTATTAGAAAACTAGCAAGGACAAAATTTATATGAATATCTTGACTTCCCTTCCCCTTCCCTTCAGGAAAAATATAACCTTTATTTTTCTCTCTCTTCAAACTTTGTCTTTATCATTTTTTTCTAGCACTATTAATAAATATATCAGGAAATGTATAATTAATCTAAATTAGTGCATTTAAAATTTATATAAATATATTCGAAATAAATGGTCAAGAGTTTTTTTTTAGAATATTCGTTACTTGTGCTATGATCCAGAAAGTCTTTTTTTATGACAGGATACTTAAGTAGTTTAGACATTGCACTATGTAATTATATATATTTAGCTACTAATTAATTCATTACAATTCATTATAACGACGGCGTAGTTTAGACTTTAGAAGATGTAATATATGTATTCAACCACTAATTAGTATATATCAATTATTTATGACGGCTGGGTCGCATTGTGTGCGGCAGCATCAATGAAACTTCAAGATAACTTTTTCGAGTTCATTTTGCTGACATATTTCCTTCGAAAGTATGCTGATTTAAATCTCGCAATGCATTTTCTTCTCTTGTCTCTTCTCCAAAATCCATCTTAATATTGAATCAACACTTTCTTAAAAAATATAATATACACTTAAATATTATTAATCTTTTAAATAGTTTACTTTTTCCTCAGTCAGACAAGAAAAGCAGAACGTTTCCTAGGTTTGGACTTTGAGGAAGCCATGCTGCTTGTCCTGTTCTCAAATTGAGTTCATTAATTCTTCAACCTTCATCAGCATAATTATACAAGATTTTATTAAAAGTTAAAAATAAACAACTAATAATAATAAAAATTTATTAAAAAATATTTATTATATTTTATTATAATCGTATACTTTTCCATAAAAAAAAATTAGATTCTTAAAGGATTTAGATTAACGATACTCAGTTATATATTAGTAGTAAAAGCAGGAGAATCAAAACAAAATGGGTTCCTCACAGAAGGTGGGTTGGTCAGTTGACATATTTTGGTTATATTTTCTAACCTTTAAAATTGAATACCATATTTGGACAAAAAGATTCATAATTTTTATGGATTTAAAAGGGAGGATTGGAGGAAAGAAAGGAAATAATGTGTGGTAGTGGCAATAGTTTAATTAGATGGGAATCAAAATCTTGCTGAATGGTGGTGTGGCAAGTGGTAATTTAATCTAATTGGACGAAACGCCCAAGCAACGAATTTCCTAAGCCATCACATCAGAGGCAAACTTACACAACAATCAAATTCCTAATCACGAAAATTACTGCCTTTATCATAACGCTTTTTTTCCCTTAAATTCAATGCTCTCACTCCACCACCAACTTCACAAACCAACCACCTTTGCCTTCCACGCCTCAAACTGCATCATACTTCAAATTCTCCAGTTTAGAAATTAACCTATAAATCTACCTTCAAGTACCAACTTGTAATCACAAAAAGATTGGAATTTTAATGGGAGGCCAACAAAAGAAGGTTACTCAAAGATCAAGAAATGAGATTATGGGTTTCACAGTTTCTCATAAGCCTGCAGGGTTTGACCTCATGCAGAACTGTGATCTTCCTCCACCTTCCAAGGTTTTCATGGGTTCAGATAAGAGTGTCATATTCTCCATGAATAGGGTCTATGACATTGCAGGTAAAGATGAAGAGCTAGACAGCAAACACTCTGGTGCTTACAGAATTGAAAATGGTGATGATGAAAGGGATAAAATGGAACTTCTTAAGGCGCTGCAAGCATCTCAGACACGTGCCAGAGAGGCAGAAAAGAAGGCTGCAACTCTGAGAAAAGAAAGTGATGATCTTTCTATGGTTTTGTTGGAGGAGGCGATGCACTTGTTTGGGTATCGCCAACAGGTGAGATTGCTTGAGCTTCAAGTTTTGCACTTGCAACAATCCCTGTGGCTGCAGCAACAAAGCGGTGCTGGAGGATCATCCAATGGAGATGGCCATGAAGAAGAATCGTCAAGTGTCACCTGGGTTCTGGCTTTGGTTCTTTCCTTAGGAATTGGAGTCACCACTGCCCTTGCTTGCAGATACTATCTGTAAATAGCCCTATGCTGCCTTTGGAACCGTGTTGATACATGGAAGATGATCTTCATAAACAGTTTTTTGCTTTATTTATACAAAAATATAACTTCGTAACCAACTGATTATATTATTTTGTGCTAATCTGAGTATTAATCAATTCTTCTCTCTTTCCTCTCATTTAATAGATTAATATGATAGTTATTGTTTGCAAAGGTAAAAAGCCACTTTCCCAGCCGTATTGAACGTGTCTTGGAAGACAAATGATGTTAGATATGCATAGCAGAAGAGCACAACTCACACCCAATATACATGATGCAACTTATATGCTATAACCTCCTTGCATTGGAAGGAAGATGCAATAACTTATCTATTTACATTTAAGCTGTACATTTTCCTACTTCTATGTATAGGGTATATACCACTACGCTAAATTTACATATCTAAACAAAAAAGTACGCAAATGACACTTTATATGATGGCCATGTGTATATTTCTCAAATGGTTATAACATTCATCACTACTACTAAAGAACTCCAAGCAAACCCAGCAGACATGCTTTCCACACTTGCACTCAACGTGGTTGCACCCATCAACCTTCTCAATTACATATCCACAGGCCGAGCAGCTCTTAACTTGTTCTTTCCCTTTGCACCACTCCTTCAGAGATGAGTCCGGATCTTGCTTAAATTCTCGATATCTCTCACAAGAAATGTATGGATGACACTCTAAGTGGCACCTGGTACATGTCTCTGAAAAACATGCCCCACAAACAAATGGTTCGCCAGCTGTCCCAGGATCTGCAACCCGATAAATTGAGGGGCAGTCAGGAGAAGGACAAAACCTGTAAGTTCCCCCACTGGATGCCACAAAAGCTCCCAAAGAAGCCCTGAAAAGTTCCTCCACCTTATCACTTGATAAGAGAGATCTCAAATCTGTAAGTAGAATATGTTCTCCACAGCCCCCGTGAGTGCAACATATTGGGAAACTACCTTGGTTTTTTATAGCAGATTCACATTGTTCCACTAGACACAACCGGCAGAACACATGACCACAGCCTTCAAGCCGGTATCCATCATCAACCTCACACAAGCAAATAGGACAATTAGGTCCTGTGTCAAAATTCTCAACCAAATGATGGCTTGAACTTGCAATCTCAAAAATTATTTCCTCTACTCTTGGTTTCAACTCCTTGTTACCGTGAAGAAAGATTATCTGGCGGCGTGTGCTGAGCGTAAGATTTGTCCCTGGTACCTTCTCTTTTAGTCCATGGAGATCTGGCCCAAAATTCGTAATCACTTGCTTCATTAAGTCAGGACGTAGATCCTTCCCTTTCAGATGGATTTCTGACTGCTTTCCTTCATGGAGAGAGAGTAGGGATTGAATCACCTTCTGCTGAGCCAAAGCAATCTTGTCCGGAGAACCAAACACCCGTAAATTCAGGTTTTGCCTGTCAAAAAGAATATAAGTTCCAGTCTCTTGCTGCAATGACCTTTTAAGATTAAAGCCATCCCTGGACAACATGAGCTGTAGAACTGCAGGGGTGAGGCTGTCATGTTCAATTGTTTTTCCCCTCGATAGTTCTTCAAGAGGTCTTCTAAATTCTGCCACTGTCTTCGTGGCATTGGCTGTAATCTTCACTCGGTGGGAACCATTAAGTGTCCTCTCTAGGCTCCACTCAAGACCTTAATCAAGAATAAAAATTATTGTCAGCTGTCAAACTTTAATAAGAAAAAATTTTAAATCAAGCAACCTCAATATAAACAAGCTTCCAGTAAACCATGGATCGCCCATTTATGAATATTAATCAACTTTAGAAATTAAATGAAACTCAGCAACAGTATCTATGAAATATTATGATGCAGCCAAGTAGATTTGAAAGTAATTATCATTAAAAAGTGCATCAAAAGATGAATAACAACTTCCAAGCCTCCACAAAAGAAAAGGAAAAAAATGGTACCTTTACAATTGTTGAAGCCTGCAAGTACTTTATCCAGTTGTTCTTTAATCACACAATACACTGGAACAGGAAATGTCAAGGAACTATGAAACAATTGCTGGCATTTTATCTTTTGCCATGAAAGACATCCAGGCAAAACCTTCCCTTCAATTTGCTCCAAAGCTTTTGCTGCCTCCAAATGTAATCTTCCGTCAAAAGTGATTAAAGCTCTTATGAAAGCATCCTTTGGCTCAGGTGGAAACACCTGAACTCGGCATGAACCAATTTGAGGATTTCTTTTGGACATAAAGGGGTAAATTTCCTTTAGGAGCACCTCTTCACAAGCACTACATGGCGGATTTCCAACAGCATCTCCTCTCACCAAGAAAAAATCCAGAATCCTTCTACTTGTAGCAGTTCTCAGTGCATCCAGTATTTCAGCTTCTGAGAGCTCTTTGTCCAGCCCACTTACCACAATACTGTCCATAGACTTTTTGCCAATTTCACATCGAACATACCTTCCTCCGACAGCAAGGTTATAGAAATCTCTCAGAATAAAATTGACATCCTTTATATCACATTTAACTATGGCAAATCCCTTGCTAGGCCTCCGAGGCCAACAAATTTTTGCTTTAACAGCAGGAAATGAAAATATTTTATCTCCTCCCAGTTGTGCAGGAATAATTTTCAAGGGGGAGCCACAAAACTCTTCACCATCTAGCTCAGCAGCTCTTCTGGCAGCTTCAGGGGACAGAAATGTTATCCTGCCCCACTTTTCTCCATCCTCATCCTTAATCATGCCTGTGAATTTGTGCACAGAGCAGATACAACCAGAGGTATTTTTGCCAAAAAACATTAAGAGCTTCTTGTCATCAATTGCACTTCTCTTCGGGTGACACACATCAACACTCAAGGAACGTTTCTCAAGTTCCAAATGCTTTATCTCAGCACCAGACCCAAACAAAGCTACAGGTGGAGAGAAACCAGAACCATGATACAAAAATTTTTCCATGCATTCAGCACTTAACATTTTTTTCTCATACTCTAAAACATCATTAACCAGCCCAAGGGCCATATTCATATCATTAGAAGTGGCATAGAGCTGGATTTCATTCTGGTCAACATTCACTTCAATGAAGATGCGCTCATCCATACAAGTTTTCCTTATACGTGAAACAAGGGCAAGTAAATTACTGTTTGCTTTCCCACAAAATCTCTTGAGAAGAATACAGCCAAAACCAGTCAGCGTCCTCATTCGCAACTGTCGCTCTGCCAGTTTGGAAACATCAAACAAAGGAGCAGGGCAGAGACTGTGTAATGATTGAAAGTCAAAAGCACTTACACAGACCAAATATTGACTAGAAGCTGAAAGAAGCTCACTGAAAACAACCCAACTCGGTTTCTGAGCAAACACAAGCAATGAACAAGATGGGTGTAGTTGGACATGTTTTCCAGTTTGTGCCACCTCATAACCAAGGTGATTTGAGCCAGAGAAAATGGCTACATTCTCAGCAAGCGAGGACAGTATAACCTTTTTCAAATTCTTATCATGATCAGAGGGAATATAAGGGTGCCAACGCCAGTATGATGGTGTAATAAGGTCAAGTTCACGCTCAAGACATGCTTCTAACTCCAAAATTGTGTCTTGGCACCTCCTCAAAGATTTGGCATTGATGCTGTTTTCCCAGCACCACTTGTTCTTCTTTTCTGGTGGCAAAGTTTCCCATTCCTTGTACACAGAGAGAAGAGTAAAGAGGTCACCGTCACAATGGCAAAACTGCACTTTAAGACAGTCAGATCTTTTTTTGTCATCTTCAGTACCAACTCTGCAAAAAATGCTACTAGCATTGGCCATCACAGCAGCAAGGACAATACCTTCTCTGCCCAAACATTGTTTGAAACAGCCAAGAATAAGTTTACCAAGCCTGGGTTCAATTCCCATTCCTACCAAGCACCTCCCCTCAGAAGTTAATTCGTGAACATTATTGGTCACTTCAATGACTCCTAATTGAATTAGATTCCTAATTGCCATCTGAATAGAGGTAGGACTTGGAGCATCCACAAAATCAAAATCCTGCACATTCTTCACACCTAAAGCAAGGATCCTCAAAACTGCTACACCAAGATGAACTCTTCGAATCTCAGGCTCTTGATTTAGTTCCATAGAATGATAATCAGCTTCCGAATACAGCCTATAGCACGTACCAGGTTCAGTCCTCCCAGCACGACCAGCACGTTGATCAGCAGAACTCCGGCTGATCCAGCAAACTTTTAGTACACTCATACCACTGCCAGGATCAAATCTACTGTCTTTAACCAACCCAGAATCTATCACATACTTAACACCAGGAATTGTAAGTGATGTCTCTGCAAGATTTGTTGAAAATATGACCTTTCTTTTTCCAGGGTAATTCTGAAAAACATGAAATTGCTCTTCAGATGAAAGTTTTCCATGCAAGGGCAAAGCAACTGCAGAAGGAACTCCAAACTTTTCACATGCCCATTCTACTTCTATCTGTGATGTCAAAAAGGCTAGAATAGTTCCCTCCTTTTCTGTTTTGTGAATCTCAGTTGCCATTCTCACCACATCAGAAACATACGAAGCAACAACAGCAGAACCAGAATGTCCTGCATGGTCAGAAGGAACATATCTGATATCTACGGGAAAGCATCTCCCCAGCACATGAAAAATTCCACAACCATAGAAGTAATCCGATAGCTGCATTGCATTGGCTGTAGCAGACATAATGATAAGCCGCATTTCAGCCCTCCTACAAAGTAAACTCTTTAACAATGCCAACAGTAGATCAGTGTTTAAGCTCCTTTCATGCGCCTCATCAATTATGATGCACGAGACCCCAGACAAATTTTTATCACTCATGTAGTGCTGCAGTAAACAGTGATCGGTCATGAATGTTATCCTGGAATCAAACTTGTGCATGGATGAAAATGTAGAACGACATTTGATTGAATAGTCTTCATAACATCCATTGCTTTCTTCCTGGACTCTTTGAGCCAATGATTTGGCAGCAATCTTGCGAGGCTGGGTGCATACAATGGATTCATCAGCGCCAATGCCTGAATCGGCAAGGAACTGTACCAACTGTGTACTCTTGCCAGAACCGGTCTCCCCAATTAACACCATTATCTGTATAAAATCACCAGAACAGACAAAAATTATCTACATAAAAAAATGAAGTATAGCTTTTCTAATGAGTGTCCAATTAAATAAGTTTTTATAGGAAATTATAATACGGGTGAAGGTATGACAACACTTATATCTATGTATGCATAATGAATATTTTATGATAACCTTGATAAAGTCTTAGCTAATTAAATAAGACTTCTACAAAAGAAAAATCCCTAAAATACGGAAATATTCCAATAAATTCTATAAAATGAAAAATATATTCCTAATAAATAAATAGTAGAAGATACGCCTAGGACACAGATGCAAGCATATTGTACATGTGTCCGTATCTGACATGAATACGACACGCATAAGCTAACCTTTCTAGCATACCAGTGCATCAGAGTTATAAACGCATCAGATTATGGGACATCCTGTAATTTCCAATAAAAATTTATATACATAAATTCATATTATGTTGCCTTGAACACACATTAGAAAAACCGTTTATAATATCCCCTGCCAATAAAACTCAAATTCTGCGCACAAACCACAATACTAAAGTTCCAGAACAACTTTTGATTTTCAATCTTCATACCTGTTGACGGTGGATTTCGCGAATAATATCCCTCCGATAAGCATAAATTGGCAATCCATCATCAAGTCTCTGACACTCCCTGGTGATCATGCAGTGAATCCGCTTCCAATCAAAACTTCCATTAAAGCTAAACACGGAAAGAACATCAACAACCTCATCCTCCTCCAGATACTTCAACACGCACTCCATTGCACACTCAAACTCCTTTATTCTCCTTTCAACCAAATTCTTCTCAGTAACAAGTCCTTTCTTCTTCATCATCATCTGCAGGTTGACACCAATTGGCAATCGCGTACCCAGCAAACTCCTAACACTCGCAATCTCTTTCGATAACCGTTCCCTTTCAGCTACCCAACGCTTCATCTCCTTGCCTTCCATCAACCCCTTCACGTGCTTCGCGAACACGCTTCGGAGGCGACCTTCCAAGTCCACCCTGTCGACAACGTTCGAGGCCACCACCGGCGAGAAATCGTGAACCTCGGTGAGGCGCGATTCCCAGAACCAAACGACGGCGTCGCGCGCGTCCTCCCACCGCCGGTAATTGAGCGCGGCGGCGACCGAGTCGCCGGGGTAGAACGAGAAGTACTCCGGCTTGGACACGCATTTGTCAATCAAGGCCTCGACGTGGTCGCGGCGGAGGGCGCGGCGACCAAGGCGGAGCTCGACGACGAAATTTCGCTCCGGTGGACGGTCGAATCGGGCGTTGGGGGGGAATCGGGACTTCCAGTGATGGTAGGAACGGTTGACGGGGAGGGGATTGGAACCGGCTTGGGGTGGTTGACGAGGGAAGTCGCGGCGGCGCATGGTGGCGTAGGGGTTGGGGTGAGGGGTTTTCTTCATGGCGAAGCAATTGCGTTGAACGATGAAAGATGAAACCCTAACCGAGCAAACTATGAAGTGTAGTGAACACACAAGGTGTGTGTGCGTTTCAGTGTTAAGGAAAGAGTTAGAGACAGAGAGAGATCAAGGCTTGGATTTTTGTGGTGCCTGTGTTGTGCTTTGCGTCGGTCGTCTTCTTGGTCTTTGGTCGTGTCACTCACTCTTCTCACTCTTCCCTCTTTTTTCTCCTTTCTTATTTTCCTTCTTTTTTACTTTTTTATTGACCCAATTTAATCTATGCTTTGTGTAAAAGTAGATTTGTTTTGGTAGTGCGCCTTTAAGCCTTTAAATTTTATTTAATTATGTTAACATTCCTTTTTTATTAAAAATAAAAATTCAAATATTTTATATTTTCGCTACATTTACGTCAATTTAATTTAGGGATTCGGTAATTGAAAATTTGTCACACGAAAACCCTTTTTAACATTTTTTATTTCAATTCCGTTTCGGAAATATTTAGTAGGCTTGCAGAAGAGGAAAAGGCATGTTTATTTCTATATTTTACTTCTTCCACGGTGTATTAGTTTCATTTGATCATTTTTTATTTAATCAAAATTATTATTTTAAAACAACAAAACGTATTTATTATTTATTTTAATAAGACTTTTATCTAATTGAAAATTTATAACTAACGAATTGAAAAATTAATTATCATTTATAATTATAATAATTCGAATGCTTTTAATAATAATATTTGAGTACTATAATTATTTATTATCATAATACACGTGTATTATATTAAATGAACGGCGTGAGTAATAAATAAAGGTTGGAAGTTGGGGTGTGGCGTGGAATAGATTACTGGTGTGTTTGTTGTACGTTCTCTCTCTCTCGTGTGTAGTGTACATTTGTCACTTTGCTCGATGAAACTTAAGGGGGTCACATTCTCGTGACTCCCCCCACTATTAATGTAAAAGATGAAAAATATTAAAGAAATTAAAAGAAGATATTATGTTAAAATTTATTAAATGTTATGATAAAAGTGTATTAATAGTATTTTTTAAAACATTATGATAACAAATTTTACAAAAAAAATCAATACTGTTTTTTTACTTTTTTATTTAGTGAATTCTTTAATTTATAAAATTTATTAAATTTCAAAATAGTGATGTTATATGGTAAATTATTTTTTTTTAAGTAATGATGGTAAATGGATTTTACGCACTGCAATACTTTTAATTTAACAAAAGCGTGGACCATACGTGATTCAATGGGTCCAAGCCCATCCACCATTGGTAGCCCCCAAAAAATTAATGCCTGACCAGGCAAACCCAACACTTGTCATGAATCCAGTAGCATCATAGGTCAAAACTGTTTTACTGGGCCAATCAGGACCAAGCCCATTGGGCCAAGCTACACCTAGCTAGAAATGCCTATCACCAACGGTGGCGAAATGAATATTGGGATCCTCAGCCCAAATAGATTTGATAGAACGTTTTGTATCCTTGTTAAGTTTGAGAAAGACAATAATATAGCAAAGATAAAAAAGAAAATAATAAAAATAAATAATTTTTTTATGTGTTTAGTATGAGGAAAATATGAAAGAAGGTGAAGAGAAAGAAACGGTAAAATTATTACTTGTTTTACTTGTGGAATAGAATGTTAAAAAATGACTCTTTATTAAATAATATTTTTATGCATCTGATAATAAAAATAAGATCTTATTTAACTGATAAATAACCGATACATATTAACAAATAAGCTTTGTAAGTCATAAACACATTAAGAAAAATAGTAATTTAAAAGAAATACAACATTTCTAAAATAAAAAATCAAAATATTAACTAAAAAAAAATTCAACCGATGAAACCAAACATGCAAAATCAAAGCTGAATAATATTTGACATGTGAGTATTGTATTTATAAACGACACTGAAAAAAGTACTTATGATTCATAAATAAGGTAACTAAAACGAATTTAAATCACAGTGAAATTTTTATAATGAAATCACGATGTGGCACAAGTTTTTTCACAATCCAGTAGTTTTTTTAAGATCACAGTCAAATAACAGTTAAATCAGCATCAGATAACATTTTTTTTTTATCACAGGCATTATTATAATACACGTTGTTTTCAATAGTAATACTGATGATAAGCCATAAGAAGATGAAAAAAATTCCAAAAACGGGAGACAAATTGTTTACTTTTGTAGAAAAGATGATGAAAAATTGAAGTGCTCAGTCAAGATTCTGTTTCCCCATAACTTTTTCAGGGAGTCTTTGGAGAGCACTCACAAATCAGAAAAAGAAAACAAAAAAGAAAGCTGCCTACCACTAAGGGTCATGCGCTGTCAGACAAAGTTTGACTCATTATCAAATCTTTTCTTCATATGTTACTTTCATATTTGTTTTTCTCCCAATTTTTTCTTCGTTGTACATTCTTGATGGATTCTATACACAGAAACTGGCAGGCCCACGAAACTAGCAAAACAAAAAGGTACATCTCTTTCCTACTTTCTAAAGCATTGAACCTAATGAAATCACTCAAACCCATGTGATCGTTTAATTCATCATTCTGAGGTTTGGTGAGATTCATGAGGTTTTTGCTAATCTAGTGTTAACTTTGGTTTCCACCAATCTTCAGATTCATGAAATTGCTAACTGAAGTAGCTTTTTCCTTTCAATTCCTATTACTGGATTAGCATATCAAGGGCTCCAAAAAAGATTTAATCGTGCATGGAGTTTCGGGTATGTTAAACTCATGTACCATTATCCAACCTTCAAGGTATAATCATAACATTTTTTTCTTAATTCCTACAATTTAATAACGATTCATTCAATTCAATTGACAATTTCTCAAATTAAATAATTCTTACATCGCTGGGAATTATCAATTCCTACCACTTGGAGGATAGAATTGACCTATCCTTGTAGAACCGGTTGTCTTGTGTGTTCCAACTGATGTGGTTCGTCTTTGGAGGCATTGGCAGTCGCTCGAGTTTTACGGGATAGTGTTGGCATCGTTGTGGGTCCTGCCTTAGGTGGCTGTCCTATGTGAAAAACAATTAAAGAAAACAATTATATTTTTGAGGTACATTTGCTATATATTATATTGAATTGAAGAATATTTTTCAATAACATAATTGTTTATCTGACTCTAGACACTGGCAATGATGTAATTGGCAGCGTTAAATGACGTAGACGATAAGTCTTTTCTCAATAAATTAAACTGGCTTTTATATCTTTAGATAAACCAATCTTTAACACTAATTTGAGATAATCTTTTTTTAATATATATTTATTTATACGCAATAATATATCACATACATAATCAAAGTTGAATGTTTCACTGTCGAAACTGATAAATTAACAATTAGCCACTCTTTGGGACTTTCTTGCTTTTGGCATTAATTTCTTCTCTACAACCGGAAAACGTTTCTTCCGCCATATTAAAAATTCGTAAATTTCTGTTCTCTTTTTTCTGGTTTTCATGACATATGCTCAAAGTTCAAATACTGTCTTGATTAATGTCGATCGAGATGACCGGATTCATCTGATGCATCTTTCGTTCTCATTATTTCATTTTGTGTTAGTCATCGATTCAATCATTAGCATATTGAAGTAAAACTCCATCTGTATCTTTATCTTCTAATTATTATAGTTTGAGATTCTTTTTCAGCTTTTGCGAGGGAATGATTAATAATCAAACATACATCAACAATTTAACTTGCTTTAGAAGTTAGATTCTTCGGATATCCATTTAGAAATTATTAGTGTAAGGAAAAACGAACAGTGTTATTCAGAAACTTTTGTGAAAGTCAGCGACACCAATGAATATGTCCCATGCCCCAGTGACCATGCAGAGTTGCAGCATTGTTGAAAGCTTCTATACATATCCACAATCCATTATCCGTTCTTGGATAGGGTTCACATTTATAATAACGAATATATATATGTTAGAAGAGGGTTCGTGACATGTGAAAGAAGTGAAGTATATTTATAATAATGTTGCTAAGATAGCAAAGCATAAAGAAAAGCTGTGTGTTATAGGGTTCTTTTATCATAAGTTGATGTAGGTCCACATAAACACATTGCGTGGCTCTTCCCTCTCGCTGCATACAACTGCATGCACATGTTCTTACACAACTCATCAGAACGTAACAGTGCCTTTTCATTGAGTTAATTTCTGTACTGCATTATGAGCCCACCTCACACGTGTTGTTGTCATTTAACAAAACTGATCCCAATTCTCATAAAGCTGGCCACTTTGTTTTTTGAATTTTTCTAACATGCACATGAAAAGGAAATATAAAAAAGTTAATAAATAATAGTAAATTTTTTATTAAAAATTATAGTATTTAATTTGATTGATTAATATATAGAAACTTGTTTGGATAAACACAAGTTATTTAAGTGTTTATTGTTTTTTACTGATAACACTTGGGAGCAAAACTCTCACTCTAAATATACAAGAATGATAAGTTAATAAGTTATGAATGATAAATTCTTTGAAATAGACGCAAATTTTTATTGTATGCTTTTAATACACACGTTAAAAATGTCTCTTTGTTATTTCTATTTGGTGTTTTTGTGGATGGCAGTGGGCTCCAGTGAGTGCTGACGAGTGATGGCCATACTTTTATGATGAAACTGTGTTTCCCTACCATTCATGCCTGGCTGGCACTGTTGGGCACGTAACTGCTTTAAGAAGAGAGATTGAATTGCGTAGGATAGGAGACATTGGAATGGAACACATTATATAGTACACCTTAGATATGACCAATGTGAAAGCTGGAATACACGGAATTTACTTGTACCTATGTCATGTGTGTCACGAGTTTAGGGAACGTTAACGTGGGTCTGACTCTGATTCACTTTGCTATGACAATTTGGTGGGTTTCCTTTTGCCATGTAAAGACAACAAATTTCTGGTTCAGGAGGATACAAAAGTGCCTGCCTAATGCCATTTCAAAAGTTTTTTCTTCCCTGTTTAAGGAGTCCAGCACGAGCAAATGAAATTAAGTGTGTTTAGAGGTTGTTTGCAACGATAATTTTGAATAAACTTTATTTTTTAGAAGTATTTTTATTTAAAAATTAGTTTGAAGTAATGTAATTTATGTTTCTAAAAACTTTTTGCTTAAAAAAGTTTACACTAATACTCAATATAAATTTTTCAACTAAATACACGTTATAATTTATCACATTAATTTAAATATAAGTTTAGAAACAGAATTAATTATATCATATAATTGTTAAACCATACTTTACTTCTTCAAACTTCAGTTTATAGGCTTTTCACACTCATCCAAACAAGCACTAAACCCATACATGAATTCAAATAATATGCCTATTCCGATTTATCAACCCAATTACTCACAGGCTTGAGCAATTTTCGTACATGTTTGAAATTGAATTGCTATATGGTGGCTGAAATTGTATGACATTCGTTAATAAAAGAAAAAAAAAGTCGTCTAAATTGTATGGGTGTCATATACAGCTTTCTCCAATAGATTGTAAGTGTGTAACGAGCTAAAATGTGAACGAGGATCTAAAACTATTTAAATAACGAAACAAACGTGTATGGGAGTAAAGTATAAGTTTGGCATCATTATGCACTATTTATGTTGATTACCATAGCTTAATGAGAAATTAGTATATTTATCTATTTTTTTAATGAAACATTGTTTAGAAAATTTGTCAAGGGCTTGAGTAAAAGTAACAAACTATGGTTCCATTTAAGCAGGAAAAAAAATGGTTCTAAAAGAAAAAGTAAGATTATTGTTGAGAAGGTCTATTAGATTGTTAATTATATAGCAGTATCACCTATAGGTGTTCCTATTAGCATGATTCAATCAACTCAAAATGTCAAACCAAAATAATTAAGCTGTTCACTTTGGTTTATATGTTTTTGTTCAACTTGAATCAAGCCGATTAGACTCAGTTATCATTGGTCTGAGTATTAATTTCATAATTTAAAATCTAATAATTCGTTTATTTGAGTGAATCAACCTAATTTCCTGTCATGATATGTATTTTTTTTTACGTAATTGCATAATAAAACATCATTTTGGTTTATATAGATAATTACTTTTTTGTAATGGAAAAAAATCAATTACATAACAAGAAAAGGATTATTTGAATTAATTAGTTCAATTTTTTCTTTAATTTTATTTCATTTTGACTTATAATATGCATAACATGATCGATACTGCTTTCCGTTAAAGATGATTATCCAAATTAATTAATTCGATTCCACTCTCAATTTCTTTTTTCAAAGAAATATCTTTTGAATGTGAAATCAAACCAAATGAATTATGTCAACGTATGGAAACCCTTATAATTACCCAAACCAAAAACTACATATTACTCCATCCTAACTTAGCCAGAGATTCATAGTTCTTATAAAATATTCATCATACATAGTTGCATAAAATAATGCTTTATTTAGATAAATTTCAAGATATTATAGGTTTAGTTTAAAATGTCTTTTAAGAAAATTTTAAAGAAAAAAACAAAGTATCCTATTTTAAAGTTAAAAAAAAAAAAGAAACTTTAAACTCAAGAAACTCTTAAAAAGAAAATATTCATTGACCACAATTTAAAAAGGTGATTGTAAATTCGAACCTGCGGCCCATTAGAGATAAAACCTCATCTTAATTCTCGGATTAATTTAAAATAAGTGAATATTACTCTAAAGATAATATAAATTTTCTGCTATCTGAGAGCGTGATATGCTGACGAAAACCAAATCCTGAGTCAGCTTAAACTGACGGAGCGGAGCCGTAGAAAGCCGAGCCGTTACGAAGTAGCACAATTAATTAAGAATTATTTAATTAATATATCGGGCTCTAACCCGAAGAAATATCACCGTCATTAAACAAACGGTCGAAAAACTGGAAGAGCAACGGGCTACAACCGGCATGCAAAAAGTTGCATTTGGATTGAATTTGGGTTCATTTGGAAGCTAACCGCAGTAGCAGTCCACCTAACCCCAGTCAAATTCTAACCCCGGTTGGGTTTATATAAAGTGAGTGCAATTCAGTACTCAACTGGGATGTGAGACTGCTTCACCACTCCAAACCCACCATTTCTCATTCTCAAACCTTTCAAGTGTTGGTAGATAAACACTCCTAAACTATGTTACTTTTTGTACCATAGTTTAACCGTGTAAAATGATGTTGTCTTGGATAAATTAGAATAAGTGTGAGGAGAGAAGAAGCTTGAAGCTTAGTAGCTTCATTGTGTTGCGTGTTAAAGTTTTTATTTTATTTATTTGTGTTTGGATAAATTAGTTTGTTTGTGTGGATTTGTTCTGCGTTTATGAATTGTTTGATGGGTAAAGAGGGAGAAGAAGTGGTGAGAAAGCAGGAACAAAGGGGTGTTAATGGGGATAAGTGGTACTTGTATAGCTGCTTACAAGACTCTAAATATTGGTGCTGTTTAATAATACATCATAATTCCTTTTCCATGGCTCCTTTTGAGTGAAAAAACCTTCTCCTCTTAGCTTTTTCTTGAGATCTTAAGACATTGACTAACAATAAAAGGGGATCAAAACACTTACTTCATCTAATAAGATCCCATCTTTTCTACTCATGAAGAGACTTGGCAGCTCAGATTCTTCGGGTCCTCTCATCACAATTTGTCCATCAACAGGTTAATATTTAACACTTGTTTATCGATGTTGCTTTTTTTTCAAGATCCAAGTGCGCTTGTGTTTTCTCATGCCTCAATAATTTTTTGTGATCAAGTTCAATTTTGGGTCATCATAACCAAGTTCAATTTTGTACTATGTTACAACTTATCAAGAACAAGTTTTTTTTCTTTTTTGGTTCCTATTTCGAGGTGTATTGTGTTTTATGTTTGTTATGACTTACGAGGAAACAACCCCTAATTGTTGTGTCGGATTTGCATTGGTTTAGATGAACACAGTCCGAGGAATAACCATATGTATGGTGGGGAGTTCCAATCGATGATAGATGGACTCGACGAAGAAGGGTGTGTTGAAGAAGTGGGGCATCACTCCGAGAAGAAGCGTAGACTTAGTGTGGATCAAGTGAAGGCTCTAGAGAAAAACTTCGAGGTAGAAAACAAGCTTGAACCTGAGAGAAAGGTGAAGCTTGCCCAAGAACTCGGGTTGCAACCTAGACAAGTAGCTGTTTGGTTCCAAAACCGTCGAGCTAGGTGGAAAACCAAGCAATTGGAGAGGGATTACGGCGTTCTCAAAGCCAATTATGAAGCTCTTAAGCTCAACTTTGACACCCTCAATCATGACAACGAAGCCTTACAACAAGAGGTAGAATAAAAAAGATAAAATTTACATGTTATTATTTGTGTGATAAATTTAGTATTATTTATTTGTTCATTAAAATTAAGTTTAGTTATTGTAGATAAAATAGTACTAAGAAAGTCTAAATAATTCAAAAGAGGTACTATTTTTTAATCAAAATTAGAATTTTACATTGTTGATATGTACCATCAAGCTTTAATGTTGATTTACAGATTTTTATTGTGGATAGTAAAAACAGTTTCACCTCAATTTTGTCCTACCTCAAACTACGTTTTGTTCAATAAATAAACCGTTTTTTGGAATTCAAAAGTGTATATTACTATTACAATAGCATGCTTGTTGAAACTTAAAAGTGAATGATTAGAAATTGTCTTGTGTTTGCAGATTAAGGAATTGAAATCAAGGCTGCAAGAGGAAAACATAGAAAGCGGTGTTTCGGTGAAGGAAGAGATAACGGTTCGTGACATAGAAGACAAAAAGATGGAAGGGATAAGTAAGAGTGACCCATCTTCTGAAACCTCCATTCCTTGTTGTGACTTGAAGGACCACTCCAATTATACCACTGATTGTGTTGGAGTGTCAAATTCACTCTTACGAGTAGACTTCAAAGATGGTTCTTCTGATAGCGACTCAAGCGCAATCTTAAACGAAGACAACAGTCCCAAAGCTGCACTTTCTTCATTTCAAAGCCACCACCTTTTGGTTTCTCCTGAGTCTTCTCCAATGAATTGTTTCCAGTTCCAGAAACCGTACCATGTGAAGATGGAGGAGCACAATTTCTTAAGCGCGGATGAAGCTTGCAATTTCTTCTCTGATGATCAAGCACCCACCCTTCACTGGTACTGTTCAGACCAATGGAACTGAATTGCGAAAACAAAAGCACCAAATGAAACCCCTTTTACAAAGCTCTAGTGTTACTCTGCAAGATTCAAGACGAAGTTGTAAAAATGGTTGCGTGGTTAATTATGTAGCACAAGGAGAAGACTCTGCAATACCTTAATCATCATGATTAAGGTTAATTATGGGGCAACGGGTAATAATTAATATGAATAATTATTCAGTCGAAATCGAACCATGCTGTAAGAAAAATTAAATTCAAGCATACAAAATCGGTGTTTGAATCCATGATTGCTCTCTCGGTCTCTCCTTCAAATTTTAGAGTTATAACTGTGATATTAACTTTAACAGGTTTGAAGGTGGTGGTGGATTTACTCCGACAAAAGGAACATACGGGGGAAAGAATTTTTAAATTTTGGAGGATTTTATTATTTAATTAAAGATAAAAGGTTTTGAAAAATAATCTAATGTTTTTTTTGTTAATTTTTAAATTTAGTGCTTTTTATATTGTTTTTTCATTTAAATAAAGAGTAAAGTTTTATAGAAGAAAATTTATTTGAATGTATTAATATATTTATTTATTTATTTTTAATGTAAACAAAATAATTTTAATTTTATGATTTGTTTATACTGATTTCTTTTATAAGAATTTCTTTAAAATTTAATTAAAATTAAACATAAATATACTTTTCCTGAATAGTCTTCGTAAATACATGATAAATGATACTAAATATAATTGTACGTTCTTAAAGAGTTAAGCATTGAATAATTTTATAATTTTAATTAAAAAAATTACTTTTAATCTAACAATACTTGTGATTGTATCTATAGATGCAAATAATAAAAAACTATTCTAAGATTAAATTTAATTGTTACAATTTCAATTTCTTTTTTATTTTCTTTATTTGACATCTTAGTGTTTTTATTATGTTAATTTATAAAATTAATATATTTTTTCAATCAACATTTATTAAGTAATGTGTGCTTAATTGAAGATTAAAATTTAATATAATATAATAAATACAAGATTTATTAAAAAAACTGAGTATTGTCTTTTTGTAAAAATTATAATATTAATTATTTTCTTAATTCCTATGAAAATCCTTTAACCTTAAAAGAAAAAAATAAGAAGGAAATTACATTTATTTTACTCTCTTCACTGTTTTTTTTAAGTCTTTGTTAACCGATTCGTATAAATTAAGGAAATTATTTAAAATTAAATTCAGTGTTACTTAACCCATTGTAGAGTTATAATTTTGTGTCATTTTACTCCCCATAAAAATTTACTGAAAAAATACAAGATAAATAAAAACTTATAAAAGAGTGAAGTATAATTTATCTATTTTTTATTTTCTTTGATTTTTTTTCTTATTTATATCAGATCATCGTTTACAATTCTTTTTCTTTTATTTCACTTTCCATCTAAAATAGCACAATTTATAAAAGTAAATATACTTTAAAAGAAAAGTCGATAATTGTATCCGAATTTGTTGTTATAAAAAACAAGGGGAAACAATGAAAAGATTTAAAATTGTAATCATTATATTTTTGTGATCTTTCTTCGTAAAAACACTTAAACTAAATCACACGTATTAAAAAATGATTAAAAGTAATTAATGGATGAATATTTGAAAATGAATGGATGGATCTGAAGGGAGCATGAATTTGGGGTGTGTTAACGTATTGATATGATATGATATGATATGATACATAAACACATTTGTCCAATGCTTTAAACAAATCCAAAAGGACAAAGGATGATTAAAAGAGAACGTCCCTTAAAAGAAGTGCCGCATGATTGGATCCCGAATAACGTGATTCTTGGGAGCCTCAGCTTTTTTGTGTTCTTTGTTTTCACAAGACTTTTAAAAATTTGAATATAAAGTTTTAAATATTATATACCACAATATAAGATTTTTGTTACTTTTGAATTTTAACAAATTAAATAGTTTTATATTTTTATAATTTTAAAAATCTTATATTTTAATATATATTACTTTAAAATATCATATAAAAATAAAAAATAATTGGTACAAAAATATTTAATCACATTTACAAAATTAAATTTGTTAACTTTTAATAGATAAATTTAAATTTAAGTATTTTAAAATAAATATTATAAATAAAATGTATACTAACTATATTAAAATCCAAGTATATTAATATTATTATTTTACTTAGGTTATTTATTATTTAAGGTATAATATTTATATTATTAAAGTCTTTATAAAATACTAATATGTCACAATTTTTTCTTCAAAAGCCTAGATCCGTTAGTAAGCACCTTGAAAAAGTAATTATTTTTTAAATTTCAAATGAAAAGCTTGAAAAGTTTGCTCAAATCTTCTTTTGAGAAAACTTTCACCTTTGTCTCTTAATATATATCCTATTTAATTTGTATTGCATAACCTTGCTATAATTTGAGTTAAATATTATATTTTATTTGTTTATAACGCTTAAAATAAAATGTCATTATTAAAATAAAAAAACTCATAAATAAATATCTATAATAATTTTATTTTAATATAAAAAAGGAAGTTTAGCAACATTTTTTTAATGGTTTCTTTATTATTTCATGAAATTTATTGAAACACAAATTCATACTAGTCTCGCTGGTTATTTATTATAAAAAATCATTAATAAAAAAAATGTGCGAAATGTTTTATAGCAAGTCCATAAGATTAGGGATGACAATAGATAAAATACCAGATGGGCACCTGCAAAATTTACCTACAATGGGTAGGGTATTTATACAGGTACGGGTATGGGTGTGGGTAAAAACCCACAAAATTTAATGGGGATGGGTGCAGGTATGGGTATCTAAGTACCCATCCCCCCCATACCCGCATATATATATATATATATATATGCTTGAACTTTATTCTACAATTATGCATTGAATTTTTGTATTATTATATTATTTATGTGAAGTTATATAAGATTAATATAAAAATATATTTAATAATAAAGTAAACCAAAAAATTTATTTTGGTTTATATTTTTAATAGAAAAATTTATTTACTATTTTATATCATTTAATTAAGCTAACACAATTTAATTATTACATAGTTAATATAAGATTGACTTTTTTTAAAATATTATTTATATATGACACACATAAAATATTTTTTACACAAATATTTTTGTTAATAATTGATGTTTAAATCATAAAGTGAATGATAAATAATAAATATATTATAAATATTTTATAAATTTTACAATCACCTACTATTTCTGTAAACTTATTATTTATTAATAATATTTAAATTTTATTTTTATATTTTAATTTAAAATAATATTTTTCTATGTAACATATGTATTACAAGCACAACTATAATCTATTGAATCTAAATAATATTATTCTTACTATTTATTCACATTCAAAGAAGTTTTTGAAAAGATATAAATATAAAAAATTATTATTAATTTTTATTTGTTAATTTTTTTAAGATAAAAAAATATAATTTTTTTAATATACACGTATATTTCTTTATTATAAAATTTTATTGTAACTATTTATCTTTTATTCAAATTCTTTTTCTTTAAATTTATATACATTATAAATATTTAATTCACTAAAATAATTTTTCAAAAATTTATATTTTTGATAAAATATTTTTGTATAGTATATGAGTTAAAAAATACTAGTATTAATATATATATATATATATTAATTATATTATATTATTTTAATTAAATCTATTATTTTTCTTACAATTTCAAATTTAAAAGTTAAAAAAAATATTTTATGTATCAACTTTCTGTTGTTAGTATTGAACTTCTCTACTCTAACTCTATTCTCATTCTCAATGTCTGTCTCGCTAAAACTTAATAAAACTATAAAATGTTATTCATTAGAGTTAGTTGTTAATGTCGTCACAAGAGGTTACTAAGTGATCCCACACGAAGGGACAACCATTGTACAAATCTATTTCGTTGTCGTTCTGACATTACCAACAATCAAATCTCACACAAGATAGGATTATTACTGACAAATAACTTGTGTGTTTAGTTTTGCTTATTGTTTCTAATAATTTTAGTTTATAAAATTATTATATTAAGATACATTTAACATTTATGATCTTTGAATATTTGTTTTTTATCTATATTTGTACATTGTTCAACAATTACATATTGAATTTTTGTATTATTATACTACTTATGTGAAGTTATATAAACATATTTTTCTTTATAAATATTTTTTCTTAAACAAGTGCGGGTAATGGGTACAAGACGGGTATGCGAGTACCCAGAAAATACAAGTACGTGGATTAATGTTTATACTCATGTGGGTATGAAGTCGGGTACGAGTATTTTTTTAAAATATGAGTATGAGAATGGGTACTGTAGTACCCTACCCATTAACATTCCTACATAAAATAAGGGATTAAAAAGAAAGAAATGTTTTAAAATATTTAGAATGATTGTGATTGAGAAGTGACAGAGAAGTATTAAAGTGTGAGCTGAGAGGGTCCAACTTGGAAGGTTGGGGGCTCAGCGTCCGTCAGATTACGTTAAATTTTGTAGTTATGATTATGATTATGATAATGATGTAATGTAATACGGAAGTAGCGATGTTTATTAGAAAAGAAAACATGGGACAATGAACAGATTCCGAGCCTATGCATTTTCAATTGCTTCTGCACTCTGCTACTTGCCAGAGTAGCTTCGGTACCTCCCACGCAAAACATCATCAAAACACACATCTATGTGGGTCCTACTCCCTCTGTGGTACACCCATGTGATGTGGACCCCACCCACCCCCTCTTGGGTGCATGCAACATGTCATATTCATTTGGGTCACCCTCACGTAGAAATTAGAGATAATATTATATATTCTTTTTTTTTCTGTTTAACTTTATTGGCTTCGTTTTTCATTAATAAGTAAAAACCATTCAAGATATAGGTGTGCATGCATGTATATACAGGCAATGCTGGAGAATGTCAATATTTTCTGTGTAGTACTTTTGAACTTGTTGAATTCATCGACTATATATGATCACACTCACACACGATGAATGTTTCATGGTTGACGATGGTATTATTGAAATAGTCAATTATGGGGTTTGAGGTTTGGAAAATGATTGCCAAACCACTTGACGGTGAGTCATAAACGAGGAGAAAAGTGCGTCGCCCAGTTTATAGCACTGTTCTATTGAGTAGGAAAATTTTAACGTAAATAATACTATCTATATTTTTATTTAAACTGTAAAGAGAGATAAACTTGCATTAATTAAAATTTTGTAGTCTTGTCCTATTCAAATAATATTAATATTTTGTGAAAGT